CCGTTTTGCACCATCTGTATTCGCTGTTTTGAACAAGTCTTCGTTCATCTTGCTATCTCGCCGGCGGTGTGCCGCTGCTGGTTGAGCGTGTGTGTAAGGTACAGCGCAACGGGAGGTCACGTCTTCTTCAATAGTGTTCTCTGACGCCACAGCTTCTCCATATTCTGCATCCCCGGTTTAGATATCTTTCCCAAAAAAAAGGATATGATGAAATCCACAGAGATCTTGCGCTCGGTTGCCGTACGCTTGTTCCACGAAGACAAAAACGACTCGAAAAGTGTACGTCGTACTTTTGTGCGCTGTGGTGGGGCGTTTTTGATCAGCTCGGGGCGTCAAGAATGCGTCAATGCATACTGTGATTTGTCATTACATTGTGCTTATCTCGCTCGAACAGGCAGTATTTTTCTATTGCGAGTCTAGCTTGCAAGTCTACTGCTAGAAGCGGTCTCGCTAACTTCCTTGCTTGCTCAACGCTCATTCCATATTCCGCGAAGCTTATTGTCGTGCATTTTTGTTCTGCGCGTCATTCATTATTTACTGTTCATACGTCAACATCAATGCAGCAGCTGGGGGATATTGTGTGCCGTTAAAGTCATAGCTTATGCTGAATCCATCATATCCACCACTAGTACTTAAGGAGAACCGCGTGCATATTATTGTATTCACATAAAATACTACACAAGATATGAGTGTATCAGAATCAAACCATCTATTTGTTCAGCTTGAGACATTTCTCATCTATTCTTGAGGCAATGGGCAATCAAAGTTGAAAGACCACTCGGACTTCTGACCGATAATACATCCACCAAATTCTGCATCCATATTCCATTGCCGTCCTTGGGCAATCATCAAACAGCATTGGGTTTGTTGCAGGACTGGCAGGTATTGGAGGACGGAATCCGGAGTGTCTTCTAGAATCGTTGGGTGATGTACTTCCTGCCAGTAATTGTCTCCGTCTCCGTCTTCGTCGTCTTCGTCTTCACCTTCATCTTCATCTTCGTCATCTTCGTCTTTGTCATCTTCATCTTCATCTTCATCATCTTCATCTTCGTCATCACCTTCATCATCACTAGCCTGGTTCTGGCATTCCCCATGAGTATTGTTACATTGGATTTCATTGCTATCATTAACATCTTCATCGCTGTCTTCAAATTGTTCGTCGTCTTCGTCACAATAGTCACTCTCTTCCTCCAAATCGTCTTCAGGCTTATACCACCTGTCCATATCATCGACAATTTCGAGGAGAGTTTGCATGTGGGGCCGCTTCGCCACAACAGAAGCTAGAGCTTGATCAAACTCCATCCACGCATTGCGGCCAAAGTCAATGCAATCCCACAAGTCGTCACATAGAAAGCTGATCCGGAATTGTCGAAGTGATCGATGGGCTTGAGTGATGTGGTTGAGAACAAAGCACGCACACTCCAAAACTCTATACTGGGACTGTTCCATAGACGAGACGTTGTAAAATTTGATATGGAGAGTCGCAAGCTGTTCAGTGTGAGCGAGACCCGTGCAGATTCGCAGGTCAAGATCTTCGAGGAACAGGTCGCTGTCTCCAGCTGAAAAAGAGATGACTAGGTCGCGCAAGGCCGGGCCGGCCTGTCGGAGGAACACATCTTGGCCGCCTACATCAACAACAGATGTGCAAGAGACATCCAACGACAACCGCTGAACCTGGCATATTACAGGGCTGTTCAGAAGCCAGGCTCGGATGGCCGGGTCTGTCTCTGACAACTTGAGAGATTCAAGACGGACTGTGCTTGCAAGGAAATCTTCATCCTTGCGAGGAGGGAGGGACCTGGGTGGGGACGGTTGGGGATACAAGATCATGTCTAGATCACAACAATGAAGAGCGGTGAGCCGTGGGCAGGCCAGAACGAGCCACGGAACGTCTTCGGTTCCCCGTTGAAACTGTACATCCACGAGCCGCAGCGTCCGGATGGCCTCGAGAGATTTGTACAGGGCGCGCAAGGCCCCGTGTTTCATCTTGGCGGCATTCCAGCGACAGAGTGTGAGATCCTCCACCAGGGGGAGCCGGGACAACAACGCGGGCCACTTCTTGTCCACCCGGGTGGTCGAAGTTGGGAGACCCTGTGTCCAGCCACCGACAATAGAGAGACGACGCACGTACGATGCGAGATGCGGAGAGGCGTCGAGAAGTCGGTGGAGGCGTTTGAAGCTGGACAAGTCAACGACGCTGATGCTGTGAAAGGCGTGAAAGCGGGCCCTCGGAAGCCAGGCGCGACAGGTCAGTGTGCAGGCGAGGAGCGCGGGACGGTCGTTCCATAGGCAGTCTATGATGTCGTCCCACAGCTCTGGCGGGACCAGAGGCTTGTCGTCGTCCATCTGCCACGGGACGATATTGGCCAGTAGAGCACACTCAGGTTGTAATGTAGGCTTGGGCTGGCTGTCACGCGTCACGCGTCAACACCGCGACGCGTCGGTGGCGGCTGCTCGCCTCCTCCCTCCCGCTCAGCCAGATGGTAAAAGAAACAATCAGAAAAAAGGACACGAAAACACGTCCCAAGAATGACTCGCGCCTCAATAGTGACCTCGATGCCGCTGCTCAACGACCCCAGTCGGACGTGGATCGCATAGACCACATTCATAAATCTCTCAAGTCCTTAGGTGCTCCGGATATCAGCCGAGAAGATCTGACCCGACTTTACAAAGGACAGTTTGCGGATGCCCTGGGATTTCTGGCCGATCACGTCAGGGGGCGTGCGGAGGTGGATGCTGCGAGATCTGCCATTCACCAGTGAGTGACGTTGTTGTGCGACGTCGTACTCGTGCTAGAACTTCACGCAGAGCGCGTCAAAGTGAAACCAGAAGAAGGCTTGTATACGACTCGACCAATCAATCACTCTTCCTCAGAGCAAAAGCTGCAGACTCGAGGCTACGAGATGCTCGGAACGAGTTCGATCTTGCCCAAGGCGCCCTGACCGAGCGTCTCGATTCATTCTCCACTTCTCGTATGTGGCCCTCATATGAATTCCGTATGGCTTCCCATCATTCATGAATCCGTTATTTTAGAAGCAGAAGCTGATGATCTGCAAGCTACGTTGGATGAGCGGCGCCTGTCAAGCCTTCTTTTACAGGTCCTGGAGAAAAAGGAGGCTATCCGATCCGCCAGAATCTCCCAGCTAAGTGATCATATGGAAGAGCTGCGGTAAGTCCTAGTTTCGATCTTGCTTGTCGAACTCAGCATAACGCTTACGCAGCAGGAAGAGCTCCGAAGCGCAGCCGATTGCTGTGTGTACTCGCGGGGCATTGATGTATTCCCAAACTGGTTCGCTGACATTAGAAAGTGGAATAGAGCTCCGGAGACGTGGATCACACCACACTCCCTCGACTGTCAGAGCGCAAGCTCCGTGTTGAAAACACAGTCGATACTATAGCTGTCAGAATGCGCTCTCTTATTGACAGCATATATTGACCCGCTCATCCACCAGGCGCTGCGAGCATATCACGTCAAGCTCTCATCGGCTGCAAGAGAGGTGTATCCACAGCAGACTGAGAGCCGTCTTCGCCAAGCCATCGCAGCGGCGTTGGATCTCCCAGAAGATGACGATCGGGTGATAAGTGCATAGTAAGTGGATTTATTGGCTGTTTGCATGGGTCTTATACCGCATACAGCGAGGGTTGCCGACGACTTGCACGCAGTCGTGCAGAAGATAACCTGCAATATGGTTCCCCGCTCCCGTCAGAACCCTCGCAGGTTCCGTCCGACTCTGATTTGAATAATATCCATTCCCGAGTTGTACGTCGTTTTTGCGCTGAGTCCAACCTGCTAGTAGATCTCATTTATTCAATAGGCAGAGAAGGAAACGGCAATGCAGCGTCTTTTTGACCACACCGTCGCTCTCATGTTGTCTTGCGAACAATTGCTCCAATCCGTGCGTTACATTCTCGGCATTTGGCAACGTCTTAATCAAGCTTGTCGCAGCTCTCCATTTTTTCTGATGTCACAGCTCCAGCCTTGCGCGGTTCCCTCCTAGAAGAGGCGGCAAAATGCGATGGCTACGTCGACATCCTCCGGCGGGAAATCGTGCACCGCGAGGGCCTTGACCTAAAGAGTGCTCCGTTTCGAATGCGAGACAAGGGGAAGGTGAGCTGGCTTGTCGAAGCATCACGGCTGAGCGCTTAGCGCTGAACAACTTGGTAGTCACCCACTCAGACGTTGACTGATGCGCAGAACACCATCGAGCGAAGTGAGTGTCTCCGTCACTTACCCCTTGATGCTCCGCTTGAACAGTGGTTGACAGCTCATGAAAGACAAGCGTTCTTGAGAAGCGCAGTCCTTCTTGATCCCGCCGCTATTTCAAGCAGAGCAAATGCAGACGTCGCTCAGCTCATTGGTACGTGACATATTTAAAGATTTGAATAACCCGTATGTGATGTCATATCTTGGGTCCTGCGAAAGAAATGCACGCAGAAAAACAGAACGAGGCGAGCGCAAGGGTCACGAAGCTGCTTTCGCGGAAGCTCCAGAAGGCACAAGCGGTTGATGTCCTCAAATGTGATATCGACCGCATCACTGTAGAGACCGAGATCGTCGGCGCCCTTGTAGGCCTTAGCGGAAGAGCCGGTTAGCCACACCTGTATGTGAGCTAGATACAGCACTTTCCAGGTATTGGCTAAGGAGAGTCGGCAAAGACATTTTACCTCTTCATTCTCGCGTCAATGTTGGCAGAGATGTACACAGATACCCATAATCCAAAAATAACGTTGTATACTAGAATATCTAACAGGTAGATCAGAGAGCTACACGGCATGTCGTAAATTGGGCATGATAGCATCGAACACTCGTAGGTCGCGAGACAACGTCGCACGCACACCAACACCCAAACACCCATGCAGATAAAGATAGGGCTAGAAAATTACCATCTACGGCACCCACCTATCAGTCACGACAAAGAGACGAGATGGTGTGGGGAGACACAAGAGTATATGGTATGATAAGGTCATTGTGGGGGAAGGCATGGGGACGTGAGCTGGTGCATGGGAACGGACGGCCAGCAGACTATTGGCTGAGCTTCTCGGCGATCACAGCGCCATCCTTTTCTGAGCCCGTCTCTTCGGCCCAGCTCTCAGAGCCAGTTTCGAGACCCATCTGCGACGTGTCATAGCCATTCTCCTCGAGATACTCGCGGAACTGCGCGGACAAGCAAACATGTGGTGAGCACAGCGCGACAGACGCGGCAGGATGGACGGTTGAAGAAGTGCCCGGAAAGACACATACCTTACGGTCCTCCTCTTCCATACCGTCATGTGTGAGCGGCTTGATAAAGAACAGTGTGATGAGTGCGCTCAGGACGGCCAAACCTGCGTGCGTAGTTGTCAAGCAATAAGTCACAGTTGTGTACATTTACAGCTGAAGAAGCGATCGTACCACTGCCAATCCAGAATGGCCCTGTGTTACCTTTGGCTGATGCCGCACCACCGAAATCTAGGTTATTACAGGATGAATAACGGAAATAAGCTCACGGGTATGTTCAACACACCATCGATAATATCAGGGAAGACTATGCAATAAGAAATAGATACCGCATGTGTTAACAGTGAACGTGGCTGAGGACTAGATGTAGACGCACCCCAGTCACCAACGAATGCACCGACTTTTCCCACCGCGGCGGCAATGCCGTAGAACTTGCCACGAATGGCAGTGGGGCCCGTCTTGACGGCGAGCATACCGGTGCAGTTTCCGGGGCCTAAATTGATGAGAAAAAACATTGAGAACAGCTGAGAAATAACTGACCAACTTCCCCGAAGCTCAAGAAGATACCGTAAACAACCGCGAATGCAGCCACGTGTGACGTCAGTCTGTAGAACACATGTCGATTGAGGGAAATTCAGCAAAATTAAGTACAGGAGCTTACTGGTTGTAGAGTCCACTCATGATGAATCCAATAACGGCCTGGCAAAGGAGGCCAAATATCTATCCCATGATCAATTTCAGTGCTGCAGTCAAGTTAAAAAGCGCATATAGGGACCTGTAATACTCACCATGGTGTACTTCGGTCCAAGGTAGTCAACAAGGAATGCCCCGCCGATTGTGCCTACACGATGTTACTGAAGTGAATAAAGCTGCTCTACAAAAACAACACGCAACACTTACCGGGCATGTAGAACAAGCTAGACGATATGGCCATGTCAGATCGGCAACAAAGGAATTGAATATAAGGAGTAGCACACACTTAATCACAGTATTCCATCCGAATACAACACTCAAAGCGCTCGAACCACCAGTGATGCTGTCATAGTAATCCAAGTTCACTCTTCATCTCCACAGCGAGCTTTAGAAATACTAACTTGTTGACGATGGTAGAGGAGTAGAGAGAGAATGGGTATCTGCACGTGACCGCATACATTCAATATGATGCTGAGGAGTAGTGGACGCAACACACGTAATAAAGTCATAGATGAACCAGACGAGACAGATTGCGAAGAGGTTCAACCAATAGCGCTTCACGATAAGCCAGTACGGCACACGCGCGTGGGCCATAGAGTCCTTCTTGTAGCGTGTCGGCTCCTCCATGCGCAACCGCCAGATAAACACCGCAAGGGCAGGGATGACGCCGAGCCCGAGGGAGAGTCGCCAGACCGCACGGAGGTGGTTGTCGCCGAAGCTAGTTGGACATAGGCAGACAGGCGGGCGTCCGTTAACTCCACTACCAACAGGGAGCCAGAATGCAAGTGACGTACATCCAGTATAGCACAAGGGGGACAAATGCCGCGACAACGAATCCGAAATCAATCATCGAGTCTGAGAGCGGAGGCGTCAGCTCTCCAACAACCGAAAGGAACAAGGGCACCTACTAGTCGCGAGCGCAAACCACCGATGCTGGGCGTTTTTACTAATTCCTGGTTCCTCCGACTGCTCTGAGGCTGCTACCGAACCACAAGGGTATTCCGCGCCCACACCAATACCAAGGAGGAATCTGCAGGCGGATGGAAAGATCGGTCAAAGGAAAGGACATGATGAGGACGACCCTCACCGCATGGCACTCAACATGGCAAGCAAACCGCCAACACTGTGGTTTGCTCCCGAAGATGCGGCAGAAAGGCCAGAGAAAAGTGTAACAATACCAGCAGCAATCATCTAGACGCATATATGCCACATCAAGGATAAGTAAGGCAGAGAAACATGCAAGGTGACTAGCGCTGACCATGCCGGATTTCCGACCAAAGCGGTCAGACAGGTAACCGAAGACGAGCATGCCTACAACTGTGCCGGCAAAGGCAATACTCGTAAGATTCTTGCTGTAGTTGTTCTTGGCGATCTCGTCGGCACCATAGATGCGGGTGAGGACTATGGTTGATTCATGAGTGTGTATAGCACATGAGGGCAGATCGTGCGATACTGACGGGTGTTGACTGTATGACAAGGCAGAAACACTAAGACCTCGTCCGCGTGGGAGAAGACAGACAGACATACCACTACCAATGACCCCATTGGCGTATCCTGCAGCGAGATCGCGGGGATAAGATATATATTGCAAAGTGAAAACATGGTAATACCTACCATCCGAAAAGAGAGCCGTCCCACAGCTACAGGGCAATGTGAGCGGAGAATCTACGGGATGAAAAGGCAGAGACGCACGCGAAGATAAGGGACACTTGGGAGAGGCGAGATCCTTTTCCGGCAGTCATTGTTCTGCACTAGTCGACGCTCACAGTAAAGGGAGGAAGACGAGTCGGATGGCGGGCATGGACGGGCGGCAGCATATTTAAGTCGGAGGGAGGAGAGAGGAGTGATGGTCCGGGGACAGCAGTGATCTTTTCTCCAGTGATGGCCCTGGCCAACTGCCGCATACGGCAAAACCTCCTGCGCACGTTCGCTCGCTCCTCCAGTGTGGCAGGCGCAACCTTCCCCGCCCTGCCTCCTCGCCCACGCTGCCACTGGCCGCATCTCCACCAGACCTGCGGTGCGGCTCTCCTCCTCCCTTCTCTGCGCAGGCCCCAAGACTGCCCGGTCGAGACGGACTACATTTCTGGGCTAAGACGTTAGACTGGATTAGACGCCGTCTGCATGGCAGCATGTGGTGCGCGATCATGCAGAGATAACGTCGCGCTCGAATTCTTTCCACCGCCCTGCCGAATATTGCCGCGGGTCACAAAGTACATCGAAGTTGATATGGAGCCCGTCGGAGTCGTTGTTCTCGTCATGGCCTCGGTATGGGTTGGCGGCTGGTGAGTGTAGGCGAATGCTGGCTCGGCTCGGAGTCTTTCAAAGCGCCGACAGTGATGGGAAGAGTTAGATACGATATTGAGCGGATGATCGATCCTTGCTGTAGGGAGTGCCTGGTACGTCCGTCGTTGACCACCGTCCTTGTCGTTCCGAAGGACACGAACAAGATAGCGATCGTACAGTGTCCCTTGCTCGACTGCCTAATCTGTCCAACGCGCCCGTTGCCGACTGTCGGCACTACGGCATGGCTTTGAGTTCGGTCAATCAAGTCCAACGAACATAACTTTATGTTCCTCGCCGGCCGAGGTCGCAGCACGTTCGTCGGCTTTGTGACCCTCCCACTTTTTTTGTCCAGGAGCCCCGCTTCGAGCTTGTACGGACGAGCATCGCTCGCTGATTCAATAAATTCAGGCCACAAGAACGTTTGAGTTCGCTCCTCGAACGTTTGGTGACCTGATACGCTCTGCAACTTATGAGTGTTTCACATGTAGGTTTCGATTGCAGGCTGCAATGTTGGTTTGAGTACTGCCTTTCGTACCCGAATAAGTACTTTATTCCCCATCCACTTTGTTAATCAATTTGAGACCGCCCGATCGATGCTCTCCGTCGGACCCGTCCCAAGACGCTCTGGAACGCCTGCCAGGCCAGCCAAGCGCGTCAAAAGATTTGACGTCGAAAAGGTACAACGAGTCGACAACCAGCATGACGGTGACCAGGCGATGTCGCCTGACCTTGCGCAGTCAGTACGCAGCCCGGTCGGTGCACTGCCCCGCGCTCCTGCAGCGGACTTGCAATCCCGACGACAGGCGAATGACAGCTATATCAGTGACCATATACACATATGAGTTTGTGATCCAACACCCCGCACGGCAACCGCAATTAGCATCATGACCGTCTCCGCGCCCTCTCCTGGCACCGCCGAATCCATCACTACGCTCACGCTAAACCCAGACAATCCCTGCAACGCGACCATCTCTGCCACGGACGGCTTGGTGCTCTACGTCGCGCATACGGACACGGGCAAGAACGCATCCACGACGCGGATTTTCAACGCGGACGATGTTGTCATTGCATCGCTGCAGTGGAAGGACACCGGGTTCTCTGCGTCCGACAAGGTGACATTGGGTGAACGTGCGCCTGTGTCAATTGGGAGCTGGCTCAGCAAGAGCATGGTGCCCTTCAAAGAGTACGTGTAGCTCGCTTGCTGGATTGGCTTTAGCCTTTGTCGGAGGCGTCTGGATCGTCCAGCGTATTGATCTTGTCCGATGTGCGCAGCGATGTCTCATTCAAGGACGACACCGGGCGCCGGTATAAATGGAAAGGCAACTCGCCCGGTCGCTCACTCGAGGTTAGTATTCTTCCAATAAGATAACACGTACCAATGCCGACGTATACACTCGCCACCCGCCAGCTCTACACCGCAGACGACAATTTCCGGCAGACTATCGCACGTTTTCACAAGTCCTACATTGATCGTAAGGTTGACCCACCCGCGCTCGTCCCGGCAAAGCTCTTGCTGCTCCCTCGCGCCAACGAAATCCGCGACATCGTCGTCTCATCATTCCTTTTTCTGGAGCGGAGTAGGAGAACGGGGGAAATATCAATTGTGAATAGAGCAGACGCGATCGCGCTCGCTTCGCGCGGCGCAGCCGTTATGCCTGCACTCAGATGAGCACGACGAAGTGAATGCAAATGCGACATGACGAAACTTATCGCGACAGGATAGGAACACGCCTGGTGCTGGGTAAGTAATCCCCCGGTAACTGTACTATGATGTACGACCGATCCCATGCTCGCCACACAATGGGACATGGATATCTTCTTGCTTAATGAAGGGCACATAATATTCATCTCGAGCCTCGTAGCATCAGCCGCCCCATGGCCAGTTGATCGCCAAAAGATACCAAAGTCGTCGGATTATAGATGATCTGTGAAAGATTATAAGACAAGCGGAACCATCAATGACCAGGGTTTGTATCCTAGGACCTCACTGTAAACGGCGATCTCACGCAACGAGGGGAGGAAAAATTAGGGCTGCCGCGCATGCCACAGCACGGGATAGTTCACGAGCAAGGATGTGATACGGCTCTCACATGCCGTCGGTACCATTGGCCGTAGGCGTGACAAACGTGTTATGCGGCCGCCAATGAACCTAGTGCGACGTCGATGCTGATGTCTACGCCATTCTTCAAATAGCAGGGCTATTCTAAATGAGTTTGTTGAGGCTTGGCGACTCACTTTCAGCGAAAGCGCAGCAACCTAGACATTCGAAGGAATTGATAACTGCGGATATCCATGCTGCGAAGTGTCTCTGGAAGTTCCCGTAGGCAGTTGTAGATATTACTCACTTCTTTTCCGACTTCCGTGTTTAGGAACGCGACGGTCTGCCCAGTAAAAACCAAACAGTTACAAAACAAGATGCTACATATCAAACCTTGCTAATTGATACAGAATACTGTCACAGTTTGTCCCTCTCATTTCCAAAATTTATCAGCGAGCGCGCATTCTTTAGCCATTTCAAGCTGCGAAGCATGTCATAAATCTAAAGACAGAAGTTGGAGCGCAGTAAAACACACCTGTTCATTTGTCCTACACACGAGCACTTGGCGCTCGTACTTATTTGATCCTATGTCAAAGACTACACCTTCCTTGCCTCGAATGCCTGTGTTTGCCGTAATGTCCAGCCCGAATCCAAGACAAGTGGCAGCGCTGACGACCGCATCACGCACTTCCGCGCTCTTCTCGCCGATACCTCCCGAGAATACAAGCGCATCCACCTTCCCACCCAACCGCACGTAATACGCACCGACGAAGCCGCATATACGGTCTACGAATAAGTCAAACGCCAACTTCCACTTCTCTTCACCCTGCCACCCACGCAAGTCGCTCCCGCTGTTCCCAGCCGCGACCCGGTCCTCTGCGGCCACGCGCTTCATGCGCTCGACAACCTCGCCAAAGTCTGGGGTGCCAGCGAGTGCTTTCCACCCGCTCTGCATGTTAAGAATCTCCTCCGCCTGTGTGACGCGCACGTCGGTCGTCTGGCGCGGGTCGTGCGTGATGCGTCCTGCGCGGTTGGTGTAATGGAAGATCAACGAAGGGTCAACGGCGCCGCTGCGCGTTGCGCCGGGAAGCCCTGAGAGCGGCGTGAGCCCCATGGACGTGTCGAGCGAAGCGCCGTGCTCGATCGCGCAGACGGACGCGCCGGAGCCGAGGTGCATGACTATGAGGTTGAGCGCAGAAGCGGGGCGCTCGAGGTGTTCGCTGACGGCGCTGAGGATATATGCATCTGCAAAAAGAGTGAGTGGGGAGATGAGGGTAGCGGAGTGCACGCACAACTGAGCCCGTGGAAACCATATTTCTTGAGACCGCGTTCGTGCGCGACGGTGGTGTTGATTGCATAGCTAGCGATGTGCAGCGGTATGGAGCGATGGAAAGAGGTATCAAAGTAGGCGATTAAGCTCGCATTCGGAAGCGCATCAATGCACTTCTTTATTACCGACAGTGCCGCGCCATTGTGTCTGAATTCAGCGATAACGAGATGCGTCAACGTTTAGGAGCCCATGACAGCAAGACATACAGTGGTGCGAGATCTGAGAGTGTCTCGATGTGATGGTAGCTTTCCGAGTCTATGAGCACTGGCTCAAAATAGTCACCTCCATGGACGACGCGGTGGCAGACATGCACGATGGACGACCTGTCTATACCCGCCTCCTGATCGAGATAGTCCAAAAAATATGCAAAGGCGGACGCATGATTGTATACTATATCTGCAGGGCGTTTCTTGACTTCGAGGCTTCGTCCATGCGATGCAAATTTGAAAGTGAAAGACGCTGGAGGGGAAGAAAGGTTGGTGATGTTCGAGAACAACAGGGGCTCAACCACTCGATCTACGGCGTCGGATGATCCCGCGACATTCCTTTTGAAGAGGGTTATCTTGAGAGATGACGAACCTGCGTTGAGGGCGAGGATGAGACCGTCAGACGGTGCGTGTAGGTCCGGCATTATCTGCAGCACGGCCGTGAAAGACAGTACTGAAAGCTTGAGTACCGAGTCCCTGACTGCTCATAACCGAAGATGCGGCAAAGCAAACGGTATACAATGATGACGGAAGAATGAACTCAGCCAAGACGACACTGCAGCACAGATATCCGACCTTCAGAAAGAGAGGAGCCTCATCCCGGCATCGGCGTTCTTCCGACCGCACCGTTTTGCTACATCGTCCTGAAGCAAGACTGAAATCGTAACTAGAGGGCATGCGGGTAATTGTGTACAGCCAAAAAGATTTTCTGCCCATTGGCTGGATTGAACAACCGACCTCACCATAGCATGTCAAGTCCATGACTTACAAGTGGCGCGCTCTACCACTGAGCTAAACGGGCCTTGGCATCCCTGTTATGGTTACAGTCAGGAGTAATTTAGGAGTTAAGCATACCTACGTGATGCTAGAGGGACGTCATCCCTTGACTCAAGACGACCACTTTTGTATATATCCGACATACTTATTCTCAAAGATGCTTGAAACCAACATTACCCTCTCATCTTCCTTTCTAACATGCCCGGTCAGCAGATCTCCCAGCCGAATCCTCCTCCGGATCCTTCTCAGCTGTCCGACTCGATTCTCGATTATCGTGTGCAGCTCAAAACTAAGGACATACTCTCTGCCGAGGAATCAGAGGCTATTCATTTATTTAGGCGGGCAGCAAATTACATAGCCGCAGGTTCGTTTTTTTCTTCGGAAAGACTGCTTATAGCTGCTCAATTATTAGTCTCTAGCGATGATATTCCTGAAGGACAACGTTGTGATTGACCGGGACCTTACTCCGGATGACATCAAACCCCGCCTCCTAGGCCATTGGGGTACATGTCCCGGCCTTGTTCTCGTATACGCACATATCAATCGTCTCATCCGCAAAACTGACATTGACGCGCTCTATGTCGTGGGTCCGGGCCACGGTGCACCTGGCATACTCTCTTGCCTTTGGCTTGAAAATTCCCTCGCCAAGTTCTTGCCCGGTAATACTCGCAACAAAGCTGGTTTACACCATCTTATTTCCAAGTTTAGTGCGCCAGATGGATTTCCTAGGTATGTGTCATATCGTCGCAGATGCATGCGCAATACAGGATGCCGATAGTGGCCAATGCATTCCCCTGACTAGTCCTTTCCCCTATAATGTACTTAGAGGGTTGTTACATTTCTGTTGCGCATCATACGGCATTTTCGCGTGATTGTATGCGCCGTGATTCAGCAGCTAGGTCTAATCGAAACTTACTGACACTCTGGTCACAGTCATATTAACGCAGAGACTCCGGGCTCTATTCACGAAGGCGGTGAACTCGGTTATGCGCTTAGCGTTGCGTTCGGCGCAGTCATGGACAAGCCGGACCTTGTCTGTGTCTGTGTCGTTGGAGATGGTGAGGCCGAAACGGGCCCTACTGCTACGTGAGCATCTTTTACATCTACTTGTATGGCGCCTTGGACTGTTTTAATTTGTCCTACAGTGCGTGGCATGGTTACAAATATATTGATCCCGCCGAGTCTGGTGCGGTGCTTCCGATTGTTCATGTGAATGGGTTCAAGATCTCGGAACGCACCATTTACGGCACGATGGATGATAAAGAGCTTGTAGCGCTCTTCATGGGCTACGGGTATCAGGTCCGGTTCGTGGAGGATCTTAATGACATCGACAGCGACATGGCAACCTCGATGGAATGGGCACTGCAGGAAATCCGTTCCATCCAGAAAGCAGCGAGGAGCGGGCGTCCGGTGGTGAAGCCGCGGTGGCCAGTCCTGATCTTACGAACACCAAAGGTCTGGGTCCATATTCGCAACGTCTTGATGCCTATACTAATCAGGGAATATGAAGGGATGGTCTGGTCCGAAAATGTTGCATGGGGAGTTTATCGAAGGCTCTTTCCGCGCGCATCAGGTACCGCTTCCCGCTGCGAAGACAGATCCTGAACAGCTGCGCATGCTTCAGGATTGGCTCTTGTCGTACAAGCCGAAGGATCTGTTCGATAAACATGGAATACCAGTTGAAAAGATACTCTCTATGATTCCAGAGGTTCGAGCAGAAATTCTACTACATGATTTAAGAGCTCACCTTTATCAGGTTCCGCACAAGAGGCTAGGAAGAAGAAAAGAGGCGTATGCCGGATATATTCCGCTGGAAGTGCCTGATTGGCTGCCTATGGGCGTGACAAAGGGCTCTGAACAAAGCTGTATGAAGCTTATCGGTGAATTTCTGCTGAATGTCGTGGAGCAGTGAGTATATATCCCTCTTTGTCAGACAGTATTGTGACTGTAGTTGAAAACAGAAATCCGCACTCGTTCCGCATCTTCTCTCCGGACGAACTTGTATCTAACAAGCTCGATGCGGTACTACGACATAGCGGACGAAACATGCAATGGGATATCGCTTCCCGTGCGAATGGTGGACGTGTTATCGAGATACTGTCGGAACATACTTGCCAAGGGATGATGCAAGGGTACACCCTGACAGGACGCACGGCATTGTTTCCGAGCTATGAGGCGTTCCTTGGGATCGTGCACACGATGATGGTGCAGTACAGCAAATTTGTGAAGATGGCCCATGAGACGACGTGGCGGCAGCCAGTAGGCTCGCTCAATTATGTTGAGACAAGCACCTGGGCACGTCAAGAGCATAATGGGTTCTCGCACCAGAATCCGTCCTTTATAGGGGCAGTATTAAATTTGAAGCCAACGCTCGCGCGGGTGTACCTTCCACCGGACGCTAATTGCTTCCTATCAACGATGGCTCACTGCTTGCGGGCCAAAAACTACGTCAATTTGATGGTGGGTAGCAAACAGCCCTCACCGGTGTGGCTCAGCCCAGAGGAGGCGAATCAGGTATGTTGGTGTGCATTATGCTCACGTAGCGACGAAATCACCGACTCGCGGCTCTATGGCTTTAGCATTGCGTTGCGGGTGCATCGATCTGGAAGTTTGCGAGTGTCGATGATGGCATAGATCCTGATATTGTTTTGGTGGGAATCGGCGTCGAGGTGACATTCGAGGTCATCGCTGCAGCTGCGCTGCTCATGCGCCGCCTTCCGGCTCTGCGTGTGCGGGTGGTGAATGTAACAGATCTGATGATTTTGGGACCGTTTGGGTCGCATCCGCACGCGTTAGGCGATACTTATTACGATGCATTGTTCACGAGGGACAAACCTGTTCATTTTAATTATCATGGGTACCCTGGAGAGTTGAAGGTGAGAGTGATCGTCCATTCTGAATTCTCAGACGCCACTCATACTCTGACCATATAGTCTTTACTGTTTGGTCGCCCCAATCTTGACCACGTTACAATTGAAGGGTACGCCGAAGTCGTTATTACTTGCTAACGGCATACCTGATGGATCCTACGTGTGACAGTTATCGCGAGGAGGGAACAACCACCTCCCCGTTTTCTATGATGCTGCTTAACCACACGTCACGATATCATGTTGCGGCAGCGGCTGTGCGTGGAGCGGCGTTTTCCAATCCCCATGTAGAGATCGACGCGCATGCAGTTGTCAGTGGGTTTATGCATGATGTGGAGAAGGACAAACAGTACATACATGCGCACGGTGCGGACCCGGACGACACTTTCGATGTGCCGAAGTTTGAGTAAAAGGGCAGGTAAGTTTCTTGAGAAACCTCATGGAATTCCCCAATCTTGAGTAGTGCTTGTGTTACGTTGTTATCATTGGCATTTTAGTCCAATTTGGCCTCTGTACCGTGACGGACTACTACATCTCGATGTCCGGATCCGAGTTCGGTTGGCAATCATCAAAAGCGTTACATACATATATTGTACGTCCGCGTCTCGTTGTCGTAGCATATGAGTCTTAAGTAGCCTGTGCGATTACGATCCCACGGGGTCTTGAATCTAGCAGGGGTCAAGTGAAACTTGTAACACGAAGGCGAGATATAACATGAAGACAAACTGGGTCGAGTAGCACCGCATCCTCCGGCAAACCACACAAACGCGGGATATAAAATACTGACGACAGTACTCTGATCACTACTCACTCTCCCGAACACATCCTCTCCACATGATGGCCCAAGAGCGCACTGTAACCTCTGCCGATGGTACTAAGATTGTCGCGGAAGCGATCGGGAACCCGAGCAAGCCCTCTGTTGTCTTTATCCCCGGTCTAGCATGCACATATTTGGTATTTGACAAACAGTTTAACGATGCCGAGCTGCAAGAGAACTTGTACATGGTGCGATATGATCTGAGGGGCCATGGTCGTAGCGATTGTCCCGAGGGCATCGAGGCATATAGTGCACAGAAGATGGCAGAGGATTTCCGGGCTGTGTGCGAAGCATTTGGCTTGAAGAAACCCTTCCTTTTGGGATGGTGAGCAACTTTCGCTTGCAGATCATATTAACGCTCACCTGCAGTCCGTAGGAGTCTCGGAAGTATGTTTCATGAGGTTTTATGATGACCGCTCAATACTTACATTTCTTCATCTTAGCTATGATGGCTGCTGATGTCGCGGCATATTATGGATTGGACTACTTGTCGGGCCAAGTCCTTTTGGGCGGCCCGATGATCACCCTCTCTTTAGGTATGCAGGCGTGCACCGCAGAACTTATGGCTCTGGCTCCCTCCGTCCTATCCACCGACGCGTCGATCACTCGTGAAGTTGCTGTCGCCTACGTGGACGGGTGTGTCGGAGACCCTGCTGTCGATCTCTCATGGGAGACGAAGTTACAATGGATGGGCGGTTTTGTCTGTGTTCCGCCCAGCGTCCGCGGATACTACCTTCAACGAGAGCAGGATGCCACGAGGTACTTGGCGGAAGCGAAGGAGTGGCCAGTGCTTGTGATTCAAGGGACTGAGGACAAGCACACGCGCGCTGATATGGTGGCTAAACAAGCGAAGGAGACATTCAATAAGCTTGACATTCACATTATGAAGGGAGTCGGACATGCTCCGCATTGGGAACGTCCCGATGAATTCAAGCGGTTTGTCCTCGACTATGTGCGGAACGTGGCCAAGGTTGGAAAATCCCATCCCATACACACTGGTCACTAATGGAGGTGTAAAGGCTATATGATCTGGAGAATCAACTTGCTTATAGGGACAACGGGGAATTCGAAGATCAAGGGGACTCACTTGGAGAGGGATGTTTTCTAAAGCTATTGGGGGAAGACGCTTGACTTCGGCGCTGCTGCATCGAGATCTTTGTATAGTATCGCGAAGTAAACATCAATGTAGTATCTGACGATTCACATTGTGTACTATCGACTTTCGTGTTCTTGATCGTCGGTCCAGGTATAGTCACTATATTGACGGACGAAACTTAGTTCAACTGTGTGAATGTGGGGTAGCCCTTGTTAGCGACTGACAAGCTGAAGTGCACGCAAACTGCTCGTCTGGGCCGGGATTGTTCTATACAAAAAGCTGCTATGTAAATACTCCGTGGATTAGTGTCTGTGGTATATTAAATAGTGCATCGATCGGTCAATGAAGTGGCATCCTGTTCCACCTATACTACAAGCGACTAGCTCTTGACTTCCAATATCACATTCGTAGCCATGAGTGCGATGTATACGACTATGAGGACTACTCCCCAACGTCGTGGTAGAAAATAGCCGTTTAACGGCACGAAGATAAGCGTAGCAATCAATATTGCCAGGAGACCACTCCCAGTGACCATAAGCGTGGTCGAGAAATGCAGGAAATACGGTTCATCGGTTTGACGGATAATGTACGAACTTGCAACGCCAACACCGAGCAGGATGTTGAGCATGGGCCCACCAAAACATGCTGAGAAACCCATGATCGGCGCGAAAACCTACCACTACCGTTAGAATGAGTGAAACAGAGCAGAACGGGTACTCACTGCCACGCTCATGTTCGCTACGAGGTCAGCAAGAGAATTCCCGACCGCGAAAATCGTTAGGCCAATGATGGCATCCGACAGCCCAAAGATAAACCCAAAAGTCTAGAATATGAATATATATGAGCTGTCGGCAATGTCGATGAAACATCGTGCGATGTGTACCTGTAGAACCTCAACAACCTCATCTGCGATCCCCATGATCCATACAACGGCGACCGTAAAGCCCATGATACAGCGTGCCAGCTGCGCTGGCGGATGGGTTCCCTGATCAGAGAATACGATCACGATAATGCCAATGGCAAAACCAGCAACTCCTGTTGCGAGCAGGAGCCATGGTTCGTGCTGCATGCCATCTAAGTAAACATTCCATTCGTCAACAAACGGCATCTTCGAATACGAGTCTTGATACCTACCAAACAGGATGGCGACACAGAACAAAGGGCCGAGTGTGCACTGTACGGCCATCAGCCACTTGTTGAATTTGAACTCGTGCATCTCGTGTGTGACTTCCTCCTCCGCGATCAAGGTCCGCTCAACGCCCTCCTCTTCAAAATCGATCAGCCTGCTTTCGCCAAGACTCCCAAGATGTTTTTCGCGCTCCCTGCTCATATCTTCGTACGGCAATACGACAACAGGCAACGTCAGTGTAAGCGCCATCACAGCTGGAGCTGCAAGTACGGCAACAATTTTGCCCATAACCGGTTTCACGCTGAACCCCTGTAATGTGGGGAACAATAGATGGAACGTGTGCCCGAGAAATCGTGCGGCACGCTGCCGCTTCGTCGGCGGAAGGTACTGGTTATGACTGTGTTGGGATTCTGTATCAGTCTCAGAGATGATGGGCGAGGCAGGCGTATGCGAAATAGTGGGAATGGGGGGCATATCGTCTTGTGTCTCGTTAGGGATGGCGGGAGCAACGACTTGAGGTGACCGATCGTCCAGTGGAACCCCAAGCGTGGCGTCCCATGGATCCTGATTCTCCGACACAGGCGTACGCGGACGAGACAGAGTATGATGATGGTAGTGCCCACCAGGATATGGAGAATGAGGGCTATCAAAGAGGCCAAGCGAAGTCCCCGCCGCATCCTGCTGTAGCGAGGAGACTATGCGACGAAATTCGAGTGCGCCAACCAGGGAAAACGACGGCATTGTACTAAGATGGGGAGTAGAATGTGGGGATGGCGACCTTGTATGCGGACGGGGCGGTAAATCTGTGTGTACTCCTAGACGAGGTGGGCCTGGCGTCGAGATTGCACGCGACCTCGTATATACGGGAACTTGTAGGGAAGACGATACCGTCGAAGGGCTAGCTATGTGGGGCTGAATATTAAACTGACGAAGCTTGGTAGGTATACGCACGATTGTCGACATAAGGCTCTTCATCGCGATACGGAGGGTGCACCACTGTTTCCTCTCTAAACTCATCACGCATGAGCTCTTCGTGCCGTCGTCTTCGTTCGACTCTCTTTTCCCACATGCTCCCCCCAACAACAATCACTACGTAAAAGAGATAAAGTGCAATCAAAAAGCCTGCCTCAAAGCTTTGAATTTTGCTGTCCCACAGAACCACAAGCAGCACTACTACCGCGACCGTGAAGAAGCCGACATCCCGGAAGAAGCGATACCGAATGACTCGGAAAGGTTTGATAATGCAAAGAGAGCCTACCACACACGATACTATGAAAGTTGCAGCGCCAAGAAGCTCGCCAATAGCAAGGCCGCCTGAGTTCGCTTTCATGGCGGAGAATGTGGAGAAGACATCCGGGCTGCCATTTCCAAAAGCAAGAAACGTTACACCAGCCATGTTTTCGTCCAAACCAAGCATCTGTGCCAGGGTAGCCAGATTAGGGCAAAAGAAGTCGGATGCGCTGATGCCGAGAGTGGAGAAGAGGAAAACGAGCCACATGAGGTATGCCACGAAAAGGAAAGGGCGTAACGAGGGGTCTGCGCAGAAATAATTGCTCAGATATGGAATAGACAAGAACGTGCGAGTGCCTGCGCAAGATTCCTGGACGTGTGCACATTGTTGCTCCATCGGAACAGATATTGGGAAACATTGCTGTTGACTTTTGTCATAATAACTGATACTGTGTGGAAAAATGAACCATACCTCCTCTTCCAATTCCCCAAGTCCAAGTAAGAAGGAATGCGTAGTGTTTGCATACTGTAGCTCGTGTGCATTCCTCTTTACGAGCAGCGGGGACTGTGAGCGTATCGAGTGGACTTGGCCGAACCGACTGTGTGACCAGAGAATGCAGTTGACCACAAGGACGGAGACGAAAACGAGCTTGGGAAGGCCGGGCACCATGACGGTGAGGGGAAGAGGGGAACGGCGCACTCAGTGCATGCGACTGGAGACGAACGCGGCGAGCGCGCATGAGTGGATATGAGAGCACGTGAAGCTACGCGTAGCATGTGACAGTACCTTCGTCACGCGTGACATACGGCGGCGGATGACATGTGAAATCCAGACCTGCGCTCACCCACTCGCGTTCATCGCGTATGTTCTGAACTTGAGCTTGAACCCGCAGGACGGCCATGTCTTTTTCCCGCCATACCCTTCGGCAGCTTAAATTCATTCTCCCTGGGGGTCTGATCACATATTATTATCTCGACAGCCATACCGCTTTCTGGTGGATCGTCAGCGGAGAGACTAATGTCGATGGCTGGGGGAGGTCATTATGCGCCGAACATCGTGTCTTATTGCTATACTAAGCGTTCCCTGAATTTAGACTCAATGCACTGGCTTCTTTTGGATCTGCAATGCTCACCATAGCGCTGTTCATGTATATCCTCTCCATTCCATTAATACAAGGGCAGCAACCCAATGTATGTGTGCCTCCAGTGCAGATGCCCCATTTGTCATTCTGAACCTGTCCTAGTATCGTCGGTGGAGGGAATCTGGAGTGTTGTCATCAGTAATTCCGGTGAGCACTTTCTTTCTGATTACGCGCTTCGGACACCTCAGTTTACAATCGCCCTCATAGCTGTTGACTGCTTCAATCGTCGTAGGGTGGTCACTGCTTTCATATACCCTTGGACGATGGTCAAATATGGGATTCGTAGAGGGTGTTATAGCTGGTGCGTTTCTGCACAGAGTGTACGCGGAGCTCCGACTGACGCGTGCCCTTGAATTCCTCGCATGTAACAATGTCCTGGAATATACCGCCTGCAATCAATGCAGCGTCGGGGTTGTACGCCTTGGCCTTCGGTCTACTTGGCCTTATACCAGCGCCCAAGATTACCTGGCGATGACTCAAGCGTGTTACATGTCACGACAATAATGTAACGGACAATCTGAGTTTGTTTCTCGACGTCTGAATAAGTAAGTGCAAGTTCCACAGCACGCATGTAATAGTATTTCGTATTCTAGTGCAAAAAACACTCGTCGTGTAGTGCTGGCCGTGCAAGCTCGTGTATCATTGTGCGTATAATATGGTTCGATATCAGGCGTGGACGACGGACACGAGGCCTACTTTGAGCGGCAATTGCGCATCGTTGTTTTCCTTCCCTACTGTCGGATATCTCACCGATGCGACGTTCCATACAATAGGCTTCCCCGTCAGCTCAAACGTGAAGGATGGAAGTAATGCTGATAGCACGACCTCTGGTGTGAAATGGAATCAGTCAGAACACTAGCTGGGTACACACAATCGTGTATGCAACTCACTCATTTCCAACTCGGAGAATTTGAAACCGCTGCAGTGTGAGCAGCATTAGATTACGACAGCTACGCACTATTGAAACTGAGGTAGACGTACATACATGACCTCCCTCCCCCAGAGAAGGTCATCCTGGAGAAAATATTGATATATGAGAAAACTCATTGATATAACACGGAATGAACGTACAGATTGGAATACACTCCGGGAATCGGTGCCTCGGTTAGAGCGTTAGGCAGTGGCGCAAGCCACCGTTCGGGTCTCCATTCTAGAGCATCCTCACCCCATAGAGCCTTGTTGATATTCGATCCAAGTATGCCGATGATTACCTTCGTTCCCTTTGGAATCAATATTTGGTGCATGAGTGTGCCGTCTACTCCACGAATGGGTTCAGACAAGGGAAGTATGACATCCTTGATGGGCCTAGAGAGACACAGTCAGAATCGACCGGCAGATGGTGTTATCCCTCGACATCGAGCCAAACACTTACTGGCGGACCACAAGGTTGTCTGCTGGGTCGCTAAAAGCCAGCCTAACTTCAGGTGTATTTTCAGGAGTGAAAACATGATACTGACACTCGCATGGTCTCTCTGCAGACAGCGTCAAGGTAAGGGAGTCGCATTAAAGAGTCATAGGACAGGTTTCCGTCTGAATCGTTCCATGCTTGTATGATCTCTCGGCGTAATTTCTCTTGAACGTCTAGACGCTGAGCCAACCGCTCCAGAATTCGAGCGAGACTATTAGATGTTGTATCCATGGCTGCGAAGAGGAGCGTTCTACGGATCTTCAATGCAGACGTCCATGGAACAATCTTATCCACTCACGTCATTTGAGCGATGATCTCGTCTTCAGTAAGCCTATCGGGCTCAGATGCTGACAAATTGGAACTCACTGCAGAACAGTTAGCAGATGATTTTCGACAAATGAATTGAGAAAGAACTCACTGAGAATACTTATTATATCTTTCCCATCCCCTGCTAGGCTGGAGATAAGCTCGTCTCCTTTCGTCAAGCCCTTCTTCTTGTCTTCGTAGATATCCACCGATCTTTGAGTAATGGTAGCGATGATCGACCTCATCTTCTGAAGCTGTTTGTGCGGGAATAACTTGACCACGAGTCGACGGAACCAGACGGGTCCGAGACTCTCCACATATGGGACAAATTGCCGCAGAAGAGTCAGCTGGTAAAGGGTGGGTCTGTGGGTGAAAGTGCGTCAATAATAGCGTAGTAGCTGGTACAAGATTATTATACTGACATGATGTTCTTCACGGCATCCGCGTAGGGATCCGAAGTGTCTTCAATCAGGGGATCGAAGGAAACTCCCAAGCCACCCTGCCCAATAAGCTCGAGAGCGGTACGTCCCATCCAATTAAGCATGTCGAGCTCGCGAGGTCCATCACGAAGACGAGAACTCAACGCTTCGTGAAGCTGACACACAATCAGCGCACAACCGGACATCGAACTACTGTTCTGGACGGACCTTATTTGTAACACTGTAGAAGATCGGAAGCATATGGCGCATGTGATTAATAGAAAAGACAGGGTTCAGCATCTTGCGCTGCTTGCGGTGCTGATGGCCTTCGGAACCCTAAGTCCGCGTATCTCACTTTGAGAAGTTGCTTACCTGTCGTAGAAATCAGACCGGGTCCGAAAATTAGCATGTTCGCTCTTGACCCCCATCAAGTCAGTATCTACCGAGCACAAGTGAGGCAACCTACTTTACAAAGAGTTCCTCCTCCTGATACGACTGGTGATCCTTGGTGATAATGGTATTAAGAGCCTTGGGGTCGTAGACGTATAATATTGGTTCCTAATTCCGTCAATCTGTGGGGGATTTGAAGATCATTACAAGAGCCACTCACTCCAAGTAAGCTTTGCATTCGGACCACAGGACCGTAGTTTTGAGCGACCTCAAGGTGAAAGTCCGTTCCAAGCCGATCATAAAATTGGTTCAAATTCCCTTTGGACATGTCGTCAGCGACACGCCGCGATGACAATGATTATAAGTCGACCTGTCCAGAAAGACTGTGGAGGGGGCCCCGGAATACGATTCAGGGTCGATCTAGCAACTAACCGGCGATACCAATGCAAGAAGCAGAAGGTCACCAACAAGATGAACAGCGACCCAACAGGAAGGCCAGTTGCCGCCATCTTCCAAAGAGAAGTGTGTGAGGCAAAGTAAAAAAAAAATAGTAATAAAAAAAGGGAGGGCTCGCTATTGGGAATCGTAGAGCCACCTGGGCTATATAGCGCTGCTCCTCTGATATACAAGACCCGTGCTTTCACGTAAGGTTTCAAGTGGGGACCATGTCTTCATCATCAGGGAATGGTCCCGGCAACTAAAAAAAACCCTGTTCGTCATGCAGACGGACACAATTCACAAACCTTCATTGACCTCTGACGTACCCAGCAGGAGGCATCTAGTAAGATCTGTAGCATGTCGACGCTCGGTCAATGAGAAACTATGCCCAATCTGTCGGACTAGGCCAATGCTGCCGAACTAAACCAAGATAAAAACGTTTAGACCCAAAACAAACGCGCCCGTACCTCTCCCCTGGATCTCGACTGGCATTAGAAACCAAGAACCGGCGTATATAAGTGAAAAGATGGGCACTGCCTTCCTTTTTGACCCGGTTAACGGGTTCGGAAGTAAAACATCGTATTGGAGCGCTTGGTAAACGCCCTCGACTTGTATACATTTGTGTAAACGGTCGGAAATGAGCAAACCCAAATGTAATTCATCATGTTCCACAATGGTATAGGATGAGGTAGTCTCGGCCCTTCTCTGACCTAAGCAGAACGTCAGCTCGGACCTAACGTGGAAACGAGGCTCTCACGTCATCTCATTTCAACGCTGTTCAGCGTGATACAATCAATCTGACACGAGAGTCCTTGTGACATCCCAGCGGCTAGCAACTCGCAGCTGAACAGCAGCATTGTCCGCTAAGGGGACTTGTGCAGGCGCTACTCCAAGTTCATGCATGAGAGTTTGGAGGAGCTCGGCACCATCTGCTGACTGTTATCATCCAAGTCAGGAAGATCTTCGAAGAGCCCAAGGGCGATTGAGAGGTGAACTAGACGCACGAAATTATCTATATACTTATTGAGCAACGAATGAATGTAGTACAGCTCATTGACGGTGAGAGTAATGGTGCGGTCTGTCTCCGGTAGATCCGCCTATACGTCGTGATCCAGATCATTCGTAAATACCCCCGAAGCTAAGTCTAATGCGAATGTGACACACCAAGTAGTCCTTATCAGGGTCGTTCACCTGGCAAAGCTTTCGCAAAAAAGTGTTTATGCGGCTTCGATTGGCTTCAACAAACGGATCTATTAGTGGTTTCATATAGAGTTTGTCTGCGGATGCGGATGAGGACGTAGTGATTAAACCCTCCAGCATCGTCGCAACCTGTGAAAAATCTCAGCACGGGTCAAAATCTACGATCTACTAATCACGGACTAGGGTGAATGTTCTCCAGGAGTTTGGGGAGGGAATCCTGGCGATAAGACAAAACTCTTGGGGAGTGTTTACTGCTGGGATGATCAAGCGCTGGAGGAAGAACTGGCCGACCACCGAATGAATGTCCTCCTCACATGCGGCAGGGAACTGACGCTGTAATACTTCGCGTGGGTAATAGATGGCCTCAGCAGATGTGATCCACTCACTTGGAGACCACTTTTGATCTGCCCGCATATCCATCGGATATCGTAAGGAACGCTCTCGAGGCTATCTATGACGCTTTCGAGGATGTTGCTTGCGATGGCTGTCAACATGGCCAATCGGGGGACGATGATTGCATGCACATCCTCATTCATTGTCGCCTCTTCCATAGTTACCTCCTGCGGTAATTCTGGTGGTACAGAACCATTTGTTGCCATTATGGTATCCAACAACTGAGCATAGACTTTCATAGGATTGATTTCTATGTTTAAGGAAGGGTGATCGGCCAAGCGAGTTAGGGACCCGGCAAGGGCTGTCTTTAAATAGCTCAAGGTGGCTTCACGACGAGTATACACGATAAGGAGTCGAGAGAAGGGAGTAGGAAGACGGAAAAGTGAAGTGAGCTCCGGCGTCGATAGCACCTGCGACTGGATGACCAGCCTGACGAAGGTGAATGCGAGATATCCTTCCGACACACTAGGATGCAAGGCGAGGATAATTATGTTTAGAAACTGGTCAATCTCGGAAAGGCAGACTGAACGGCACAAAGTCGCAGCTAGTTCAGGTCGCGATCGGAGCAAGTAGAGCAGATGGGAATACAGCCAAAGCGCACGATCACTTGGCAAATAAGTGCGAAGAGCTTTGGGTTGCATAGTGCGGCTGTGTCAAAATTCGTCTGGAGAATGAATCACGGACACCCAAGTGGCTTGAAGGAGGGTATGGGAAATACATAAGACCAAGGACGTCGGACGCTTATATCAGTACGCAGCCATGCCGGACTGCGGTTGCAGCAGACGAAGAGTGAATCAGATCATGCCCAGCAAGATATTTACACAGCAATAAGGCTAGGTGAGAACGGTGATGAACATACTAACGGGTTCAGCGGTCACCGCTTATTGATTAGAATTGTCGCGAGGTCCTTTTCACCTTCCTTGATATCATGGCATGGCATGCCTCGCTCGTACTTGATTGTCACGAATATGAGCGTCTGACGTCTGGCACCGGGAAGACTTGCCTTGTGTGATTCATAGCAAGATTGCCATGCGCAGCATCACCGAACGACCATTGCCACAGCCAGTTTGTTAGATCCCAGAGTTCTTATCAGGAGAAGCAGTGTCGTCTGCCAGGAGGCAAGTGCAGCGCCATGTACACTCAGACAAATGGGCGGCGGTGAACTGACCCCGTCATCGGACGAAGCCCGAGGGGAACTTGAAGGGGATCATGAACTTAATTCAAGTTAGGGCAAAGATGACTTCAGCGGCCAGCCACAGGTCAGCGCTTCCGACTGAAGACGATTACCCGAATTGGGTTGGTAGTCACCCTTCCGTTCCTCCGCAACGGCTTCCAAAGTGACTACTATTATCCCCCCTCTCCAACTGTCGGAGATCCCTTTCTTCTCATCGTTCACGAAATCGACCACGTCCATTCTTTCACCCTGCCATTGGCATATCGCCGCTTTCCTCGTCTATTCAGTGATCCCGGCATTATACCATTTTCTCTCTGGATACCGCACCAATGTCGTCTTACTCCGACCTTCCTGGTTCACCCCAGTCGCCTGGCAGTATGTCTTCGAGGAGAGTCACAAACAGGAACACCAATAGGTACAGCGTCACAGCCCTGTTTAGCATGGCGGCTGAGCAGGACGTTGAAGTTGAAGATGAGTTGGGCCGAGGTGAGCACAGCAGGTTGCGCTCTTCTCACTGGCTCTGAACCATACCTTTGTACTGCAAAGCGCAAAAACGACTAAGAGAGCTGAAGTCACGCATCTCAGCTCAGTCAAAGCGGAACTTTGTACTGGAGCGCGATGTTCGCTTTCTTGACTCTCGGATTGGCCTGCTAATCCAGAACCGGATGGCTCTTGACGAGGTTCGTCCTGTCATGAGATCACTATTGACAAGTCTTACTGTGTATGCCAGCAAAACGAAGTGGAGAAACATCTTGAGGAGGTGGACGCAACTGAGGGCCACTACCCCGATGATCGAAAGCTACAGCAATATTCAAACTTGTTCTTCCTGTTGCAGTCCGAGCCACGGCATATCGCGAATTTGTGCCGACTTGTCAGTCTTACAGAGATCGATACCCTCTTGCAGACTGTCATGTTCACACTATATGGAAACCAGTACGAGAGTCGCGAGGAGCATTTGCTCCTGACGATGTTTCAGTCCGTGCTATCTTCACAATTCGAAACCGCAACCGAGTTTGGCTCTCTCCTAAGGGCTAATACACCAGTGTCTCGTATGATGACTACATACACTCGCCGCGGACCTGGCCAGAGCTATCTCAAGAGCGTTCTCGCCGAGCGTATCAATAGTCTCATTGAGCATAAAGACCTGAACCTGGAGATAAACCCGGTCAAAGTTTACGAGCAGATGATAATCCAGATCGAGGAGGAGACCGGTTCTCTCCCGCCTAACCTTCCACGAGGAGTACCACCAGAGGTTGCGTCAGCAAACGCTGACGTACAGGCTATCATTGCGCCACGCTTGACCATGCTCATGGAGATCGCGAACAGCTTTCTGCTGACGATCATCGACAGTATGGATACCGTTCCTTATGGTATCAGGTGGATCTGCAAACAGATTAGGAGCTTGACGCGGGTATGTACATGCTATTGAGTAACTGGCATATTGATACGAAGACAGACATTCGGTGCCGCAGCGTAAATATCCCGATGCAACAGATTATGCTATCTGTTCGCTCATCGGCGGGTTTTTCTTCTTGCGTTTTATTAACCCAGCTATCGTAACTCCTCAAGCGTATATGCTTGTCGAGGGCGTACCGGCTAAGTTCCCCCGAAGGACGCTAACTCTGGTTAGTCATCAGAATTAAATCGCGTATTCCCACTGTCCTGACGATATATTTTTTAGATCGCTAAGATGTTGCAAAATCTCGCGAACAAACCTTCGTATGCCAAGGAAGCTTACATGATTACTCTTAATCCATTTGTGGAGAACAACAAAGCGCGTATCAACCAGTTCCTGAATAACCTTTGTGAAGTTGGGGACTTTTATGATACGCTCGAGGTACGTTGTCATGTTCGTGATTAACGAAGTCCTCAGAATTCGCCACTTCATACAGATGGATCAGTACATGGCTTTATCAAAGAAGGATCTCATGATTAACATCACGCTTAACGAACTATACAACACACACTCTTTAATTCTTCAGCACATTGAGGTGTTGGTATGTACGTGCATTGTTTTTGCACAAACGAGTCTGATGCTGTGGGTTGGAAGGCGCCCAATGACAAGCAGCACTTGCGCATCTTAACCGACGAACTTGGTGCTGCACCTTCTCAAGTTCCTAGGAAAGAAAATCGAGCAATCGAGCTATCACTTTACAGCCGATGGGAGACGCCCATACAAGATATTCAGAGTGCACTCATGGACTCCGTCTCAACCACGGACATGCTTTACATGGAGGCCAAATCGAATCTCGTGCAGCTCATCAGATCGCTCCCGCAGATCAACGACAAGCGACCATACAACCTCTCTCAACTGGCCGAGCACGCTGCGACATCCTCGAAGGACGCCACGCTTGTTCGTAAAGGCATCAAAGTAAAAGAAATGTTGCGCGAGCTCGAGGAGTACAAGGTGATAGATCAAGCCGATGGGTATAGGCTGATGCAGGAGGAGGTTGCAGCAGAGCTCGTCCATCTTGGGAATCTGCGCGAGAAGGTAATCTTGGAGACGAAGTCGCTAGAGGCGGTCTATAAGACTATCTGCGATCACAACAACTATTTGCGTGGCCAGCTGGAGCAGTACAAGGCATATTTGCAGAATGTACGGCTCACGGCGACTAAGGATAGGGGCGCTACGTCTGGTGTGGGTGTTGTCACTGTAGGAGGAAAGGAGAAGAAGGCTGCAAAACCTATTGTGCACGGTCCTTATCGGTTTACGCACGCCCAGCTAGAGAAAGAGGGTATTATTGTTGAGAGCAATGTGCCTGACAACCGGTATGTTTGCTTTGTCTTGCTGTCTGCCTGATTCCTGATACTGACTACTCTGCATCAAATAGGCGACCGAATATATATTTCAATTTCACATCCCCAACTCCGGGTACCTTCATCATCGCGCTGCATTACAAAGGCCGTGAAAAGGCAATCCTAGAGATGGACCTGAATATCGATGATCTGCTGGAAAAGGTTCGCGCCTGTCTTAATCTACATTCGTACGGACGCTAAATTTGATTTGACTGTAGCAAAAGGACAATAAGCACCTTCTTGATCTGGAATATGTCCAGCTCAATGTGCCGAAGGTCCTCACTCTTCTCAACAAGATTTTTGCTAAACGATAATCATACTTATTCTTCCTATTGGGCAACATTTGTTCGTTCTTCTGCGCCCGCTTATATTCCTATTTATCACGATCCTTTACGCATCACTGTACGCCTGCGTCCTTGTTGTCGATGTTCCCAGCCTCACCTCGTCTGTTTCCTTATTGTCTCCCAGGTTCTGCTCTTGGTACCTTTATTGTTCTCGCTGGATCGCTCTTGTAAATCCACCCCATCATTAGGATGTATTATCGATAACACCTGTATGCACGTCCCTTGGCATTAATCTGTTGCTTCATGGCAAACGCTATAGACGCTCTAGTATATACACCGACGCTGATAGTGTGTGATCATCACACAAGGCCTAGAATCAGTACTGTCCCAGTTATGGCTTACAAGGCTAGTACATTTATGGCCTGTACAGGAATTATGGTAAAGCAAAATTCAAGCGACAGCTCGGCAACAAGGTATGTTATCATAAGGTACTGCTGTGCAGTTCCACATGGTGCAACACTGGGAACCCGTTCTCAATAGCCAGGAACGCTCGAGGCCGAGTTGAATAGCCATGGGAGCAACGGCCATTAGACAAAGTCCAAGATATATACATCACCGTTGAAAAGACCCATACAAACACGTCCGGTGACCTCGTCGAAGGCGAGGGAATGACATAAGTTTGGCGTAAATGGCAGCACGGGATCGGATGGTAACAGCAATCCTACGGAATTACCGGACTGCGGGTGATATCGCATGACCCTCCTGGTTTGTGTTTCCCAATTGTGTTCCAGCCACACAGCTCGTCCTGTAGGACCAACTTGTACGAGTTGCGCCGAAACTTGGGGCGGCAGAGCAAAGAATCTCGTAGTGCATGCCTCGCCATGAATCTCGGATGAGAAGGGAAGCGCGAATCGAGTCACCTGCTCCACCCCGGCTGATGAATCGTGGAATGCGTAGCAAATTACGACTGATAAGTAGGATGAGGATGGGGTCGAGACTCGAGCAATGTCGTAAAACTCCGCATCCTGTCTAAAGGGTTGCATGGATTCTACAACTATAGATCCTAGGTCAACGATGTGATCCCGGTGCAGCTCGGCATCCTGTGGGGCGGACCATTGCGAGTACTGAACTTTGAAGAGGGCGGCTCGCGAGATACGATAAATGCGAAGGATAAGGCTAGACCGCATATTCCCGAGCAGTAAGAGGTGATCATCGCATAAGCGCACCCATAAACTAGAGAACGGCTGTGCCCAAAGCCTTGAAGCGTGGTAAAGAAAGAAACTAATATGCTACTTACCTCCAAAAGTGCAGGATCGACCCATCCAGTCATGCCTGACTTGGCATGAGTAAGATAAACTTGCAGAGGGCACTCCCCACCCGGAATAGCGACGGTAATAGCGACGATACCATGCGAAATAGCCATTTGGTGTATAACAGGAGGAACGTCCGCAATACGAGGATGAAACAACACAGGGATAGTCCTTGTGGGTAGCAGAGTAGGAACACTGAACGAAAAGTCCGCACGGTTCTGTAGGGGGATGCGATATACGTCAATCTTGCTGGCCATCTATCAACAAAGTCGAAATGATGTTAGATAGCTCATGACTCACTCCATTCCATCATTGAACCCGACTGCCAATGTAACACACTCTTCTCTCGCTTGGTATTCTAGTGTGCAGTCCCTGTAGAAGCCCACTACCTCAATGTCAGCGACGCGGTAAACATCGCTCAGATCCTTCAAGGACCATAGAACAACGCGAGAACTTCCACGGGCTTGAGGTTGACGGTTTCGCTGCGCGGTCAAGAGCCACTCTCCGCCTGGCAAGAATTGCATCTCGTCTACATACGGCTCATTTGTGTCGCGGACAAGAGCATGAGTCCGCTTCAGCACCGGCGTTGTCTTCTGCCAATTGGCTTCGAGCCGTATCGCTTTGACGGCTATCTTCTGCAGCTCCTCGTGAGATAACGTGATGTGAGGCACACCAGAAGGGATATTGAGAGGGAGTCCTATGTGTCTGATCACACAATGCCAGAGGTAGTCAGAGGAGCCTATTGCGTGCAGAACGCGACACGTCTGAACGACTCTTTGTTGTCATATACAGCGACTCACTAACAATATCATCTTGACTCACCTGTTTCACGATCAATAAATTAACCACCTCGAGATAGAGAAACACCTCAAGTATTAGATCCTCAGGAAGGTCGGTGAGATGCATGGCGTGTATAACGGCTGTTATCGCATCATAGGCCTATGAAAACGAACGTCCGTAGTTAACCACTATCAGTGTCTAGAGACAGGTCTGTGTGGTCGATGAGCCATCAGTGGGTGCGGCATTCCGTGAGCAATCCGAGGCCGTGTGCACTCGAAATGGAGTCCTGACTCGACCAAGTCCGCTCCGATGGAGATAGGGGGGATAAGCTTGTAATGATTAGAAGGTCTTTAACCAACCTAGTATGCTACTGTATGTTATTTCTAGGCTATTTTATAATTATAATTAATTAATTTCCAGATTCATAGCCCTTAAAAAGCTCACTGAGGCCTGCCCGTGTCCTCACCCCTTTCAGCCATGAACATCGACACGACCGACCCCCATAGCTTGTCAGAACTGGAGAGTCTGTCCGACTCTGACTGGCTTGACATTGCGAGTAGCAGAGCGTCGGACACCGACTTCGACAGCGATCGGGACATTGACCGTCCATCCTCTCGCCGCTCCTTCAATAGCATAGGAAGCAGCTCTCGCGACGGCGACGGAGAGGTTCAAGCCTGGGAAGGCTTTGTGGACGATCCTGTCGATGAGTCTCCTACCATTCATCTTTCCCTCACCACACGATCTACTGCACTAAGCGACGCAGTAGCAACACTCATCGATCCTGGCGCCGTTCCAGATGCAGAGCTACAAGATCCTTCCGAGGATCAGCGAGTTAAGGATGCCTTGGATCAGAGCATGATGAGCACCTTAAGCTCGTCCCCATCGCGGTCGCATCCCAACTCACTGAACGCTTCTCATGCATCTATAATACAATCGCGCGACCTCCGACTCTCGTTTCCCGACCCTCTCACCAGCTCCCGCGAGGAGCTGTTGAACACATCCTACGAAGAAGTCGCGAACTCTACGGAAACCGACGATGTGTCCCCTGGTTTAGCTGCGGATATACCTCCAGTATATGCAGATGCTGCGGATCCGGGTGCACCTGCCATGCCCGTGGTCCCCCCATGGGATGGAGATTCCATTCAAGCCGATATGTATATTGTGCTTTATGGGTCCTCCTCGACGGTCAAATGGTCGTTCATCGATAAACTGCTCGAGAAGATCGCACAAGGCACTGGTTTTATGCTCACGTCTAAGATTATCGGCCTCATCGACGGCTATGTACGTTTCCTGTCGTCCGATGAGGAGTGTCGTATAGTGTCTGTGCTCGATCGCACAGGAGACGACGTTGTAGGTTTTTCTTTATATCTCACTCTAAGTTTGACTTCATCCTGTTGCAGTCGAGTTACGTTTCGCTAGATCGTCCATCATTGGCGGTGGTGTTCCTGCCTTCTGCTATGAAGGCATTGCCAGATCACACTCTGTACCTTCCGGTGCTGGCGCGAAGCCTTAGCGTTGTTGATCTTCCGTATTCCGCTGATCAGTTGCTTGATGCGGAGCAATACTGGGATACTCTGCGTGTGTCGCGGAGCAAGGTGGTCTCCACGACGATGGGTTCATCAGCGGTCATCGACCACGATGAGATCGAGCGCTTTGCGCCGAGATTGGTCTTTCGGGCGCTGCGGCCTGTGCTCGCGAGACCGGTGCGGAAGCCCGCGCAGAGATTGACATCCAAACATGCATGGACTATGTATGCTCATTTCGTCCAATCTTTTCCATACTACACTAACTCCTGATTTTTACTGCAATCTAGCCTTGCGGTGCTCTCTGTCGTATTGGGCTATGCAGTCACAGGGTCTTTCACTACTCCGGCTCTTATTGCCACGCCGCCGCAGGAGCAGACCACGCTTACGAATTCGTGGGGTACCGAACGTCCGGTGAATGTTCCGCCCAACAGCAGTGCCTCTCCTTTAGTACCCAGTCCGGTATCCTCGGCGTTGGTGCCCTCGTTGAAAGATTTAGCACTTGCTGTCCTCCCTGCGCAGCTATCAGCATCCACTTCTGGTTCACGCCAAGGTCTTGCGTCCTCCACACCAAAGGCTGATCGTATCGGCGAATCAGCCGGCGCGCCATCCGAATGTCCCTGCGGATGTGGTCTTATTACCTGGCCAGGGAAGCTTGTTGCGACGACAGACCTTATGTTACGCCCTACCCCACCCGTTCCCGCTTTGCGCGAGAACAGTCAATCCAGTTTGTCGTTGATCGCCCCCTTACCTCTGCATCGCACTGCGAGCAAGGGTAAGAGTAAGGCACCACTCCATCCGGAACAGTCTTTGTATGCCCTCAGTACGAAGATTGCTGGTTCACTCTCGGAATATTTCGATCTCGAGATATTGGCCGCGGTCGTCGTACGTGATGTACAAGAGATTCTGGATGCCCTGGATGAACTCGTACATGCCATTGTCCGGCAGACGAATCTGGCGTGGGAGCAGTCCAAGGACACGGCACATGAGATACGGGGCTATCTTCAGGAGAGACATACCCGTGCTCGTGCAAACGCGCTGGCGCTGCGTGATATGGGAGGACGGATAATTGACTCGCTTAGGGGCCGTGCTGGCGTTGCAAAGGAGAACGCAAGAGCGATACGGGAGAGCATGCGGTCGCTGGATATATGGAAGACGCCACAAGCACGGAAGGAGGAAGCGTCTCGTATTCACCAGCGTTTTAGGGAACGTTTTCGAGAGCGGAAAGTAGGCGGGAGGGCACGACTGGCATCCATGCATTGAGCTTAGCGGCTTTGCAGGTTGCATGACCCCTAGTTCATATGATTCGGGCTTGGGGGATGTATGTTTCGCATAGGTTTTTCGTGCAATTTCGACATTGGTATCTGTCTACATGTTGTAAAGCTTCGCATGTATTATTGTATGTTATTATAGCATCACTCCCTGGTACAACCGTTCTCAATTATGTACCATATGTCACAATGTTCTTTGGAGTATGTATCTAGTGATTTTGTCGTTAAGTTGAGCCATACAATTTTGATGATGCGTTCTTGTTCAGTTGCTTGCGGCGCGAGTCGAAGGATGTACTACTAGTAGCACTGATCAGGATCCATGGGCGCTTTATTTGATATAAGCGCCCTAACACGTGATGAGAACAGCATCTCATCGCATCCGACTCCGTCTGCCTTCTCCCGCAGTAATTCTGCAGCTTTCACTCATTGGACTCGTTCACTCTCGTATCTACTTATTCTTGACCTCCATGTATTCACCCCGGAATAGCTATGGCTCGCCACCAGCGGAACTTTCCAATAATCCTTTCATCGACCATCCCGCTAACGCACTTGCTCGCTACCCGGATATTGACGGCACAGACAGCCCGGCAGGCACCCAATATACTTCATGGCTGCAGCAGCCCTCAGGTTCTATAGCAGGTCCTAATCCCTCCGGTTATCCTGAACAAGGAGCTTCACCAGGATACGGTGGCAGATACCACCAACCGCAGGTGCAGCCACAGGAGACATCGTGGAATGGGAACGGGGGGTATATGCAATCTCAGCAGGGCTACAGCGGGTCACCTGTGCAGAATCCACAGATGACCGGACGACAGGGTTTCCAGCCCTCTAGCTCGTTTGGACAGCAGCTCGCCTCACAGGTGAACAATGCTTACGGAGTTCCGCCACAACCCCAACCACAGCAGGCACAGTATACAGGCTATCCGATGTCCACATCCTCGCAGTACAGCCAGGGATACCAGCCTGGATACACACCCCAACAACAACAGCAAAATCCACAATATCTTACAGAATTTGATCCTTATGCGCAGTCCGCTGGTGCCCCTGGATCCGGTGGCTCCCAATATAGACCACCTCACCCGCGGGAATACGTGCAGCAGCATAAAGTAGAACTCGAAAGCTGGGATGGTTATGCCTGGAAACAGGTATGAGCGTACTCCGAGATACGGTGCCTGTTGTGGAGCTAGCTAATAGATTGTCATCTCAGGTACAGAATTCTTTTGATGCATTGAAGGAAGCTTGGGCTGCGCGTAAGCGTGATATTGAGGCGAGAGTACGGTCATATGGAGGTGTTGGCCTATTTGGAGGCGGAGGCTACGGTACAATGTATGGTGGACAAGCGCAAGAAGTAGCGCGGCTGGAGAACGTGAGTCTGACTTACCCCTGCTCCTATGATTAATTGTAATGTCTTGATAGCTTGTCCGGGAGGCTGAGTTAAATTTTGGTGCGTTTCATTAGGATACGTGTGCTTGTGCTTTTTGATCTCATAAACTGCAGATTCGGTCGCGGCCTCCACATTCCAGATGCATGAAGTCTACACCGGCTATCGACAGTCTGGCGATCTCGCCTCGAAGAAACGTGTCCGCGAAGCCATCAATGCTGCACTAAACAGTCTTCCAGATTGGCCTACGCAAGCTTTTTAGTGTGCATAGCATAGGGATTCAACCTCAGCTTTGTATGTTGTATTCAATAGAAGTGTAATAAGTATCTTTGTATTTCTGTTTTCGCAGTTCTCAAATACGACGCTATGCATGTGTGCAAATGGGTCATAGCAGCAAGGCAAGCACAACCCGCCAAATGCTATCCACGCGAGAGAGACACAGAAGCACAAAGTGATGCACTGTGGGACTTGTGACAACAGCTTGTTGAGTTCAGGCTGCACAAGTTTTCACTTTCGTCCTTCCTCTGTCTTTCAGTACATACATAGTGATTGATGGGCAAAACAATGAAAAAGTACATGATTGAAGGTTTTTAAAAAAGTGGACCCTCCGAGAATCGAACTCGGGACCCTTGCATAAACTCAGTTAACCACATAAGTACAAAGCTCTACCGATTGAGCTAAGGGTCCTTGGGAGTACGAAGACATTGTTGGAATCATTATAGTTTGAGCTAAATACCGAATCTTTAACCAAATTTTGACTCAATTTGGACTCATCTCACCTCCTTCAGAGACTAGGCTGCATCAGCACAGAATTCTACATAACCTCCTATGACACATCGATTTCAAGATGCTCCGTCAATAGCATGTCCCCATTGCTATATGTATATCCCGGTTGGTCGATGCGGATGTCGTTCAACCGTCGTCCAAAGGGCCTTGGATCCCATATTAGATCGTTTTTGACTGGAAGTTCAAAGCAGAGTATCGTGCATATATGGCTCTTGCATGCATATACGCAGCATGGATGTCGCAGTAGCTCGGGGTAGGAGATTATTTCAGATGCCTAGTCAAAGAAATAGTACGGCATAATGGTTATGCGCCATTCTGCCGTGGGGGCGGGCCGATGCGAATTACGACCGTGATCATTTGCAGCAAGAGTCAGCGGTGCTCTGCGGACCGCAGTTTGTCGCAACGCGGTTGAGTCTTGAGTCTTGGAGCTGACTTTTGACTCTCGGCGAGAAGGCGTTGCGCGATCACGTGGAGTGCGGTCTGTGTACGTGGCGACACGACTTAAACGACCGCCCCGGACGTTCCCCTCGTTGGTCTTCGGACGGACCATCACGCACGACATCGGAAGTCCCGCGGTAGACATGGGTTCAGCTCTGCTTTTATTCCTTACTTGCTTGCTCCTTATCTCTGTCGTGGTGAACGCTGCAGACCTCTACAAAGTTCTCGAGCGTTAGTCCAAGGCGCGCGCCGCCCCGGTCCAGCAAATGCTTTACTCACCTAGCTTTCGCATTTTTCAGTATCCAGGTCGGCCTCTGAGCAAGACATTCGGAAAGCGTACAAAAGGCTAAGGTCAGTGGTAACACGCTGCAACAGTTCCTCAGATTGGCTCAGCGCGTGGCAGCCGAAAATTCCATCCGGACAAGAATAAAGACGCAGATGCTGAAGGCAGATTCGTAGAGATTGCGCACGGTTTGTCCTATTACTCATTTATTATTCTGTAACAACTGGACGGGCAGCTTGGAATCACAGCATATGAAATCCTATCTGATCCTCAGGTTCGTCTTTATCGTCCATGCGGACATGTTTTCATTCTAATTTGGAGTAGAAAAGACAAATATATGACCGTCACGGAGAAGTACTGTATCACTTCCCTTAGCTTTACGTCCCGCTTGCCATCCATAATTCATGCGTCGACTGACAATCGACATACGATTTGGTAGGAAGGCCTCAAGGCGCATGAGGGCGGCGGGCAGCAATACACCAATCCGTTTGATATATTCCAGAACTTTTTTGGTGGAGGCTGTGAGTTTTGGGTGAAGTGAAGTGTTTCATTCCAATTTGACGAGATGACTGTACAGTCCATGGGCAGCAGCAAGTTCGTCGCGGACCTAATTCAATATCTGAAATAGAAATTAGCCTGACAGATATGTACGCATAGATTGGCCTTAAACTCACTGCGTGAACTCACCAATATGTATCTCAGATATACCGGGGCCAATATAGACGTATGTATGAAGTCTGGTCGGAATACGCATGCTATCTAATACTCCCACCCACAGTTGGGGATCACGAAGCGCATATTATGTGACCACTGTCGAGGCAGTGGCGCTGCGTCATCTGCCGATATTCATACATGCCCCGCTTGCAATGGCGCCGGCGTGCAGATTGTACGACAACAGATCATGCCTGGGATGTTTTCGCAAGCCCAGGTAACGTGCGGCCAGTGTGGCGGCCGAGGCAGCACCATCGTGCGTAGGTGCCCGCACTGTGGCGGCGCAAAGGTCCTCGATCATACGCAGCACTACACCCTAGAGGTGCCCAAGGGAGCGCCGGAGGGCTACGAAGTCGTGTTCGATGGCGAGGGGGACGAGAGTCCGGATTGGGAGCCAGGAGACATCATAACGCGGCTGCGGACTAGGAAGGACAAGGGTGGTTGGAGACGTAAAGAAAGCAGCTTGTATTGGAGGGAGACGATTGGAATCGAGGAAGTACGTTTGCTTTCATTTGACGTAAAGACGTCATCCTAAACGCATGCAGGCTCTGTTGGGCTTTGAGCGCAATTTGACACATCTCGATGGACACATCGTCGAGTTGAAGCGACATGGGGTTACTCAACCAGGTGGGCTTGGAGTTTACCCGCATTATATCAAAGCTTACAAGACACTATATTAGGATTTGTGCAAACTATCAAGAGTGAAGGGATGCCCGTCTTCGAGCATGATGATGCCTATGGCGAGCTGTACATCGAGTACAACGTTGTGTTACCTAGAGAGGTATCTCCAGACATGCGGCGACGTGAGCAACTCAAAATAACTTATGATAATCGACTAGCTGACAGTACATCTAGGATTGCTACAGGCTTTCCACGCCGAGGGCGACCGTTCTAAGGATGAGCTATAGGCATGACCCTCTATGCTGCATTGTATAGACGTATCATTAGAAACGAACCTAACTTATTAAACCATTGTGAACGACGATATCATTAAAATACAAGCGAGATTGCATTGCGATAGTGATACAAAAATATTGAACGATTGATTACTCGACCCAAGCTATGCCTGCTCGCTCATGAATCATTATGAATGGGAGACAGAGGGAAATTAAGACATACCACATAATTATATGATTTACGATCATCGCATCGTTCCAGATATTCGCGCTAAATAAATCGGTATCAACAAGGACATCGCGAATCAGAGAGTAGCTTACGCACCTCAATAAGACCTTCGACACGCTTTTTGATGGCCAAAGGATTGGGTTGGAATCGACTTGATAGCTGACGCGTTACCTCGTTTACTAGTTCGTTATGTGTCATATGCTTTCGATCCTTCATGATTCGGACAATGCAAGCCTGCGGTTCCTTGATGAGTACCCGCATTCTCGATCCTTGAAAAGGTGAACGAACCTCGGTCTGATGCCGTCGTTCATCGTCGATGCGATCCTTCGTCTCCTTCCGCTCATCCGTGTTCTCAACACGGGATGCTACAGTGCTTATCTTGATTTTCTGTAGTGGTGCAGAAAAGTCCGCATTGAACGAGAACGAATCGTGCGGATTAACATCACGCCCCGCCGGGTGTTTCTTCAGAATCTTGTATTTTGCACAAGCAAGCGACTGAAGATTACGCTGTAATTCCTGATCGGGGATGGCAGTACCGCTTTTGATTTCCTACAACAACGATGAGCAATCGTGTCATCGCTAGCAAACACGGAGGCAAATCACCTCATAGGTCAAAAATTCGCTATCAGGCAGGTCTTCGAACAACAGAAGAATCACCAAAGCGAACGTCGATACGTTCAAGTCGTGCTTTCGCGACTTAAATGTTACTCGAACGTCTGCATTGCCCAACGAAGGTTGCCATGTCAATCTTCGGCCGGAATGTTTCGACAGATAGAACTGTTCGAACGACTTGAAGGCCTTGATTAAGAGATCTGGAAAATTACACGAAGCAGTCGAGTGTGACATCGGCCAGAAGGTAGACGTCATCACAATAACAGATATATCAACCTCAGGAGCCTGCACGATGGTTACAACACTATCGATATAAGTAAGCGAAGGCGTACCATCGTTCTCTCCAGGTGAGTTCGATACATTTGCATTGTATCAGACGATATCTTCATATCATGGAACATGCCCTCCAGCTTCTGCGTGAATTGATACCCGCACTCAACCTTGAGTTTCGCAAGCATACCACGCTCCGCGTCATCAGATACAGATCGTCCGAGTAAGAGACGCTTGGCCAAGTGTCCCTTGTAATAGCGCTCGAAAACATCTTTGTCTGTCAAGAACCTGAAGACGACAATTGTTTTGTCCAAAGTAATGTCAACTTCCGCATCTGATTTCTATAGGTCCATTAATGTTACTACGCCACATGACAAATGTAGGCTACTCACGCCTTTGAGGCCTTTCTTCAAATTCTCGTCAATAAAAAGCGAAATGAATTCAGGAGTCTTCTCATTAAGATTGATGAAAGTCTCAAATGCCTGAATATAATGTTGCCGAATACACTATAGTCAGGTACAATATACGCGTACCTCATTCGTTCCTGTTTCGATGTCCCGATCGCTTTGGAATGCCCCGGCCCAAATCTTGTCAAATCTGTCTTTTAAAGCGAGTACATCTTCCACCCACTTCAGTGCCAGCGCTAAGGTCTGAGAGCCAGCATTAAGACCACGAGCTTTGCCTTTACCCTTTGCCTTAGCGCTCTTCTGCGCCTCCTCTTCTTCTGGGATATCATCTGGTTCAGAACTGCTGCTAGCTGCATTGATCTCCTTCCCCCGACGTATGACCGTCTCTCTAAGGGCTTTCTTGAGGGTAGGGATACCGGTGGGGACCATAGCATAGAGACGATATAATCGGGCCATGCCGTCGAGCTTGCCAAGGTCAATCATAGCATCCAGACCCGAATTCGGCATCGCGATAATGGCTGCCAAATGAGGTGTTAAGAGATTATTCTCCAATATGCGTCGTAGTGGCAAGGCAGTCTGCGATGACAGGAAATGATGTGCTCGAGATTCTTCCGAATCAAAGCGACTCTCCGTCTAGAGATTGTTAGCAATCAGTTTGGTAACGGAAATACAGGACTCACGCGTCTCAGATAATCTGAGGCATCACAGGTTTCTATGAGAGATACACCTTCCTTCTTATAGAAGATTTCGCTCTCTTTAAGGACGGCAGGTTCCAAATCTCGCTTATAGACTGAGATGTTGTCATCCTCATCAAACAGCTGTAGAAGCACATCCACGCAGCCCTTGACTGCGGATCTATTAATCACATACCCATCGCGCTCGGTATGAATTTGAGTCAAAATGGCAGATGTCATATGGTCCTGTATTGGAGGTCGAAGGATGTGCTTTACGAAGAGGAATAATCCGGAATCCCAAATTTCTGGGACTTGTGCCGTCTTAGCGTAAACGCGGTCCTGAATGACAACACTGAATCGAATTATAGAAAACTTTGCGATGACGGGACATACCATGTATTTGAGAACATCGCGCAGCTTCGATAAGCTAGACGTGTGGTCATCCCAGACTTTCTTCATAGCTTTCAACAGCATCTCTCCTGCTTGAGCCTTCTGAACTGCGTCGTCTTCGTTCCCTGTCGGAAAAGCTGGGACGATGTATTCGTTCGCGAGTTTGTCAAGATTCTCAGCTATCAATTTATTGGTGCCTTCATACAAGGTCTCTCCATGTTTGTAAAGCACCATGTTGTATGCAAAACGGTGATTCTCCTCGTAAGATAAATTTGCCGCATTGTGATTTTGTATTTCGACGATGTTTCGCGATAACTTAGCCCAGGTTTCTTCCATTGAGAAGTCTGGTCCGTGCTATTACACTCACACAGTAAATAGTTCGGACATAACCCAACGGGACAGAAAGCATACCCGTTTAATGGCTTTCTGTCACATTGTCAGCTATTGCCACTAGACGTAATAAAATCATCTCACTTACTATCTTTGGTTTCCCCCGTGGTCGACCTATATCATGACCTTCATTAGAGCGCGGACTAGGAGGATCCTAGAGTAACACACCGGCTTGCATTGTGCTAGACCTCGTTCTGCTTAGGGGTGATGCCAGGAATTCACAACAGGGTCCAAGACACGTATCGTGGGTATCAGGGTGCACAGCTGGTGCTTGGAGTTGCGCGTACCGTCGAGGCAGAAGAGGAGGCGACGAGCGGCAGGCACATTGTACATTCGCCGCCGCAATCACAATCACAATCACGTGCACGCGTTCTTGATTTCTCCTACTAGGCTCGAAGTCGAAGACGACGAACTACGTAGTAGTGACTAAGTATAGTATAAAATGATTGGAATACAATGTTCAGTCGAACTCAACAATTATGATACTATAGTAGTTCACTAATAAGAAGCTGGAAAGGTATAAAATTGTGTAAAGAGTACATAGAGCATGATGGTAGACAATACAACCTGTATGATCCTAATACACATTGTGGCGTTCGGAGTCTTTGTGTAACATTAGTTGAGTGAAGTGCATATCGTGGAATGTAAATTAGCGAGTGAAAGCAATGTAATAAAACTTTTGTGATTGACATGGGAAGATTAGGCTCAATGCTACGCACCCGCGCGTGAAGCCCGTACGAAGTCCGTGAAATATTTACGGAAGGCTTTACCGTCCAAATCCCTCAGTTTCGTCGTGAACTCGGCGGCAGTTTCAGGTGGCCAGTTCTGGGCGGGAAGGAATACTGAAGTAAAGAAGTTGAAGGCTTCTGGTCCCCGAGTTTTCGACACCGTCTGAAGGAAGTTACAGATTTCATGAAGGACCTATGTACCACCCCATACGCTGTGAATAAAAAATCACACCGTGTATTCACGATAACACATACCACAACCATCTGGCCATCCTTAATGTTGAAGTGGGGGGAAGATAACAGTGCAAATGCCATGGGGATCAAACTCTCATAGACAAAGCGCTCAAAGCCAGGAAGATTCGATTGATCCATATTCATGTTTGCATTCGGTTGTGCCCAGACGGTGACGCAGCGACTAAAGAACGTATACGCTGCCTTCTGGCTACTGGAATCGGAGACATCCTCAGCGATACGCTGCATATTCGCAAGCAAAGATTCCACTTGTCCTTTGTTGCCTGCATACAATGTGAGCTTACGAGCGCCGATCAACTAGCTGATTAGACTCACGATCAGAAGTAAAAATACCATGAAGCTTCGCGACCAAAATGTTATTCAATAGGGCGAGATATGCGCGCTTCGTATCGATGAGAGTGAGCTCGTCATCGGTTCCTGTAACGGGTTGCGATAATAATCCATTCATGTGTGCACTGAGTGGTCCGATGAGCTGATCTAGTACATCGGACATATCCCTCTGTTACAGCATAATAAGGAAGGGTCGTCGCATTAGTCCATCGTTGCTTACCTGCAACTTGTGTATCAAGAGGCCAATGAAATTCATGAAGTCAATCAATTCCGACGGCTCAAAGTGGGCTAACAGATTAGCCATTAATGAAGGAATCAAACGCGTCACATTCGGGCCCGTTGTTGCGAGAATACGAGCGAAGGCAAATCGGGTCTAGAAGAGATAGGGTAAGGAGACATCCGCTTAGATTAGTATAGTACCTACCGCATCCCGCACAACCTTGAATACGTTCATCGCTTCTAAGGATACCAAAATTGCCTCTGCAACCTGATTGAAGACCTCTAGAGGGGGCATGACATATCCTTCCGGGACAGGCGAAGGATAATCTGGAAATCCTTTGGCAACGTTACCCAATGCCATGATGACATGATGAACCTTAAGTATGGGCACTACATCCTCCATCCCCTTGACGGCTCGCAGATTAATGGACAAATCGTCAAGCAGAGGCTTGACTACCGATAATAGAAGGGCTGCAGCTTGTTCAGGCGTTTTGTACAACAGAGACACAAGTGTCCCGGCGGTCTCGAAGAGGTATAGCTGTGAATCGAAGATCCCAGGATTATTGATCGCTTCTGTAAGGATGTCTTGTTCTGGGTTCTCGAGCTCTGGAAGTACGATCTGGATTGACAATAGATCCCGCATACCCTCTAGCAGTGACAGTGCGAGCTCTACAGAGATCTCATTGCGGTCCTCTTTGATGAAACGATGGAAAAGGTAGAAGACGCGTGAACGAAGCCCAATTTCCGAGTTGTGGAGTCCACTGTCATCAAGTCGATCAGCGTGACTTTTACTTGACCCTTAAAACGTACTCACCGAGCATCCATCATAGGTTGAAGCGTGGGCATGATACAATCCTTACGAACTTTAAAGAAGTCACCATAGCGTGCGGCAGTTTCGAAGAACTGCATGACGACAGTTTTATGTGGATATGCGGAGATACCAGACTGCACCAGCGCATATAACATTTCGCCATGAGTAGTGAGCGGGAACTCCGAATAGTCCGTCTCCTTTCGTTTATCTCTGTCGACGGCATGAGCATGGCAAAATGCTGCACGTCCTTTTGTTCCACCTGTCACGTATTAGCACCATGATATATTACAGCTGGAAGGGTCGAGCGTACTTTTATTGATTTCTCCGAAGCTGTACACTAGGTACACCGCCAACTCAGCGTCGTTCCATTTGATAGGGGTGCCACTACGATACGTCGTTAGAGTATTGAGTACTAATGTTCGCAGAGCGTCTGTGACCAAGGTCTGCTCGATGACTAGCGTCGCGTCCATGAAAATCCGTAACTCCTACGCCACGATTGAGATTGACTCAAAAGCTCTGCTCAATAAAAGCCCACCTTACGCAATTGTTCGAAGGCAGTCTTGTCATCCTCGTCCATGTCTTCTGGATCTGACTCTTCGTCCCACTTCAATTTTTCTAGGATGACTCTAAGCAAAGATGTGAGGAAATAGCGTTTTGACTCGTCCAGTGGCTCCGAAGAGGTTTTTCTCGAACGCTTGAACTATAAATAGTTCATGAATGGTCTGGCATGATGGGCAGAAAAGATCCTACTGACGCTTGAGAGGATAGCTTGCAGTAGAGGAAAGATTGTGGAGCATGTATCATCGTATTCGTCAGCCATAAATCGCAGCATCACAGGCAGAACTTGCTGCAGTAATTCATTCGCCTCTGAGCGCACATCGCCGATGGGACATTCCTAGTGCTTATTTTCAGAGAAAATGAAAATATATCCATACCAATACGTACGTCGATGAGCTTGCACAGCTCAAGACCAAGCATATTGAGTAATCTTCCGAGGGCTTCACGGTACGATTCTTCGCCCTCATCAACGTCTGACCCACGTGCACCTTGCTCAACTCTCGTTTTTGCTTCAAGTGCATCAAGTACCTGTCCTAGAGATAGGACCTTGATTAATTGCAGTTTATCTCCTGGTTCCTTGAGACCCTTCGCTACAATTTTTGTGAGTGCTGCAGATGTTGCCAACCGAATTGCCAAAGAAGAATCAGACAAGAGAGTGAACAGAAGTTGGATCGTTGTCGGTGTAACCGTCAGGTTTATGTCGATCCAGCCTAATCGTCGCTATGTTAGGGATATCCGGATTGGGATCCATAACAACTCACCGGCATAGGATGCGAATGTCCTGATGCCCCAGTCCACGACTTCGACCGCAGCATCTAATTCAGAAGGGGAAGTGATTTCACCCTTTCGCAGCCGAGACATCCTTTCAACGCCGTCACCGGCAATGGTGAGCACTGCTTCATTGATCCGCGCTGCATCTCGTTCCCGCACTGCATCTCGCACCCTGGTATCCCGATTTTGTCGAGCTGGGCTGAATTGTCTTGCAGACTTGATGAGTTGGTCAGCAACTTCACCGGAGATTTCCAAGACGATGTGGAAAAATAACAACGAAATATGATGATTATAAGTTGATTGTGAAGTTGACTCCGCAGGATGAATTAGAGCAAAAATGTCGGAAAAGAAGCTCGGCCATTGATCGATGTATGTGCACAGAAAGAAAAGCGTCAATGTGTGGGCGAACTTGTTGCGTAGAACTGTGTATCTATCAGGATGACAATCTGAGTGTGGATCGAAATAGTGAACACACATGGTGCATTGGACTCCGCAGTACCATATAGATACTCGGATTGTACATAGGTCATTAAGGCTTGTCGTAATGTTTGAAAAGAATCTTCGTCTAAAGGGTCAAATCTAAAAGCGAAAAAGGTACGCTAATCAGAATAGAGTGGCACACGACTAGGGGCAGGGCCCGAGAACTGACCGGTTGTCCAAGAACTCCTCCAACACCCGAAGTGCAAAGAAACGTGCCTGTGTCGGATATTTTCGCGCGCCATTTGAGCTGGTGTCTACAAAGAGTGCAAGTGCAAGTCGCCACATATTGGAGGCATTTTGTTGAATAGTGGATAGATACTCAAGAGCCTGTTGGTGTAGCGCTCCTCGAGTCGGGTCGGATGCGATGGCGATCGCCTGAACCACTTGGTTCAAGTCCTGATCCATCAGGATGTTCCGCGTGACGTCTTTCTATGCCTGGGAGAACAGTGCTGGCCTGGCAGCGGAAGGGAAGGGGAGGAGTTGGTTCAACACAGAAAGTGGCTTTGGCGGTGCGTCTTTGGCAATCGAGTCGATTATCCCAATCTTTCACGGTCACGTGCGATCGACCACATCGAGATCTCGGTGCCTTGCTAGCCATTTCTGGTTCATCGTCCACGACAACTCTGCCACAACTCTCAGCGACGCAGAGCTAGGCGACAGGACCTGCGCTGACGCAACAATATTGCAACGGTGTTTCACAAAGCTCTTTTCCATTTGAATACTGTAATTTAGCTATCCGTGGTCACCAACTTCCTTGTCAAGTTTGAACCTTTATGTTCGCTACTTTACGCCTTCGCTATTGTCTCAAAAAACCCGCGACACCACAGAGGAGATGGCAATCGAGTACTTCCCAAACATACTCGTCCACAGTCAGAGGTCAGTCATGGCACTTCATGCACAAACAGACTGCTCCAATTCACGTACAGCGCACGCTAGCCTTTCCATTTGCGCTTTCCGCAGAGGAAGCAATCTTGCGCGCCGCTCTGCCTATGTCTATTAGATCCTGGGGCCGTAATTTCCTGGGCTCAATAAGTGCAACTATGCTTCCCACAATGGGCTTCGATCCGATACGGCCGGAACGTATACAGGCTGTCTATCTCCCGGCATGGCTGATTGATGCTGTAATCGACGCAGAGTGGTGGTGGCAGGATGGAGCAGAAGGTGACCAGACAACGCGGGTACTGCGCTTGACCTTCTTTGAGGTGTAACAGTGACATTAATGCATTCACCCAGCGAACCGCGACATCGTTTTTTAAGCAGTCGTATGTGCTATCTTGTTGTGCCCTTTTCCATGTTGATATGAGCCTTGCAGGTATATGCCAGGTTCGCGTGACTTTCATGAATTGATATTGATTTTATAGCTCACCAGCTGGCTGCAGGTTTTATTCATGAACCATTGTCTCGCATATCGCTGAACTCCCTGACTTTTGAACCTTCTGAGACTATTCCCTTCTCTGAGGATTTGCGGACTCAACGCGGTTCGGAGGTTCTGTGTTTACCATTTGAACTCACGCCATTACATCTTATTGCTGCGACCAAGTCGCTGTCGTATCAACAGGCTACGGTTTCCGAACGTCTACGATTCGACCCCCCAACAGCCCGAACCCCTCTGGTTTGTACAACACGCATTATGTGATCGCACAAGTGCTAATAACTCTCCACGCAAAATAGTTTGCGGCATACCCTGTTCTCATACCAGTCTATATTGCGCAATATGAAACGGTTAATCTCGACTTTGTTCCCGACATCAGCCGAGAGGATCGCATGTTCACGGTTGTAATTGAGGCTCATAGGACAAATGTACGCACTCGAGCAGTAGAGGGTGCCTCATGCTGATATTCTTTGCACGACGTAAGGGGCGTATCGTGGCAGAGAATCGGGACAAGAAACTTGTTCGACGCCTGATCGCGAGTGATCCCTCCCCATCCAAGTTCCTCATGAATTGTTTCGACATGATTCCTGATGACGAATTCTGGTGCAGCGATGATATTGATCCAGATTTCATCCGCCATTTCGTCCATGCTGGGATCCCTCTGGGAGCCAAAAAGAAAGATTATACAATAGTGGAACGATGGATTGACAATGCGGCATCTACGAAAGGCGCGCTCAAAAATTATCGCTCGCAATTCTTCGGAGACACTGTTGCAATAGACTGGGAGGATCCACGCATTGTCGAATACTCCAAAGATGAAGTTGAAGCAAATCGGGGATGGATGCAGCTCACGAGCACAACAAAGATGCTCGCGGACATCCTGAAAGTACGCCAAATGTTGTCGTAGAGTCGTCGCGATGTGAAACTCACACAACCCCGATAGACGCTGAGTGGAAATTTAGATGCAAGCAGACGACACGATGTAATACAGCCTTTGCACGGAAATATACCAGGCTCTGGTGACGATGCGGTCAAAAATCTCACCAAACCCACCCAGACGCTAGAGGCTATGCAGGAACAGTTGAATATTCTTGATAAACAAAAACAGGAGACGAAGCCAAAGTGGATGAAGGAATGGGAACGTAGATCAGCTGAAAGTCCTAACGTCCGGGAAGGTAGTCGGAAAGAGGACAGAACAAATAGCCAATAAGCCGCTCTGAGCTTCTGTAGATCATGTTATCGGTTTGCCCAAGCATTAATTTAGGTCTTGTTCGCTTCTGGATGCATTTCAAGAGTCAACAGGCAGAACTGAATCATACACGAGATAAGAGGACAGGATTAAGAATGGGTAGGTACTGAAACAATGTGGAATAATTGTCTTGTCGATGTGTCCCAAATAATGTATGGTATAGATAAAACGAATGAGCGATAGCAAGAATGTCCGAGATTCAGTGAATATGTGCAAGGTGTTAGTATTACAAGTCAAAACCGAAGTACTAGACAGTGAAACCGAGGAGAGCGAACAGAAGGCTGAACATCGCAATTCGGAGAGGAATACGGAGGCCACTGGCCCCACTGGTCCAGCCGGGCGGCTCACCGAGGGTAATCGAGGGTTGTGGGACGGTGGAGACGGACGTAGACACCGATCCAGAATAAGTGATAAAGAATGTATAGAGCGTAGGTGTTGGTTCGACCGTAGGAAGGGCAGAGTTGTTGACGGACTGAGTGCCCAGTAAGGGGGAATATGTGCTCGTCGCAAGGCCAGAAGAAACAATCAGTCCCAGCGGCGCCGCAATAGAGGTGTTGAAGACATATGCGGGAGTGGTGTATGTTGGCGTAGGGAGAAGATAATTGGGCAGCGCCGTGTTGACCGTCGCAGAAGCTGCTGAAAAGTAAGAGCTCACAGTAGCCGGTGACTGAACGAGGACACTGGAGTTCCGGAGAGGATAAAAACCAATCATGGGCGCCTCTTTTGTGTCGATACCAAAACTGAGCACCACGCGTAGGTCAGCAAAACACATGTTACAAGCAACGCTTTGAATTACCTGAAGATCGAGTATACTGTTTGCATGAATGGAGTTCCTACAAGAAACCTTAGTCATGAGAGCAGCAGACGAGAAACGATAATCACCAAGTTGCCAATCTATACCATCTGAGCTCGGAGGTAACGCAGCTGGCCAAGCCAGACAATAGTATGGATCAGTGGACGTGGGCCCTATGAGATAGTCCGTCGGCTGTAGGGTATAATTCGACTCCCTGAATGCCAAAATCAGTACTACACACATAACAGGATCGCCAGATGTCTAACCCAATAGACAAAGATATAGTCTCGTTGGAATCACAAGGCATCGCCCATTGGCCAGCTTGATCGATATATCAGCTGTCCAAAAATCACTTTGCAAAAATGGAAGACGTACTGGCGGTGTCCACGAGGCGACTCCCCGCGATCTTGTCGAATATTCGTGAAACCTGCCCCATATGTCCATAAAGGCAGCTGAATCTAACTCATTCAAATACGTACATCTTGATAGGGCCCGTAAATACCTGATGTACCTCTGTTGAGAAATTAGGGAAGTGTCACACTAATCCTTTTGAATTACATACGCATCGATCAAAGCCAATGAGTGGTTTGACGCAGACTGAGGATATGTTGGAAGTGGGATGATTTCCGTTCCATTGACCTGAACCGGAGTTAGGTTTAGGTATCGTCAGGGATTACCGTCTTACCGATATGAGAGACAATTCGACTGCCCATTGCAGATAACTTGCAGTTGTACCATTCGTGCCATTAAATGGGGCAAACGGGACCACCTCGTTCCACTCAATGAGACTTCTATTGGCAACAACCGTCGCATCGATCGCGCCTAAACTCAATTTAGATTCGCTTTGAAGGATGAGACTGGCAAACAGACCGAAAGTCACGCTCCCTGTCCCATTCGGGTTAAGATGTAAACCAAAGAGAGGATAATCGAGGGTGCCCTGTTCCGACGTTGTCCCAAAGATCGGTGTTGCTGTGAAAATCTTATTGGGATATCCATGAAAAATTAACGCGCAGCATACCATTTGCTATCGTGTTGGATATGGTCGAAAGCCGAGGGAAGCCGAGTCCCAAAACTCCACTAATCTCATCATTAAGAGTCACATTAGAGGAATTCATGAGACCTATTACCCACGTATAAGTAGGAGATGCGGGCTTGAAAAACGGAAGTAACTCACCGAATGCCTGCTCGGGTACACTTAAATTCCCCAGAAACACTGTTTCCCGTGCAATGAAACCTGAGGCAGCTTAGAGACGGCAGAGACGTCAAAGGTGCACAGACAGTAGGAAGTGAAAATGCATACTAGTTGTATCCAGATAGCTGACATTGAACGCGGTCGAGTTGTCATTTACAGGAACGAATGTAGAACTCTCGTATGCAAGCTGGTATCTTGGAACCGACGAGCAAGCGCTGGATGTACAAGCAGACGATACAAGCCATAGATCAGATGAGCCAGTGTCCAGTGCAACACGAAAATTCATATTGCCGAGTGTAATGACCGTATAATACGATCTGCAATCACGTTGGCATGAACTCGACGGTAGAGAGTTTGCAACTGGACGTACTCCTTGTCCTGCGAAAGATATACATCAAGGATGGACGCTTGGCTCGTCGTCGCGTTCGAGCTCTCTATAATACTTTCCATGTACTGACGGACGCCAACGCTTCTGGCATAGCGGATTTCCGGAGTTAGCCTTGAATTGCCTACTGCGCGACATCCGCTGAGGCATGCGAGCGCAGCGGCGGAGAGGAGGAGGGGGAGCATAGCCGTAGAAGAGAAGGGTGGTTACCAGGCCTGCGGCATACGAACAGCGAGGGTGTGAAAGATCGAAGCGCAGCTTGGGTGGAAGGTCGGACAAGTCAGTTGAAGGAAGGCAATGCTGCCGGCGCGGGACACCATCACGTGGGGTAATGAAACCCGCTATAGCGTCACGCCAGGTCACATTGGACGCATTCCATTGGTCCGCCCCACGGCGTCCATGTCACCGATCACCGTTCGTCCAAGGAAATGTCCGACCCGAGCGTTGTTCCTGCAAGCTGCAGCGAGTGCAACTTCCGCATTGACGCGAGGCACTGCAAGGCCTCTGACCACAGCGGAGACGCCAGTTCGTGAGTCACCATATAGTACCAGAATGATTATCACCCAAATCATGATGCTTGCAACCTGCCGCTGAGAAGGAGCCTTCGGTTCTGCAGGTTTAGATTGAAGTGATATTCTGCCCGCGGGGCTCGCGTATTTATATACGAACGTCTACCTCGTACGGTAACCGCGGAGGTAGACGTGAGGGTCAATATCCTGGCCTACCTTCCCCCGTTCAGTCTTGCCTTGCAGTCAGATATCAGTCGTAGGGACGAAATCGTTTCTAGTGAACTGTCAGATCTAACCATCTTTCGCTTGTCTTTCCCACAAACAAGCAGCCAGATTCAACGTAGATGCCACTGGCAATAAGGTCCAGTTCCTCACAATCATTCAAGCACCGAACACTGACCACGTATTATTGAACACGAGGAATATTTCGACGCTACACACAGTACACCGGCAATGCAAGACAGAAAAATACGCAACGGTTAAACTTTACGGCAGGGGCTGGACATCTTGAGCCTGAAAAGTACCGCGCAAAATACGCCCATTTACGGCGTACTCGACGTCGTACTGGACTTGGAATGTCTGATAAAATAATGAGAACCATATTGAGACCGGCGTCGCTGAAACAAATCCTACCTGGGTAGACACAGTGTTTGTTCTGCCAACCACTCGCCCAGGTACCCAATCGCCGGTCTGGAGGCGTACGAGTACAACGGCAGCCTAGCGTATAGGCGTAAGGTTGTATGGAGATGCGTGCGACATGAGAAAAATATACTTACGCGAACAGACGAACCTGTTCTATTGGTAGCGTAAGGGGGAATGCTGGAAGTACGGCCAGTGGTGCGACCCATGACGACAAAGTGTTTGTGGGGGTTGTGAAGATGCCACTTCGAATACCTTCGTTTTATGATATCTACGGGCGGCAGCAATCCGCCATGCTGCTATATCTGCCAGATCAAAAGAGAGTAACAACTTAGGAATCCAGAAGGTTGGGCAGTCGGCAAGTGGGAAGCCGAGTTGGGAATCATTGAGGGATTGCAGAAGGGATCTCATGTTGTTGTCTTGGGAGCAAATGTGATCATCATTGCTGTATGAGGGCGCGTGGATCCAAACGGTCCTCGCGGAGGGCGCTCCGGGCAGCCTAACCCGTATATACAATTAGCAAGAAGGCCCGAATTGCACAGCATACTTACAAGAAGGGGGCCAAGATCCGGACTTCGTCGAGTCGCAACAGCGTAGGGGACATTCATTGCTTAAAATCAGAATCTATTTGATAGCTTGCCATCCCTCAGTTCTTGGCGCCAGGTTTCCGAAGCGCGGTCTGGATATAACCAATATCTCCTCCCCGCGCCTGCACGAGCTCATTTGATATGGAGGGCCGCAACCTCAGCGGCGAGGGAACAATGTCTGCATGTGAAACTATGGAGCTTGTTCTTCTGTCCGTGGGAAGCCAATTGCAAGATGATAGGGCGCGGTCTGAGTGCGGTGTTCCCATCGTCCTCGAGGCAAGATACCTCATCGAAGGCCGATCAGTTGGAAATTTTGGAGGTGACCAATTACTTACAGATCGAACGTTAGAGAGTATTGGTGGACGACGCTAGACGAGGGTTTGACACAGCATGTCAGCATACATGTCCGACGCATGCCATCACGTCAGAGTGAAACAGTCAAGAATGACGCCACAGCGAACACAACCTTGAATGAGTTGGGGAGGATTCTGCAGTGCAGATAGAGGCCGCATGTTAATCATAAGGTCGTGGGTGTTTGTGTTCTGCCAGTTCTCGATAGCATTATTCGTGCGGCATCATCTACTAGTGATTCGCCAGCTGCCCATTTGCAACACAGCGAAGATAGTACTAGTATTATTTGTGGAACCATTGTATCAAGCGGTGTGAAGTTCTCGATGATTCATTCGCATGTCGTTTCGACCAGGCAAGGGGGGGGGCTTGAACATTTGGTCGCAACTAGTCTAGATATCGATCCTCTCATTCGCCCAGAGAGCCGCTCAATTTGGAGACTCGATCATATTTATCATGTGACTATTATGGTGGCGTCGTCGACCGCTGCCACTCGATCAAGCCCTAGGCTTATACTAGTGACTGGATCTCTATTTGGTGCTGCAACACTAGACCTATTGCTGATCCAGATTCAAACGGCTTGTGCAAGGAACTTGCGGACGACCGCTCGCGGTAGTGCGAGTGAAAACACTGGTTGAACTTGAGTTTATTGACCGACCTGGCAGCCTTAACTCACCGTGAGTTCTCCTGGCCTTCGTGACCGGGTCGCCGATACTTCACGCGGCATTACCTCCGAAAGTTCATACTTCTTGTGCATTAGTCGGAATAAGACGCTTGTAATCAAGCTTCCGCGTACCGCGATGCCCAACCAGCTATCTATTCCCTTCAAGAAGACGTGGGAAGTCCAAGTCCGGCAGGCAGTGCGCGCATATATCCTCAAGAACTACACTGACACACACCCGGACGCGTTTCGATGGGACGTCAACCGCTGGGAGACGCTTCGTAGGGAGGCAGTAGGAACTCTGGTCCATTTCGATCGCGTGAAGACTGTTGTCGGGTGCGTAACCCTCACCACCACTGCCTTTATACTCTAATATTCTCAAAGATACCATGCACAGCTTGTGTACATCCTCACCAAGCTGCCTGCTGATGTTGGTGTTACTTTGAATGGCGTGTTATCTTGCCCTGAGCTAAAAATTGTAGATTGGGCTGGAAATACCCTATGCGCCAGCTTTCAACCCTTCTGCTCTGCCGGAAACCCTATCCAATTTAGTCTTTGAACGCGCAGTCGTCCTGTTCAACCTTGCTGCTCTATACTCCCAACTGGCTGGTTCAGAAGATCGATCAGGTCCCCAGGGTCTAAAGCAAGCGATATTGCATTATCAGGCATGCTAAATTTTATCAATCGACCGATGTATAAAATCTCACCGTGGCCAACAGAACGCAGCAGGAGCCCTTAGGTATCTGGCCTCTGCTGTTATCCTTGCGTTCAAAGCATCGGTACAAGAGGACGAGATGCCTCTAGAACTTACCGAGGCGTTTGTAGCGAGTTTGGAGAACATGATGTTGGCGCAAGCGCAAGAATGTGTCTGGCAGAAGGCTGTGATGGGTGTGTACCGTCATACTGTTACGTGCCTGTCATCCATCGTTTGGCCACAGATAATTACAAAAACGGAGTGATTGCAAAGCTTGCCAGTAAAGTAGTGATTTCTTGATAGTCTGTTGACATCGGTTCTAACTGAAGGCTATGCAGGTGTCATCTCTGTATGCCTTGTCCCTCTCCAGGATTAAAGATGCGTCTCCCTCTATACGTCACCTTTTCCCCTCGGTACGAAGCCAGCTTCTTGTGGTTTTAATTGACGCTTGACGTGGGTCAATAATCTCAGTATTGGCTGCCTCACCTTGAGACAAAACAGCTTCACTTTGAGGCAGCGACCCAATACAGGAAAAGTGTGGATGATCTAGAGGCTAACAGGTTGAGGCATTCTGTGGTTATTACTTGATCGTTATAGATTGATAACATCCAAAAGGTTCGGGCATGAAATTGCACGTCTTACACAGGCGCAAACTGTTGCCAAGCGAGGTTATGATATCGCTCGCCGTGGAGGCGTGGCACACGCTGTTCTTCAGGACATAAAAGTGGAGTGGTTGTTTTTTTATACAATTGACCATCTAGCTAATATTCGACTTATTGGCAGTCCCTTTCGGACACTGTTCAGAAAAGCTTAGCCCGGGCAGAACGGGACAATGATTTAATATATCACCAGGACGTCCCGTCAATTTCGGCATTGCCATTGATACAGGAGGCATCTATGGTGCAGTCTGTTATTCACCCTGGACTGATCGACCCCAAAAAAATCATTGGAAATGACGCTGTAATATTCGGGGAATTGCTTGGGTGGGGTGCCAGGGTTGCTATTGGTTAGCTTGACGTGTCATCTGTGCAATCTTCGTTGGCGTGATGATTGCCTGGTGCTATAGACATTTACAACGACCGTCGAAAAAATTTCCTCAAGGATGACGTGACAGACCGGGCGCAACAATTGGATGATATTTCCAACAGGTTGGCATCACAATTTCTTTCTGATTGACGTTGTCTGTTGATATATCACATCAAGAGTTCTCCAGTCGTTGAACCTCCCTGCCGCGTTAGAGGCACTCGAGCGACCCATCGGGCTCCCTCCCAGCCTGCTGAAAAAGGCCGAAGAAGTCCGATTGCAGAGTGGTCCGTCTAGGATAGAAGAAAACATCAAGAATGTCCAAAAGCTCGCGCACAGTGATATAGACATACTCAATGAGGTGACACAAGACATGCTACTAGCTCGGTGTCGGGCGCTCAAAATTACCCTGCAGGCGATGGACATCTTGGATCAGGAAGCAGAAGAAGACGAGTCATTTCAAGCGGAGCACAGCGTGGAACGCCTGTCCTCTCACGAAGCAAACAAGGAACTTATCGCGAAGGCCGAAAGATATCGGGCCATTCTAGATCAGGCAGCACAAAGCGACGAACTCGTCAGAACAAAATGGGACGAATGGGAGCGAAACATCGTGGAATTGACCTGGGACGAGGTGGGTTACACGTTGGGTTAGTGCGATGGTCCTCAAACATGATCTTCGTCACCATAGACACAGTTAGAGGCGTCAATTCCTTCATCCGTCATTTCATTTGGACAGGGCCCATCGTCCGTCGGCGCTACACCAACACAGACCCACGCACACGCCCTTCGTGTCCTCCTCGAATCTCTAGACGATCTAATGCGCGCTCGAGACGATCTTGTCAGGCGCGCGACACGTCTGGCAGAGTTGGAGAATATCACACCCCGAGTTCTCAAAGCAGCCGCGGGAATTGAGCGGTGGATTGAAGTGCAGCCGTCGACATTTGAAGATGCTCTCGAAGAGGAACTGGCCAAGTATGACAAGTTCCGTATCGGCATTGAAGACGGCGAGCAGAGGCAGGAAACGTTGCTCCAGTCTATTCAGGTAAGTGTTTCCTTATTGCTTGATTCACATATGCACTTAGAACTTGGCAAAGGAACGCAACCAACAGTTCCTGCAGTCGCGTAGGGACGATGAAAGCGTCAAGGAGCGCGAACACGCTCTGCAATCTCTCGATTTAGCGTACCATATGTACAAAGAAATTATGCGCAATCTAGACGAAGGATTGAAAGTACGGCACCTATGAAGATATTTGTGCATCTTCTGATCCACATCCCGCAGTTCTATAATGACTTTGCCAGTGTTCTGACACAATTCAGGGATACATGTAACGAATGGGTGCTCATGCGCCGAAATGAGATCCAGTATGTTTATTTGGGTTTCTTACACGATTGGCTCGCTCATGATCTCCCCTTGCTCCCAGCTCTCTGACGCAGTCATTCGAGTCGCTCTTACTTGACTCTGCTCCTCCATCGCCATCCATCGAACCGGCTCCGCCTGAGCCACCATCGCGCCCTGAACAGCAAGCGCAGTCATCCGCCAGACGAGATCCACGAGCAGTGTTTGATCTGCCACCGCCTGATTCGGATGAATGGGAGACAACGGTGCTACCCCCAGCGCCTGCAGCCCCACCTGCACAGACACCTGCACGTCGGACGAGAAAGACTCGGGCAGTGGGATAGGGAAAGGTCGCAAGACTTGCAAGACTACATCATCTCATACTTGTATCATCTCACTATATGTGCGTGTATGTAGCGAGCAAACAAAATGACTTGCAAGCGTGGAGCCAAGCCTCCGCTACTGCGCGAGCGTGAGCGTCAGTCAGCACCAAAGGGCTATCCACGTAGAGACGGTATATGTATCTGTTATCGCCATGCTCAGCGCTCATCACCGGCGCTGTATTGCATTGCGGTACTTCCAAGACCTAGTACAGCCGCGTGTCCTTGAGCCTTAAACTATCGCCTACCCTGTGTATCTCTGCTTTCTGCAGACATTAGCATGCAGCCTTCGTTCCCTTCTCCGCAGAGCTATGGGCAATCGCCCCCTCCGTATCAAGCACCCCCCGCGTCCGGATTCCGGATCCCACTCAACACAGACCAGCCCATTCCGTCTGTCGACGTCTTGGGCAGGCCCGTAGGCTACGACGCCGACGGGCGATCGCCCATCTTCATTGGTTCTGCGATCTTTCAGAACTCGGTCCATCCGTGCAAGATCGGCCCTCACCTCTCACCGCCATGTCGCGTACCGTACGGTGGAGGTGAGCATGAACATCGCGGCCGCTATGACCTGCTGCCATTCGATCCCGTAACAATGGAGTGGGTGCACACGTCTGGTGGCCGGATCCCGCCTGGCAGACGAGCTGTCCAGGGAGGCTACGAGGAGAACGGGACTAGACTGTACCATGCTCTAGCCAACATCGGAGGAATCAGAGTCCCCGGAAAAACGGGCGAGCATCTGGTGTGTGTGCTCGCATGATGTACATGAAGCTGTGATAGTGACATGGTATGATAGGGTGGCTGCAACTGCGCATTCGGCGGCGGAGAACATGTGGAACGGGATAACTATGAAATCCTGTACGTAGCCTTCGACAGGTCAGACTCGGACCACTAAGCTGATGGTGAAATCAGATGCTGGAAATGACTACGATGCAGTATGAGTTAGAGCACAAAGCCATCCCATCAACTGAATGAATGCGTCAATTATGTATAACAGTGTACACCGGACGCGATGACCACATTTTGATATGTAACATCAACACAACTGCTCTTTGACATAGTGGATATTATCTTCTACCCACACATTCCAGTCGCTGGCTGAAATCCTGAACCGTTGTGAATAACAATATTTCAAGGAAATTACATTGCATGGCTTCAATATCCGACCGGCAAGGAACAAACAAGTGTTGTGATCAGTGCCCCCCCCCATTCAATTTCACCTCGAGGCGTTGCGCACGCTGAACAAGCAAGATGCCCCGGGGAATTTGAGCTGAACAGGTTAGATTCATCGGAAATTATGGTCAGGTAATACAATAAATGCACGAGAAGAGAAGATACGCACAGAGTGCACACTAGGCAATTCCATTCGTATTTCGTGGGCTCATTTCCGATATTGAGATCAGAAGATCGACTGTCTACAGGCCCTGGCCGGTCCCGGCGGAATGTCGCTCCTGCACTGCCGCCACTTCTTGTCCCCTTGCCTCCTAATCGCCGTCCACTATCTGTCAAACCTAAAGATTCCTTCTTCCTGAATTGAATTTCATCCTCCACCAGTGTTCCGTACGGCATGTTCTTTGTCTTCCCAAATCCGTTCCCCGAAGATCCTGCGAGCTCTGACACGTCTCCCAGATTATTGTTACTATTAGGCAAGGTTGAAAGACCGGCGGCACCGACGCCGCTTGCTCTCGGAAGAACCTGTACGTCACAGATTGGGTAGTTCTGCTCCTCTGGGTCATGCGGCTGCAATGGTGCGCTAGTCGATGGGAAGACAAATTCGGAAGAAAATTCCGTCCCGGAGATCTTGAGGCTGTCTATGTCTGCTTGCTCCATAGCATCTAGCATCGCACGCCGCCGGTCATTGTCGGTTTCGTGCAATATTTCTACGTCAGACTCGTTTTCCGAATCGTCTTGTGGTTGATTATGGGTCGCCGGTGTCGATGTGTTCGCTAGGAAAATCGTAAGTATCTGTCACGCCTACAAACGTTTGGATACATACCTTGGCTTTGCAATGCTTTCAGGCGACGTTCTGCCGCCACCGCCCTTTCTTCCCGTGCTCGCTTACTGGAAGGTAGCCACATCAAACGATTATATGCGCGAATACACCGCGAAATCTCTCTCACCTTCCGGCCTTTTTTCTAAATCCTGCTCCGGCTTTCCTTTGTTCTTGATCACTGATGTCACCGTTGAGCGCCTTACCTGGCCCCTTGAATGTTCCCTGAGCTGTCACGCGCGACCCCGCTTTACGTTTCTTCGTGGTCTGCGCCCCGGTATGGCTCGAAGGGCCGGCTTGTGAGTGATTTCGTCGTCGTCGAAGCGAAGTGGGACGCGTTCGGGATTGGGCACCACCGCACTTCAGGTAAATTGGCTTTGCAATATACGCTTGAGATTTATCATAACATACCATATATTCTGGCAAGTCCCCTGGATCAAACGTTCGACCACCCATCCTGGCAGAATCCGCTAGTCGTGCCCCAGCCGACCAATACCCTGCGACAAGCATCATGATGGTGTACTCACACAGGGTGTTTGCGAACCAACCATCTCCATAATATCCTTTATCCTGCAATTCTCTTACCTCACGGCGTAATTTAGTCCATAGTGTTTGGAATGCAGGTCCATGATTCATGTGCTACCCGCATAGACCATCAGTGGGAAACGAATAGGTCGAAAAAGGAATATACCTGAATATGCGCTAGCTTTCGCAGTCCATCATCGCGGCGCGTCACTATAGGTAGTCGCCATGTTGCTCAAATATCATAACTGACCTCGTGGCACAATGTACTCATCAACCAGGAAACTGGTAAAAATGTACCGCTGGCACCACGGAGTACCAATTCTATTATTTTTTGCTTGAGAGCGAAATTCAGAGCATGCTTTTCTGAAGACACTGACCGATCACTTCGCCGTTGTTCCAATTCCTACCTGCAAAGACTTTGTTGTGTTCATACTAGCGAGAAGCGGAATTTCAGCCAGCTAAGCCTGATATGCGACGACCGCGGTTGTCGTACCTCTTCTAGACTGTTCACGACGAAGCCATGCGCCTTCATGACAGGTCTGACTTGGGCGGCCAGGGCGCGCAGCAGTTGTCTCGCGTCCTCTTGGGCAGCCGGGTCCACCGTTGTGAGTGCGGTGATGAAATTGACGTGTGCATTGGGATTCGTCTCACGTTCGTTCAGTCGTACATGCACCATACTAGTGAAATGATCCCAGCCTGGAGTATCGTTGCGGCAACAGAAGGCAAACAGTCCCGGCCCCCCAGCCACACGCCTGGCCACTGGTGGCGCGAGGCGCGACTGACCGCGACTGCCGGGCGCGATCGGTCTTCATCTGGACTATCATCTCGCCCGGGTTTTGCACGTTCGATCTCCACGTTCGGCAGCGCTGTCTTCCCCGTCCCTTTTTACTTGCTCGGACGCGTCGAGACGCGTCTAGCTCCCTCGAAATCCAGCGCCCCGCACCGTCATCGCTCCCCGGCACTAACCAGTCAAAGACCCGGAGTAAAAGAGGCGTCGGTCCACCCTATCTCCGTCCACCATCCTCCACCTCACATTGCCCTCACCTTTATCGTTCTCGCAGTCGTAGCCACAATGTCCGAGCCACTCCTACCGATCCAGAAACCGAAGATGAAGCTCGCCGTGCTTACGTCCGGCGGGGACAGCGCCGGCATGAACGCCGTCGTCCGTGCCGTCGTGAAGACGGCCATCGCCAAGTGCGGCTCCTAAGGCATCTCCGCTCTGCCATTTGACCTTGATGAGTCCTTTGCTAGGGGCTGTGAAGCCTGGGTCGTCCGCGAGGGATACGAAGGGCTTGTCCGTGGCAATGCGCACGACACGCAGGAAGTACAGGACGCGCGAGCGAGCGAGGACGCTACTTTTGTGAACAATCTGCGCTTTGGCGACGGAGAATTGCTGAAGGATGGGACAGGAGACTACATTAGTGGGCGGACGCTCCGAGGGCGATACATTGTCCGCGTCGGATGGGACGATGTGAGAGGCTGGTTTGGGGAGGTGAGTGGGTGTATCTAGTATATGTCCTTGTTCTGAAGGGTTTTGAACGAATCACTCTGCAATCAGGGAGGTACTTTAATCGGTACTGCTCGGTCGACTACATTCCGCACTAAAGAAGGTCGTCAGACGGCAGCATACAACATGATCAAGGAAGGGATCGATGCTCTTGTAGTCTGCGGTGGAGATGGCTCTTTAACAGGTGCAGATGTGTTCAGGTCTGAATGGCCCCAGCATGTTGCTGCTCTTAAAGCCGACGGTACGTACCTCAGTGAACCACGATAATTCCAAGATTGAGCTGCATAGTGTGCATGCACAACGAGAACCGTGTTTGCACCGTTATCAACTCACTTATCTTCTCGGGACCCCAGCCCTTGGCAGACGCAGTTCTAAACCTGGGATATGGGCGCATATAATCGACCCACTGTGATTATATACGTCCTGGCATTCCCACAGGCCCTTTCTAGCTATCCCGTCTCTCTTCGAACTCGAAAGCTATGCTCAGACGCATCGTATACTGATATTTTCTAGGACAAATTACTGAGGAGCAAGCAATCGCGCACCAGCATCTCCGAATCGTCGGTCTTGTTGGCTCCATTGATAACGACATGTCAATGACAGACATGACAATTGGGGCACCAACTGCTCTCCACCGCATTTGCGAGTCCATCGACAACATAAATTCGACCGCATATTCGCATTCTCGCGCGTTTGTGCTGGAAGTCATGGGTAGGCACTGTGGATGGCTTGCATTGATGGCTGGTGTCAGGTCTGTCATTGTTTCTGCCCCCAGGAAGCCAAAATTCTGACTCGTACACAGCTGTGGAGCGGACTTCATTTTCATTCCGGAGAATCCCCCGGCAGAAGAGAAGTGGGAAGACCATATGTGCAAGATGATTCAGAGTGTATGTCGCTCACCCGTGAAAGCGATCATGATCTGCAAGCTAATGTAATTACAGAACCGGGAGATCGGGCAGCGGAAAACGATTGTGATCGTTGCAGAGGGCGCCATTGACAGAAATCTCAACCCGATACGAGCAGACTACATAAAGGATGTTCTGACGGATCGACTGGGCCTCGATACGCGAGTCACGACTCTGGGACACACCCAACGTGGTGGGGCACCGTGTGCTTACGATCGTATTATGGTATGTCCTGTCCTTACTGTCTGATGCTCCGTCAGACACCCGTTGATGTTGTTGGTCCAGCCAACACTGCAAGGAATCGAGGCAGTAGAAGCGCTCTTACAAGCCACCCCGGATACACCATCTTTCATGATTGGCGTCAGCGAGAACAAGATAATTCGCGTTCCCCTCATGGAGGCTGTCGCAATGGTCAGTATCCCATCCCCTAAAAGCCAAACTGTGGAAGCTGATACACGCCTACTCAAAGACTCGTTCAGTGGGTGTTGCAATTTCCGAGAAGAATTTCGACAAGGCAATGTCGCTCCGCGACCCAGAATTCGCGGAGATGTTGGATGGCTTCCACGCTACATCTATTCTCGAAAAGGAGCCAAAATTGCCTCAGCATCAGGTGAGTTAATATGTCATCAATTTCCTATCGAGAAGTGACCGATTGGGTTCAACGTGAAGAGAATGCGCGTGGGAATCATGCAGTGAGTATGACTTAGTGCGTAATGCAGCCGCAGTCTAATATGCGCTCTTAGTGTCGGCGCCCCCGCAGGGGGTATGAACGCTGCGACTCGCACTGCGGTCCGGTATTGTCTCCGTCAGGGACACGTACCATATGCCATCCACAATGGTTTTCTTGGACTGCTTGATGACAATGTACATCAACTGTCCTGGCTTGGAGTCGACACTTGGATGACCCGCGGAGGATCGGAGCTGGGCACGAATCGCAAGCTGCCCGATATTGACCTCGGTGCGGTTGCGGCGAAGTTCCAGCAGTACAACTTCCAGGCGCTCCTGATGATTGGTGGGTTCGAGACATTCAATGCACTACTGATCTTGGATAACGCGAGGAAGCATTATCCCGCGTTCCACATACCGATGGTACACCTCCCGGCGACAATATCGAACAATGTCCCAATGACGGAGTTCAGCTTGGGGAGCGACACGAGTCTGAATGCACTCGTGTCTGCGTGCGATGCGATTAAGCAGAGTGCGTCGGCGAGTCGGAACCGAGTCTTTGTGGTAGAGACGCAGGGTGGAAAATGTGGATATATCGCTACGATGGGTGCACTGGCGGTGAGTATTCCCATGAGCTCAGGGAATCATGTTGATTTTAGTAGACTGGTGCCGTGATTCTGTACACGCCGGAGCGGGGTATTGACCTGGACATGCTGCGCCGTGATGTCAAATTCTTGAAACGGAGATACACCCTCGACCAGGCTGGTAAAGCGGAGGGAAGACTAGTTCTGAGGTATGTGTCTATCACAATTTTGGCGCAAGCGAGCTCACTCTTTCCAGGAACGAGTGCGCATCGGACGTCTATAGTACAGACTTTATCAGGAGGATGCTAAAGGAAGAGGGTGGATCGCTGTTTGACTCACGTTCTGCGAGTCTGGGACACACGCTGCAGGGAGGCATTCCGTCGCCAATGGACCGGACCCGGGCAGTGCGCCTAGCGCTCAATTCGATGGCATATATGGAGAGGCACCACATTGAGCTACTGCAGCAGCAGTCAAAGGTAAAACAGGCGCCACCGGAGTCTGCTGCGGTGGTGACGATCCAGGGAACGAAGGTGAAGTGGGTGCCGGTGCAGGAGATGGTGGCGCATGCGGACATGAAGAACCGGAGGGGAACGGAGGCTTGGTGGGACGAGTACACGACGTTGGTGGAGGAGCTGGTGGGTCGCCAGCAGCTGCTTGAGAGGGTACCTTTGCCTGTGTAGAGAGGTGCTAGCTAGGGAGGAAAGTGGTGTATCACTTTATTGTACTCGTAGACCAGCATAGAATTGATATTGAACGTGTGGCGCCGAACGACCAGACCTGCCCGGAAAGGCAATTCGGCAAATTGCGGAGAGGGGGCCTCGCTGTGGGTTGGTGGTTTGTCTGCCACCAACGCGCTCGCCGAGATCGCGACTGGCGACACGCTCCTCCCCGTCCTTCACCATGCCCCCCGTCGTTAAACAGCAACGTCCTCCCCTCCCCGTAGACCATGCAAACCCTCAAATCAGAAACAGTTCGTCCTTCGTCTTTCCCATCTCTCTTTCCCTCATCGTCGCCGCCTCTAGTTGATCTCTCCAAGCCACCCCCGGTCAAGTTCCAGGAGATTGTGCGCGATGAGCAGATCACTATTGTGCGTAGTCGTTGTTGAGCTTTCTCGCGCCGTCCTCACGCTCTCAGCAGGTAGGCAGGCTCAAGATCAACACGGTACGCATCCTTCCTCCCCCGGCCACATCGTTTATATCTTACTCTCTCTAGCCCCTGGGTCATGCCTTCATCCTTCGTCGCCTAGACACCGGCGCGATAAGCCTCACTACCATGTTCCGCGCTGCTTTCCCCACTGCCAACGAGGACGCCGAGAAGGCAGAAGCGGCCTGGGTCAAGGCCAATTTCGACATCGCTGGTGCGAACAAGGCTGGACGCTCTCGTTTTGCTGGAACGTGGGTCAGCCCCGAAGTCGCTGTGACTCTTGCAGCCGACTACAATCTGTCCGCTGTCATATCCGCCCTCGCGAAAGCACAACCCGACCCCAATGTCGTCTATCGCCGATCCTCCAAGACACAGCAGCCAACGCCGGGCGCATCCCCTGCTGCACGACCAGTAGCCGTGTCTCCCTCGCCTCGGGAGGCTGGCCCCGCCCCTGCCAAACGCCGCAGGGAAGCCTCGCCTGCAAAGTCCGTGTCCACTGAGTCCGGCGTGACTCTAGCTGCCTTAGCCGATTCGACGGTCAGTGCTTCTCCTACTGTCGCTGCCAAGGCCCCTGCGCCCACGCCGCCGCCCTCCGTGGCACGCGCTGTGAGGTCGCCCACGCCGCGGCGGTCGGCTCGATTGCACGACACCGGGACAAGCTTCGTGCAGTCACCCATCGTGCCGAAGTCTCCCAGGAGCACGCGCTCGGCGAAGAAGACCCTCACCCCGACCGGCTCTGAGGACACAGTCGTCGACGAGGAGGGTGCCAATGTCGCGCGGTTAGCGACGGACACTATGGAGGACGACATCCAAGAGCAAAAAGAACTGATCGCGCGGCTGAAGGCCGAGCGCGAGCAGCAGGAAGTCGAACAAGCTGAGAAAGCAAACGGAGACACTGAGGGCGCTGAGGGCATAGATGCAGACATGCATGACGAGATGTCCGGCTCTGAGCTTGCCGAGGAAGCCAAGGGGCAAAAACGGCCTCGAGACGAGTCTCCGCTCAAATTTAACTTTTCTCAGTCGCAGGAGGAGGTTGGCGAGCGGGTGATTGCCACAAACCGACGAGTTGGGTTGCTCGGAAACATTCCCCCAGAGCGCAAGTCCTTTGCATTCGGCTCAATTGCGTTTGCGGCAGGATTTGGTTTGATGTATGTTTCACACTCCTCGCTCGCGTTTTCCGAGATGGCTCATAATCTGCCCCACAGGTCGCTCCTGCCCACTATACAAACTTATCTGTCTTTCTGACGAGCTGAACGTTCACCGCCATGGGAGTCCTGTGCCATTTTAGGTAGCACACCCACGTCGACTGTTTCGTTCTTTGCTTTCAGCACGTCTTCTGCATATGCGTGTCATCATTCCCTGGTGCCTCCTTGAGACGGGCTCTCCGCTGTATCACTCATAATGGTAAATATTTCTTCTGGGTCCACCACTTTCCCATGAGGTACATCTCTACATTACAGTACCTCTATAAAGCCAGTCATTTCTCGCGTATTATTTCTTGTCTGAGACTGCCCCTATATCGCTTTTCCTACTTTTTTGCCGTTTACTACGTACGTACGTTTTCTGGTCTGTAATTCTGTCCCTGTGGCTACTCTTGTAACTAGTATGAGGAATATCGGCTCAATGTATGGCCGTACAAGTGATCGAATGCACAAATATACGGGATTGAACTGGTTCCGCGTATTCAAACACTTCGCAGTACTTACCAGCAGCGTGATACATTGCTCGGAATGAAAATTGGCGAGTGGCGAGATGTGTCATCTATGGATCGAACATAGCAAGGGCCTCTTTCAGCTTTGCAGAGACCACCCCGACCTGGACGGGCAGTACCATGAACGATTAGCGAAGATTTCCAAGCGAGCAAAAGATCACGCCTCACGTTTTTGCGCTCAAACGGCTCGAAATGGTTGCCAGGGATGTCGAGAACTGGCACAGCCGTCCCTAGAATCCGTTCCCATCCGCTGATAGACTCCATGCGATCCGTCCTGTCAGCGAAAAACGATGTTGAATCACGTTGGATCATAGCGTGGGTGCAGCCATCCTCGCAACGAAGCATTACGGCCGTAGGCAGGACGGCATGGCTTGCAGGGGACACAGAAGGGTCATATTCGGCAAAAAGTTTGCTTGCAGCTCGCATCTGGGCACGGACGAGGGACGCTAGGCGACTCGTAGAGCCGACCACGACATCAATGAAGGAATCTGACATAAGAGCTTGCGAAAGAGGATGAGGAGAATCAATGAGCACTATCCCTTTGACATGAATGCCGCTGTCCACAAGGTGGCGAGCGACTTCGAAGGCTACGACGCCTCCGAAGGACCAGCCTGTAGCGGTGTCTGATTAGTATCATGACATCGTTTGATAGAGATATGGCTTACCCCCTACGATGCACGACATTTTCCCGGCCGCGTGAACTTCCTCTGAAATGAGGTTCGTATAATGGGCGGCCATCTCGATAACACCACCTTCCCACTCTTCCCCAGTAGGCAGCTTGGGGTTGTGTATGCCCCAAACGCGACGATCGAGACGAGAGAGATTAGCATACTGATGCGCCAAACCACTGCCGTCATGAATTAGAAATAATGGCACAACATTGGGATCGCCACATTGGAGCAGTGCTGGGTTGCGCTCCGAAAGGGTGGTAGATCCCGAATCTAGTTCTCGAACGTAGTACGGAGGAGCTCCGTCGAGTGCGGCCGAGATTTGCTCTACTGTCATGCGCGGAAGTGAGTCGTGATACGCAATATCAATCCCGAAATATAACTGCAGCGCTTGACGTGTCTCGATGGAACTCAGGGAATCCATCCCGAGGAGAGACAACTCTTGATCACAGGGCAGATCTTGCACAGAGAAGCCCAGAACTGACGATATGATCTCCCGAACTTTGTTAATGCGGCCAAATGACTGATCTGATGTACTGGAGGACACTAATCTTGGGCTGTCCGTTTGCGAACCTGAAGCCAGACTATCCTCAAGGGCTTTTATGAGCTCTCCCACTTGCATCTTCGCCATAAATACTGAGGATTCGATGCTGGAAGAGGGCAGAATAGTACGAAGCCGTCCAACCAACTCGATGCTCATGAGAGAGTCGACGCCAAGATCTCCTAAGAGCGATTCTCTTGTTATGCGACCGGACTGGACACCGCAAACTTCAGCAATGATGTTCCTAAACTGACTTTCGAGGCAAGACGCTCTCCCAACAACCTTCTCAGCATCGACGACAGAACGCGTGGAGGAGACGTGCTTCTCGCGCAGAGAAGCGGATAGCAGCCGTTTGAAACTACTCAGCTTAAGCTTGCGGAATCTGACTTTCTCCAGGTATGCCACGACTTGGTCTTCCTCACCATCGAGCTTGGTCGCATAGATATCGACGATGGTCATTGCTTCGGACATGAAGCCAACGCTGCAGTAGACGCCATACATAGCGGATGGTATCCCAAAGTCACATAGGGCACGAACCCGATTGACCTGATTGCATATGAAGATATCTTCTTCTGCAGCATTGTGGTTTACCACAAATCCAGCCGCATGCAGCAGGGAGTCCATGAAAATCGGGTGAATAACGAACCGCCCGAGAGTGGCGCGCGGACACTCCATTATGGCATACGCATCGGCTCCGTCTGAACGAATAGTGATAGCCTTGATCGTCCGGTAGAGCTCGGAATAGCTCACGACGCGCGAAAATTTGTTATAAAAACCGCGAGTGTAGAAAGTCGTAGCGCCGTTACATCCAATTTGCAGCGATCCCCGACGCCGATCGAGCATCCTCTTGAAAGAAGAAAGTTCTGATTCCATTTGGGCTATTGGTTGATACCTAATCTTCCCAGAACAATAGGAATACTCAGAGATCGGAGAATCTATGGACAGCGAGTAAATCTTGAATTGCATGGATGACCTCTGAGATTGCGCGTTGGATTGAATATCTACCCGGATGGACTGACGTCGCCAGGGCGCATAGACAAGCGGGTTATCATGAACGACGTCAAGAAGCTCTGGGCACATGAGAGTGTCCAAATTTTGAGTGTCCGCAAGGAAATTGTGGGCAGAAGCCAGCGCGAGCTCGTAGTGAAGAGATGCAGGACAGAGAGCATAGCCCGCGACTTCGTGTCCTGATATAAATGGAACAATTTGATCCACATTTATATCAAACTCACGCGAGAATCCATCCCTGGAGATTTGAAAGGAGGGACCGGGTAAAATGAAAGATAATCCGGAAGGACTCCCAGCATCAATTGTGACCTGAGGATCTTCTTGGTAGGAAATCCAGAAACGAGATTGAGCGAACGGATAAGATGGCAAAGTTGTGAGTCGTGCGTCTGGTGCAAAATCAGCGAAAACAGCGCGCCATGAGATCCGCGTAAAGAGACAGTACAGCTTCGACAGAGCGGAGCATAAAACTTCTTCGTCTGGCTTATGCTTCCGCAACGACGCTATACGTAGTACAGTATGCTTTGCGGCGGTTTCGTTCGGGAGCAGTCGTAGGGTGATTGGATGTGGTCCAATTTCGATCCACGCTGCGATACGAGAAGACTCTTCACGAGCAACAAGATTCTCAATGCACTGCTGGAAGCGAACTGGGTCTCGGCAGTGACGAACAAAATAATCGGGTGTAAAGACCGCGACATCGCCCGGATTGATTATCATACCATGTACAGCGGACGAAACAAATATCCTGGGTGCTGAAAGGCGAATGTGACGTCCAATGTCGCGCAAGTCGGCCAACATCGGATCCATAGCGGCGGTGTGGTATGCGAACGGAACATCTAAATGGACGCAACTATGCCTTAGCTTCTCGCAGTGGTAACGCAATGATCTGAGTTGCATTGTATCACCGCCAACCGTGAATGTGGAAGTGCTATGGATCTGTTCACCAATGGTTCAATATCCAATAATAACGGACCACTTACCCGTTGTAGCATGCTATAGACACGCCGTTATATGCATCTTCACACAAAATTTGCTCGAGCTCATCGGCATCAATTTGAATGGACAGCATTCCTGTGGCGTTTGCTTGACATTTCCTGTTCATCAGTCTTGCTCTGTATGCTACTAGTTTGAGACCGTCATCAAGTGAAATGACATCAGCAATAACAAGTGCTGCATATTCCCCTAGGCTAAATACCATCAGCCGCCCCCATTTTCGCATCATTCGAAGTACTATACCTGTGACCCATAACTGCGTGAGGCAGGACTCCCCACGACATCCACAACTTCGCTAAAGCGCATTGTAGCACAAATGTAGCAGGCTGAAGAATCTCAATACTGTCGGACTCTTCTATGTTCGATGCATCAGGAGAAATTACGCATAAAATCCCCAAAAATCCCCAAGTAACTAGCCTCTGGTGACAACCATCGACGATACCTCGAAAGTATGGGATGTGTGCGTACAGACCTGCGCCCATTCCATGATATTGCCCTCCCTGACCAGAGAAAACAAAGATTACTTTATCTTGTGTCTCGTCGATCTGTACCACGCCGGCCGCCTGTAGGTTGTGAGCCAGCTCCTGAATGGATGTACCAACAGCAGCGATTCGATACTTATGCAGTTGTCTGCGAGCTGTAGCAGTGTAAGCGAAATCAGCCAGCTGTGACTGAGTGCGAACGCGTTGTTCCAGATCTGTCAGGTACAGCACGCGCAGCCTCTCTATCGCCTCTTCACTCTCGCATGATAGGCAGAGAAGTACAGCCTCAGATGCGCGGCATAGAGCCGAAGATCGTGTGAGAGGTGGTTCTTCTAGAACGAGGGCTGCATTCGAACCCGCCGCGCCAAAATTATTCAAGAGAGCTATCCGCTTTCGGTTTCCGGTAGGAGCAGACCATGGAGTTGATGTCAAATTTATGCGAACATTGTCGGAAGCCAAGTCCGGGATTTTAGGATTTAGTTGTTTGAGTGAGATCGTAGCAGGGATCATGTGCTTTTGCATCATCAATACCAGCTTTGCGAGGCTCGCAGCTCCAGATGCTGCCTCTGCATGGCCAATATTTGCCTTGACAGATGTAACGTGGAGCGGATTTTCCACCAATCGACCAACCGCGAGCACGCTTCGTAAGCTTTCCATCTCCGCGGGATCGCCGGCCTGCGTTCCAGTCCCATGAGCCTCTACTACGCTAACCTCATGAGGATGAACGCCGCTAGCTTCGAGCACATTTCGTAGCAGCCTGGCTTGCGTTTCCACATGTGGATGCGTGATTGAGTCTGACTTCCCCGATTGGTTGACCTCCACACCACGTATAACGCCCTGAATACGGTCGTTCTCGAACAAGGCATCTGAAAGTCGTTTCAGAACAAAGATTCCGCAGCCTTCCGCGCGGCAGTATCCATCCGCGGAGACGTCCCAGGGTCTGCATTGACCGGTTTGACTGAGAAAATGCGCTCGCTCTAGTCCCAAGTACATCTGACCAAACCCGTCAATGCAAAGCAGTAAACTAGGGAATCGATACACACATCAGGACTAGAAATCACATTGACACCGCCGGCAAGGGCAGCGTTACAGTCACCGTTGGAGAGTGCACGGCAAGCCTGGTAAATGGCGACTATGGATGAGGAACACGCAGTGTCAACCACTATGGATGGACCACTAAAACCAAATGCATGTGATATCTTGCCGCACAAAAATGCTTGAAGAGTCCCTGATAAAACGAATGAGTCAACAAGCCACGCATTGAATATTGAGCCTGCATCTACCAGTGCTGTAGTATATGTCGACATCTTTTCGCAGATTCTGCACGTAATCGTTCGTGGAACAGCCTATGTACGTCGCGAACGTATCGGGATTAGATGTTGAAGTCGCGTTCGGCACATAACCTGCGTCTTCAAGTGCGTGGTAAGCGACATGGAGGAGAACCCGCTGCTGCGGATCCATGCTGCGAGCTTCTCGTGGGGAGATGTGGAAAAACGCATTATCGAACACATCCGCATCTTCAAGGAAGTTGCCGAAAGTCGTCTTCAGGGTGCGATGCGATCCTTCTGGAACCTCCATGTATTGTTTGATGTCGAACTTATACTTTGGTATCTACAATAGCGGAGTGAGCTCAGATCCGAATGCGAGGAGTGTCCTGATCTACCTGCGAGGCAGAGCTTACGTCGTTCTCGAGAATACTCCACAGTGCATCCATATCTTTGGCCCCGGGAAAATTGATCGCCGTACCAACAATCGCAATGGGCTCTTGGGTATTTTGATTGTAAAACGATGGCGCGCGCGCAATCCCTGTGGGCACATCGTGCTGAATGGAGCTAGTCCAGTCCACCGGCGAGATTGAAACTTGCTGAAGTACTCGGATTATGCTCTGCCATATGAAGGTACCAGGCCCGACGTTGATCAGACGAACTGGTGTATATCTTGCCTGCCGATGACATGCAAAGTCAGTTCGCAGAGTCTCGACGACGATATCGAGATTGACCGGACGCAAGACCATGTCAACGATTGCCTCAACCAGAGTGACGCCTGGTTCTACACTCGTGTCATCGATCGGTCTGCCATTAATCGAGGAGCGAATGGGTCGAACAAGGTCATGAAAGGTAGGAAATCGGATATTTCTTCCGGAGATGTGTTTCATAACATTTGCCTTGACATGAAGCAGTTGCTCCTCATTTCCTGAGGAATGAATGAAACACTGGGTAGAGAAGCCAAGCCAAAATGCGAGTCGGAACGCCTCCACGGACGTAGCAATGAAAGCTGGGATGTCTTTAGATGTTGAGACAACCACCGCAGCCAACAGACCTGTAGAAGATCCCAACAATCCATGAACGTTACGAAAGCCGCTGGCTCGGCCTTCACAAAGAAGCTCCGGAAATTCCACGTTGGCGACAAAACGCAAGAGCTGTATGAGAAGTAAATGTACGTTTTCCATAGCGACATTTTCGCGAAGTGCGGGGTGAAGGTGAAGGAGATCGAGAGGTGTGCCTAGATTCTTCAGATTCAGACCAAACCTAGTCTGTTCTTCCTGAGAGACCGAAGTAAGATCACAAACAAGAGCTTGATGACAAGCCGTTAGGAGTACGTGTCCAAGTGGAAGCCTAGAGTCTCTAATAGCAGTTTGTATCGTCTGCGGTGAGTGGCCTGGGATGGTAGGTGGTCCCTGACTGTCGAAGACGATAAAATCTGAGAGGTTTGCCTTGGATGACAGCATCAATATGATTCTACGGCTTTTTCAAAGCTCTACGACGTGGATTTGAATTCAAAAATGTCAAATGACGGATACGGGAGAACACATACTCAGGGCCGATCCAACTTGCAGTCCTACCGCTGAGGCCGAGAGAGTAAAAGTGGGGCCCGGGAATATAAACCCACGTATATATGCGGTATTTCTGACATAAGTCAAAAGTAGAAAAGGTCATGGACGTTTTGAAAATGAAATGCCTCGCGCTCTCTGTGTTGCAACAGTTTTCTTTGCGGAACGGTCCAAGAAGTGGATTGAAAGCTGTAGTCACTACTAACTCGAAGCAAGTGACGCCAACTTGCCAAGGTCCGAGGTCTTTGAGCACACGTACACACGTGATTGGTTTTGACGTGGACCCCGGGCACCTCAAAATATGCGTCCAGCTGCATTACAGGCTTTCTTCACTTTTTGCTGCGACTTGCTGGATCTCTTAGTTTGCAGCTGTGTCACATATCTATTCCCTGATGCTTAACGAATAACTTGATGCTCTGAAACATCCATTTATTTCCAAGCGTTCTTCTGGGACTTCGGAACCGCCATCAACCGTTTCTTTTGCGGGTTCAGCGCCATACGCTCACCGCTGTCTCACCATCTGCCTGCTCTGTTACGAAAAGGTGTTTCTGACGATCAGAAGCCGAAGAGAGCGGGCCGATGCAATCCCATGAGCTGTCAGGTTGAGACAGCTGTTGGCCAAGGCCGATGTCTAAGGAAATCGGATGTTTCTGATTATGGAGGAGACATTCTTAGTGCTCGTCGAATTCAAGAATCGTACCATCCTTGCTGATACGAACCAAGCATTATGTGGTTTCAACTTTTGCCCCACCGCTACGCATCCTCTCCCAGGTCCAGAGAGCACACTCGTCTCATTGTGGTACTTATCTCACTATCACAAGTTCTATCGGAATATCATGAATACCCGACTTGCTACGGTCGTTTCTTCGCCCGTACTGTGAACTCTGCTGAATGCAACGTTACGTGGATGATATGCGCCCCGCGAGACATTTTTCATTGAGAAACACAGGAGCTTTCATATACACGGAAGTGTAATAGTACTCCGAATCGGACATTTCGCCTTTAAGGTGCTGCTAGTGTATGTATGGGCCTGAATATTGCGAACGATAAGAGCGGCTGATGACCACCCTGTGCTAGGTTTCTCCGTCTTTGGTTCAGAAGGCTCGTTCATATGCATACTGCATCTGTGATCGTGACGTGCTCTTTGAAGCGTTTGGGTTGACTTCCCGAGCATGTAGACCATTAACCCTTCTTTGAATCGGCGCTTTGCTGTCATCCGAGGACCGGGATATCAGTACTTTAGTGCTTGCGGTGAGCGTCTTCATGCATGCATTGCTCAATGTCCTCACCGTCCTCGGATCAACAATGTCGGCTCTTGAAGTTTCCCGAGCAGACAACGGAGGATACTGAATTGTCAAACGTCTACCCTTGACGATCGCTCCGGTCGTGGCCATACTAGCGTATATAAAGAGGCGTTGGTGGCGCTCGAACAGGAGTAACAAAATAATGATATGTCTGATATCCCTCGTCTTTTGGGAGGGTGGGCTACTAAGACCTCGTCAGGCCATTTCCAGACAGTACACAATTTCGACGCCGAGGACCAATAATGCTATCAGAGATGCAATGAGCACCCCCACGGGCTTACGCAGTAAACATTCTGGCAGCACTTGTACGTCGACTAGATCCCCGCATGGTGCCGTCGCCTCGTTGCTTCCCCCGGGGTCTTTAATCACACGTCTCATTTTGACTAAAACCAGCTGGCAGCTGGTACCCCGGGCGCATCGGTTCTTCGAATGTGATAGCTTCTTCCCTGGGCGTATATAATGCGAGCCTTTGCCGGTTCAAGACATAACTCGCCCACATTACTCTGCTTATAATGTGGTCTCCCGCCTCCTCTATCAGGGCCCTTCTAGCTGCACTCCCGGTGTTTTCTGGCTTTATAGTGAACATCGAGCTGCCAATTACTCACATAGGTAGTGTTCCATTCTATGATCCCCGTGTCCTTGGAGGCTCCATGCTAGACAACGCCGGGGGTGGTTATGGGGAACCTCTTAATGTAGTCTTATACTCATATCCCCGATGTCCTCTCTCTAACCATGTGGTCGCCAGGTCATCATCTCCGGGACGAGTTCCCCAGAAGTCCTCACGGAGAATGGTTTTATCAAGTTCGCTCTGGCTTTAGGCTTGTAAGTGGTCGACATATTTAGATCAAATTTCCCATGAGCGAACCTTACTGCTATATCCTCCGCTTTTGTTCGTAAAGCGCAAGAGAATGTCTCGACATCCACTTGGGCGCTCCCATGCCTGCCAACCTTGGCGACGGCAATGGCTGGGTTAATCAAACCATCGAATTGCGGCACGACTATGCCATCGGGGGGACATGCGCGGAGACCATCTTTGGTGGTAACCACCTGAGGTACAATTCCTCGCCTCAAGGATTGCACACCTGTGCCATGAAGCTAATATGACGCGACGCTTCTTGATAGACTGTTCGTGCAGAACGGCACAGAAGCGGACAGTGGTGCTCTATTCTTAGCGTAAGCACGCGTCTTCGATCTCGCGTATGTCGTCGTGCTGGATAGTGGCACTTTCTCTGCAGTGTCTCGAAAGAGGAGGACCTCGAAGAGCACCACACCATTTCACCAAACGGATACGATCGCGGGCGGTAAGCACGTTCGTTCGCTGCGTGCGCCTGACTCACCGGCACGTTCTGCGAACTCCGTAAGGGATCTCCTCGTTGCTGGTGCCACAGGTTGTACCCGACTTGAAGGCGTTACGTACCACACCACGACCCAGTTTATAAGCGGTCTCCTTCCTCCCGGAAACCAGAGTATTAATCATGGTAAGGTTGTTTAATTGCCACAATTGGGAACGTGAATATAACGGGATCTTCCCAGGGATTTCCATCGACGGAAGGGTAGCTTTACTAACCGTGCACATCGGCAACGCGTGCGATTAGCCTGCGAATCTGACTCCTTAATCGGCTTCGCGATCGTATCATGTAGGAGGCTTGGAGGACAACCTGCTGGGTCCATTGTACATGTACTTGTATCACGGAAATGCGACGCGTCTACAACCATTCGTCCAGTACCCAGTAATTATACTCAATGACACTTGGAGTTGCTTGTATTGCAAATCGGCGTGATGCATGCTGCGCTAATTGATCGAATGGCGATCGACTTAACTTGAAGCGGGCACTCTTCAAGGCTTATTTTAACTTGCCTTTCTGCACAGTACTGCGTGTCCGACAGCAACTCGATAATCTATTCTTTGGCAGCCCACTTCTACGGCAATGACGAAGGCAGAACCGCAATGGCACTCTATGTGAGAACATGCAATCCTCTGTTCAGCCGCGCTCATATCAAACATAACCTCAGTACCATCCGGATTCCGTTTGGATCAGAGAAACACGCGTCCATAGCTAAGCAGGTCATCGAGGTGGACAGGGAGCTGCAACCCCAAGCTGTGAAGAGGACATTGTCAGTCGAAGACCGAACATTGGTTGCGTGAGTCCCCGGCAATCTTCCTTGGTCCCTAGTTCTGCCAGTCCTGTCTGAGCTATCTTCTGCAGCAACTTCGAGACGCTGACGATCAGGCTTTCTCGTCTAACGGTCAATGCGTTTCTGGAGAATGTTGACCTCGTCGTACGGACGATCGGGGAGTTCGGGGAGAACGCGGAATGCGGTACAACGACGTAGGCCTTACGTGTTACCATGAGTGGGGGCAACTACCGCGGTGCGTGTACTAGCAATACATCGTATTCGATACTCGACGTTGACCTCTACTTCTCTCCTGACCCCTCGCCCTCCGCGTCTGCCTTCGCCTTCTTTTTCTTGCTCTTCTTGTCCTCCCGCAGCTTCTTTGTAAGTAGCTCCTTCAGTTCCTCGTCTTCTAGTTCTTTCGTTGTCTTGACCAGTTCTGGCTTATACCAGACAGGGGGGTACGTGATCATAGCAGGACCCGCAGGGAGAAGAGCAATTGTGAAGTGGAAGCCCGCAACGAAGGTGTTTGCAGGCGTGTAACTAATATATCTCATGAGCAGGTTGAAAGATGAATTCCCAGAACACTTACATGACTTCGTATGGCTTCACCAGATTGTGCTGGACCGCCTCCTGCAGGCCCAGTCGTGCGCGTTTCTCGTCCTCTAGGCATCGGATGTTGAAAGGGAAGGCGCCGGCCTTCTTTTGGACTTCAGAGAAAACAGCACGCGACGTCTTCATCTTCAACTGATATGTGACGGTCGACTCCTTCTGATATATGGTAGTCTTTGACTCTTCAAGACGAGCCTGTGCAACATGAATAGCCGCGACAAGAACATGGATCGAAAACGCACCTTCCCATCCTCTCCAGACGAGATCAAGATATCGACACCGTAAACTTCATTCTCTGCAAAAGTGACAGCCTCAAAGTCCTTCTTTTGGGATTCGGACTGCCGTATTTCATGAACACGCCATATTCACACTGATAAATTTCATCAACGCACCGGGTTAAGAATGATACGCTTCTTGCCGTCGATAACATTTTGGCTTTGCTGGCATGACAGCATTCCTGGATGAAGATCGACTCGAATCGTTGGGCCAGCTCGATGAACATCGCGCACCTTCAACGGGCTTGCAATCCCATGCGGCTGCGATCTTGCCGACCGATTCAGTGACTGTCCAGTTTTTATTGCCGACCTTGACCAGCCGCATGGCGATCTCTGCCGCTGTCCAAGCCGCTTTCAGTACGTCTGCCTGTCTGCCAGTCACAGGATCTTGTTCCGATGCCCCCACCACGAGTGTCTCGGCGCTGACTGCCGCAAAACCATCGATATGGGCACCGATGTGGAGCTTGACTACATCTCCCTTCGCGAGAGTTTGTGAGGAGGCGGGATCCGAGGGCAGCGGTGAAAAATGTGCAACGGTGTTATTGACTGACACACAAGTTGGGAATGCGATACCTGTTCAGGTGCAAACGATGTTAATGTGATCTGATACGCGAACGCTGCTGAGGAGAAAAAGTGCACACACCCTTGGCGACCTTTACGCCCTTTACAGCTTTGTTGTACACAGCTCCTGTCCCCTCTTCTAGGAGTCTGTCCCCCTCAACACAGATATCCAGGACTTTGGCTCCCTCGATGCTTAGCGCCACAAGACTTTTCATTACATTATTGACGATGTCGGCCGCGATCTAACATACTCGGCTATGGTCAACTATGATCGGCAACATCGAGAGGTCCTGCCTCACCTTGTATTTCGTAACATCAACCTGCGCAGTTGATTCCTCGGCGGGTTTCTGTGCATCGGCCATGGTATGGTACAACAGTCGGAGGAGATTTTAGGATTTGATCAGTCGCTGCGATGCGCTCGCCTCTACAACTCAGAGAATTCAAAGAGGATGTGTCACGTGAAACTATAATCCTCTTGATCGAACTTTCAGCCAGAAGATGGGAACAGTACAGGAAAACCCGTATTAATGCTGCGAGCATGCCGCACGATAATCTATATGCAAGATCTATAAAACATGTACACGTACGCAGGACTAGCCTGAGAATGCAGATCAATAACCTAGCGTCCTCCTATGTTCTTGGAAGTTGGTTTATAACACGCGAAAGCTCGCAGTGATCGACAGAGATTCTCCGGACCAATATACGAAGCGGTTATCTCTGACAGCTCCATCTCGCCTGCATGTTCTCGCCAGACTTTCCAGTCAGGTTGGTCATTACCAGTGGGGTCTATCCAAGCAAGCGCCTCATTCAGCTTGGCACGCATGCTCATGCGATCTTTCATGTCCCTTTAGCATTGAAATTAGTTATAGTCGAAGTGACAGTATGCAAGAACACTGACTCTTCCCACTTATCCCACAATCGGAGGAAATCTTCTCGCAAGTTCTCTTCGCTCACCCGTTTCCCGTCGCCTTGTTGATACTTATACTCTAACCAAATTGCTTCCTTGCACGCGCGAACCTTTTGAATGGTCTTCGCGAGATGAATCGACGCCCACGAAGAGACAGTAGCACTTTTGGTAGCTTGTTTAGAGCGCGATGACGAATTTTCGGCCCGTTCCGTAGACCATCTGCTCCCATGTGTTTGCAGATCAAGAAACATTTTGGTCATGCCTGGGGAGTCTCCGAAGTGGAAATGACTATCGACGTAGCCTTCAGTGGACTGTGCGGAATTGGGAGGGAGCAGGATGTGCATCGCCGGTAACATCTGAACGTCGTCGAAATAGGTCGATAGATAGAACGGGAGCACGGCAATGATATTTGGAGCGATGAATCGTCGGTGAAGCATTCCCTCCCATGCTCTGTAGAGATCATGATGATCGCGTGAACTGGCAGATCGATCCCTCAAGCTTTTGTTCTGTTGAAGTATCGAGCGTTGCGACGATGCTGAGTCCACGCTGTTCGACGGCGTAATTCGAGGCGCGATTAGACCCACATGTTGCTCCGATGAATGGAACGATAGTGGTGAGCTGATCAAGCTCGATGTGCTTCCCGCAAAACTAGAGCCAGCAGCTGTAGCAGGCGAAATGGGAGAAAGACTATGATCATCTCCCTTCTGTATGTCACCAGATGGGAAAATCAGGTCCTCTTCGATAGCCTGAGTGAACATGAGGAGCGAGACATATTTCATATGTATTTCATCCTCACCTCCAGTACACCATTCGGCGCCAGGACTCTTGCGCACTCCTGGAAGAAACAAACATGAACAATGAATGTCTCGAGCACAAAATGAATCGCCAACCTCAATCAAGTACTGCCATTCGTCCTCTGGTACAGCAAGACCGATGACACAAAAACGAACGAAATCAAACTCTCCAGTAGCAAATGGCAGAGGCTCCAGACTGGTATAATTTTGAGCATACATGTATCAGAGCGAGAGAGCGGACGCACAAATCAATATGCTGCCATTCTATACGCTGAGAATAATTTTCAAGTTCGTATTCAGGTCGTGTGAGATCGGGTTGACATTTCTCAAGGTCAATACCAACAAATTGGGTATCCTTCACGTGGAGTCGATGAGCAAATATGACCCAAGATATATGACAAGAGCCTTACCATCCATTTCTTCGCAGCTTCTATAACCCATATACCATTTCCACATCCAATGTCTAAAACCTTCCGTGGAGGAGGGTCAAACTTGTGTACAGTGAACTGGCATACCACTCCACTCATGAACATGTAATCCCAGCTGTCACTGTGATATAAAGTAAGAAAACTCTGTAAAGTGAGACAACAATGAACTACCTACTACAGGTACAAGTCCATCGAGGATCTAGCAGGGTAGGGTATGGACCTATGCATGGAGCCATTGTTGGCAGCCCCGCCACGAAGATTTCGCCGTCGTGGTCGCTTGCTGAGCAACTCGTCTTGAACGTCTCTGCTCACTGTGCCTTGAGCCATCAGTTGGGGCACGACTTGTGATGGATCGTCACCGGAAGTCCCACTGGCGGGCGGGATGATCGCTGCCTTCAGACACAGAGGCGATGGGTCCGCACTAGGAGCGGGAGGGCGATGTCAGGAGGAACGTCGCGAAGAGATATCAGGCGATTACATACTTGTGTAGTGTGGATCATAGCAACACCTTGCCGACGCGACACAGGCAGCTGGGTTTGCGAGATCTACCGTGAATTTGGTATGTTCTCCCCGAGGTCGGAGATGCGGAGACGGAACCAGTTTTGTCGGTGATCTGGCACGCGCAAACAGGTTAACATTGTGATAACACACTTATCAGTCCAAAACAAAGTCGCAATTTATCCGCGACGCTCTCCGACTTCCCGCCATGAACACCGTCATCACTGCCCGTGCGTCGGGCCTACGCACTGTTTTGCGCGCGAGCCGTGCAGCACTCGCTTTGCGCTCTTATGCTACCCCTGCAGCCGTCAAGGAGGACGACGACCCGCAGCTTGCCGATTATCCTCGCCTGCCGTATATTTCACGACAGCGATTGCCTGCTAGAGGTTGGGATGACTGGCAGATGAGACGCAATTTCGGCGACCCTGTATGTTGCTGTCTTATTTGCTTTGGGCTGCCCTGACTTCGGAAGCAGCTGCACGAGCAAGACGAGATCATCTCAATGTGGGGGCCTGACGCATCCGTAGTAGAGCCATCGACAGCGCTCCGCCACTTTACAATTGCATTCTTGGGATTCTTCGCCTTTGGTGCCACCGTCAAGTATGCATTAATTCCTGAGAGGCCCTCGGTTCCTCGCGAATACCCCTTCTCTGGACTTGTGACAGAGTTGGGTGGGTTGGAGGAGAACAAGGTCTGTCTTGTCTTTGGTGCAGACTCAACCTCCGTTCACATGCAGGACAGGCAAGGCCAGAGGATGAGTCTGAAGACGAGTAGATTCTTGCATTTCCCTTGTATCCCCAAGTCATAGTTGCTAGAGATACAAATTCGATTCGTGCGTGCGTCGAAAGTATTTGCATCGCCAAAGAACGTACGGTCGAGTCGCTGCAACAGATGTGCCTGTCGATGAGTCACAGACGCGTCGATTCCGATGCTTCGTACATTGAAAGGAGAGCGGTAAGTCATCCTTCAACTTATTGTCTTCACTTTTCCCGCAATTTTTGTCCAGCAATCCGTCACTTTCCCCAGCGAATTCGGTTCAATGTGCGACGCGTGTGCGTTGTTCGTTTGACCTGTCTACAGGCTGTTATGGAACTAGTTGGTCGTAATATTACCGTTCTTTGTCTCTGGTTACATTTCCAAGTCAGACACTGACTCCTAGAAGCCTCGGCAGTATACCTAATGGTTTTTCCCTGCCTTCTGACTCTGAGCATCTCGCTCGTACTATCTTGTGATTGCACTGATGCCACATCGGAAATCGAAGTTCTGGACACTCCTCTAGACTCTGCACATATCATGATGTGTGTTTTGCATACCGTTACTATCAACTGTGCATATACTTGGTCCACCATTGCTGATGAAGCCATTCATGTCATCGTTTGAGATTCTTCAGACCAACCGACAAGCCGTACATGCTTAACGACAATTCATCTTCCCCTCAGCATGACTTATTCTGGCCCGTTTTTATCGCATCAAAAGAAATGGAAGACGATAACATCCATTCTTAGCGCCAACGCGTATATTAGTTATCTTTCGCATGCTTGCGTTCGAAACGATCAGATCAATCCCAGAAACTTTGACACGGTGTACGACGCTCCAGGAGAAGTATTTTCGAGGCAGGGTGGAGGGTCCTGTCCTCACTGAGCATTCTAATTAGGTTGACTCGGAAGGTCATGCCATTGGCACATAAATCAACCATCATCGATATAATATCAAAACGCGACCTGATACTAAGCGTCAATTGGATTTCCCTCTCGTCGTAGTCCATCGCGCTTCGAGACTTCCGGGATCGTCTTTGACACAGGCTGGGACGAGACTGGACGGTCTACTAATAGTGTGGTACATATATGGTAGGGTTCATCACTGATAACCAAGACGGGTGAATGAGGATGGATACCCGAAACATGCAGTATAACTGATTGTGATACACTTTACATCTCCACAGCGGTCGCATTGCCTCCATCAGATACATCCACAGATGCTGACGCACCCTTGAACACTGGTTTGGGTCTGGGTCGCAAATTGACAGCTAGTGGAGGTGGTGGTGATAGATCCTTGCTGGAAGTTGGCGTTGTATCAAGTTCATCCTCACTTGCTGATGGTTTACGCTTCCGGGATGGTCTGTTGGCTTTTCCGCCGCGACTCGCCCTCCCTCGGCCAACAGTATGTGCTTTCTTTTCGCCAATAGCAGTATGCCCGGGTCCTTTCCCCTTTGTTCCGTTAGTCTTCCTCCTCTTCGCTGGTTGTTGTGCGTGTTCAGATACAGAGTCGGACAAAGATTCGCCCTCCGCTGTATCTGCACTTTGGAGTCGGGTTTGCTCCTTCCTGAAGTCTGAAATGACTTGTTGCAAACGTTTGCTTGCATATGCCTGCCTCTTGCGAGGGGCGTGGCCTGCACCCACGGGTGCGTCAAACAAGCCCAACAGCGTCCCCTGTTTGTTGGGGACGGAGCTCTGAGACATATATATTAGCAATATGTAGAAGCAGAGAATCATCACGAAAGATACTTGTCCACGCTTGCCCATCTTGCGGATAATTGGAAGGAGGAGATCATCTACTTTCGCCTGCTGCCAGCCAAGCTCAGAATTAAAGAAACTGGTGTCGATGTGGTCAGTCAGCGGCGATGCATGGACTCATTGAGGAACATACTTGCGAAGGGCATCCAGATCTGGAAGCCCCCATTTGAAGGGTTCTTCGGACTCGTCAACGGTCGGATGATGATAAGCGTCTCTCTGTTGACGTCCATGACTAATCTTCTAGTATCAATGATTCACTCACAACAGCGGGATTCGGCCACTCATCAGGCAGGTACAGCTCTTTGAATCGCTTTTTCTGCACAGACGGATACAAATACTCAGTAGAAGCACAGTCGCAAAGACACAGACTCACAAAGCGTTTACGGAACCCGGAGTTAGTATCCTCTTTAGTATCTTTCCCGCTTTGTACCTTTTGCCACCAGTACTTGAACTTATGCAGACCGTCCTGGCCAGGAAACTCTTTCAGTAGTTCCATGGCGACAACAGGTCCAACCCCAGGGAGACCGTCGGTATAGTCACTGCCCAGAAGATAGGCCAATCGGATAAGTTTATCGCGCTCAAGCCCGAGTTCACGTTCCAGGTCGGAAAGGAGGAAGCATTCAACCGTCTTGGACTGATTGAACATGTTCTTCAGAACTCGCATCCCCCCGAACAGAAATACATCAGAGTCGTCGGTGATGATGCCATCAACAAGCCCGAGAGATAGTAATTCAGCACACTGTGCTTCAGCTTCCATCGGGGCCGTAATATATGGGATACCAAACAGACGTAGCATAATCTACGAATGTTTGAAAATCTCGTCGTCAGGGGACTAGTAAGCACATACCATGATTTGAGAAATCATTTGCTGAGTGATATCTTCGGAATCTCGCATGGCGATTTTCTTCTGCTGGTGAAGATCCCTGATCTCTTCGTCGATTTCCCGCCGAACAGCCTCAAGGTCTCTGCCCTTCACATGTGATATGAAGCGCGCAAACTCTCCTTCCTCGGCTTGGGGATCCATCTCCTCTGCAGCGTCCCAGCCATCAACTGTAGATTCCACCGGACGACCTACGCTGTCGTGATGTTCCGCATCAGGGGATCGTGGTCGGCGCCACACGTTCGTTTCTTCGTCCTCAGAACTAGATGAACTTTCTTCTCGTATTAGGCTTATGTTTCCGCTGTTTTTGGCTGAAAGAGCTGATGGTGAGAGCGACTCTGTATCCTTAGGTCGAGGAGACGATCTAGTAAGTAGTACGTGATTTGGCGTGAGCACATTTGTTGGTTGAATTTTAGTAAAATGGCGATCAGTTACAAACTCTCCAGCTGACTGCATTGCGGAAGTGCGAGAGCGATCGACAGGTGGGGCTTGAAATGAGACAGACTTCCGAGGCGGAGTGAGCTGGACTTCTATCATAGATTGTAATTCCGGTTCCACATCATGAGACCTCGATGGCGGCGGGGTCATGGTTCGCTCATTTGCCGGCGCGATCGTTGATGCACTTGGCAACGACACTTCCTCCAGATCATCTTCTGGCTCCTTAATCAGTACAGAAGACGAACGGGCAGCGGCCGGTGTGGATGCTTGCAGATCCTCTGATGTATTGAGCACTGGTAAGACTTCTTCCATGTCACTCTCTGAGTCCGACTCTATGGTCACAGGTGCAAATGAAGGGAGGATGGTTTGAGTGGACGTGCATGGGGTGATTGGTGGCCCCGTTACCTCTTCCATATCAGCATCAGAGTCGGAAAATTCCGGACTAGATTGTTCAGAGGCTTTTGCAAACATGTTTTCGGGAAGGAGAAGTGTAGGCAGACCAAACCTGGACGAGGAAGGTGGTGCTTTCTGGATCTGCGAGAGAGATCTCCTGGAGGGCCCCGCACCTGCGATAGATAAGGCCGTCTCCAAGCGCATCGGGGATGCGTACAAGTCATCGTCATCAGACTCATTGGTTTTCCCAGAGGATGCCTCAGTACGGGACGTGCCGGATCGCGACGACGGCGTTGCAAGCCTCACATCGTCCAATGTGACTCTGGATGAGGAGGCCTCTGCATTCCCTTTGAGCAAAGCACGCGCCGATTGGCGTGAAGCATCCAGAGCCACTTGGATGGTAGCAGCCTCTGTGTATTCAAGTGATTCTTGAATAGCTAAAGCAAGTTCTGGATCGTCGTCTGGGGACTCATCATTACTCTGAACAGCAGACACGTCTTCGTCTTCCGGGGCGAATAGCGGTCGCGAATCCTTCGGTCTTGTCCTCGGTTTGGCTGTCAATGGTGTCGATTTTTTTGGAGAGTACCTGTCCGCCAAAGCGTAGAGAGCTTGATGCCTCCTATATTCTCTCAAATCAGGATCCACTGGTGTTTGACTAGCACTGAAAGAATAACATTATAAGCTATCGATGCAATCGTTGGAAGAAGATATACATGCATCGGCACCTCCTCCATATCGTCATCACTGTCGTTGTCCGGAACCTTCTGAGTCAGTTGATCTATCTCAATAGGCTTGCTTTGTGTGCCATCGTCTCGTATACCAAGAACCCAGCCTCCTTCTCCATCCTCGTTCTTCAGTAGCACATATTCTTTATTTCTCTCACTAGCAATGCGAATAGGAATAGAAACATGAGCCTTTCCGATGCTATCGGTTGTGATGAGAAGTTGCTGCGTCAGTGCATTACGATGCTTTAGATTCTTAATCTGCTCTTTGGAAAAGTCAAGAGGTGTCTTTGCATTCTTGAGCATATTCTGTAGACGCTTGTAGGATGTCTGACGCGACTTGAGCCGAAGGTCCCCAATGATTTCATACTGCACCTCAGTGGGGAGCTCCCGGAATTCCGGGGAGGAGACGTCAAAATCTTCTGGCCGCATTTCCTCGATGAATGCTCGTAATTCATCTTCCGTGGCGAGACGAGGATCTGGCGCAGCGGAACGCGTTGCTTGGGCAACAACTGAATTCATATCAACCTCTGGGAGCTTGTAAGGATCGTGGTCGTGCCATCGCGACCTTTTGGACGACGGAGGTGAAGACTCGGGTGCTTTTTTTGCTGGTGTTTTAGGGGTATTGTCATCAAGATCTTCAAGATACACTGTGTTCTCGTCAATGACAGCGGGGCCTACAGGCAGCCCCTTCTTGCTCTTTGAGCCCTCAGCTCTGAGGAGTGATAAGGCGACATGGAATATATGAATGACTGTCGCTTACGACTTGGCCTGAACCTGATTCAATGCTTCCCTTCTCATCTGTGCCGCTAAGAGCCTCTCCGCAACTTTTGCATGACTTAGAGCAGCTCCGCTCTTTTTCTTCTTGCGCTCGGCCTAGTAACTCATGTAGAAGGTCGGTCGGTCAGCCATTATATGGTGCACTTACAATAGTGGCCCTCTTAAGTACAGGCGCTCCACCGTCAAAGACAAAGACAGGCTTAATACCGTAGAACAGCAGCTTGCAGATGCGCCGCAGGAAACCAAGCACATGCGCGTTCACCAAACCCCGGCCCTCCTTGTCTCGCATAGTCGCTTGAAACTGGTATATCCAGATACTCGAGTCTATGGCCATCGCCTTGCCCTCCATGGTTTCGAGCCTTCATAGAATATAAATTAATGCTGCAGAGTACCGGGAGCGATACTTACAGCACCGGTCGGCCCACTGGATCCAATAAAGACCATAGTGATTTGACACCCATCTTGGTGGAGAACTATCAAATAGACATCAGCTATATATGAGGTTACGCATGAGTAAGAACGGATCGAGATGCGCTTTAGACAGCCTGACTGAGTCGCTACCCTTACCGCCGCCACCGTGATGGATAATTGCAGGCGCTTAGTCACACCTCTGATCGACACTGGTACATAGTAATACATTCGGCCGCGCACTCAACATACACCTTTGGTTCTCATTATAATATGTTGAAAATGAAACGACGATTGTTGTGTGCATAGATACAAGATTTGCGACTAGATCCACCAAAAGACAAGACTTGCAGAAGACCAAAACGAACGAACGGAATTACGAGTAGAGTATCAAATGCGCAGCGTCCTTCAGCAAATGTCCATGACCAAGCCAAGGAAAAGAAACCTGAAATGGTCGAGCAACTAACGAGCGGCAGATGAATCGACCCTTCCTCTGGACGCGTCTTCCCTAGGCGCACCCTGACCGTTCGCAGAGCTGTTCTGAGAAGAGAATGGTCGACCACTTGGCTCTTCGCTAGATGCCTGCAATCCGCCATCAAAGCCCATCGACGGGCGTGAATCAAATCCTCCTCCCGTCATCTGTGGTCCCATCCCCATCCCCATGTTCATTGGGTTCATCCCCATGCCCGGGCCCATACCTGGATTCATCCCCATACCAGGATTCATGTTCATGCCGCCTCCCATCCCTATCCCAGGGTTCATGCCCATTGACGGATTCATACCCATGGTCGGACTCATCATTGGCATGCCCATCATAGACATACGTGGATCCATCCCGCCCATTGCCATGCTCCCACCGGTCATCATCGGATTGAGGGGATGAGGACCATGGTCGCCTCCGAGGTTAGAGCCAGCCGCGGAAAACGCCATCATGGCTTGCTGGTACGCCTGCATTGCAGCCTGCTGAGCGGCCATCATGTGTTGCGGACTGTTGAAACCAGGCATCATCCCAGGATATCCCCAGCCTCCCGTCATCATTGGATTCATGCCCATCATCATCGGGTTTCCCATCATCGGATTGAACCCAGGCATACCCATTCCGCCGTACATTGATCCACCCTGCTGCATTTGGTCGAGTTGCTGGCGTTGGAATTCATCGAGTTTGCGTTGCCGCTCCTCGGCCAGACGCCTTTCGCGCTCGCGCTCGGTCAAAGCAGCGCCAATACCACCTTCGCGCTTGCGCTCCCGTTCGTGCGCAGTAACGGCACCAAGTAGACCTGTTTGTGGCGGCGGAGGCTTGTTGGGCACATTGATAAGCGATGCGCCTGTTTCCCTCGCAAATTCTTCTTGCCTCTTCGCAGAGCGATCTTGCTTATCTTGCAAACCTGCCGATAATAAGCCGTGGGGAGTGAACGCTTTCGTCATTGCTTGCGATGGTGCATCAAGCTGGATGAATGTATCCCTGACTGGACCATTGGGCGGAGGCGATGAGCCTTTACCAGATTCAAGGGCATGACTCCAAATAGTCTGACGATGGGCTGCCTGATTGGGGTGCTCGGGTTGCGGTCTCAGGTTAGGCTGAGGCGAAGGCGGCTGGCGAGGTCCTTCAGGCATTGGGATCTGGCGTGAAGAGTACGCTTCAGAGATAATGCGACGAGGTTGAGGGCTCAAGTATTCTTCATGAACACCTACTGTGAAAATTAATGTGCATGCCATGTATGAACCAACATAAAAACACACCAGGAGGATTCTGTCCCGGCAGCTGGGGGAGCTCCCGAGCCGGCCTACGTCCTTGAGGGTACATGCTCGGATCGCCTGGAGAAGGACCTCTGTTCGGAAGATATGCAGTGCTGCCCGAGTTGCTCGGCACTACAGATCCAGCTACAGATGGCTGTCCTGAACCACTCACAGCTCGCGGGGGGAATTCCGTATCCGAGTCGACATCATCGTCTTCCTCCTCTTCTTCCTCCTCTTCTTCGTCACTACTCTCAGCCCACGCTCCCTGACTCGTACGAGGCTTCCCCCGACCATTTACTCTGCCCGGACGACTCACAGCAGCCTGCTGAGCAGCTTGCTGTGCCTGCATCTTCGCCTTCCGTTCCGCGGCCTGCTTGGACGGCGCAAAGGATGATCTGTATTCCCGTGATCCAGAGGAAGGGCTAGTGGAAGCCTGCAGTCCAGTTGGAGAAGCTGCTTGAGACGAAATCTGTGGTTGCGGCGCAGCAACGTCGAAGCTTTCACTTTGCTCCAAGAACGACAACGCGGCTAGCGCGTCAGCGTCAGGATCCTCTAATGATTGCAGGGCACGAGTGACTCTGGCTGGGGGAGCGGAGGCATCTTCATCTTGCTCGGCCATACCGTCGTAATCGACTTCGTCCTGGCTTGGTAGGCGACGGTCGGGGGTGGAAGAATTGCGGGTAGAGCTGGCTGGCGTTTTACTTGCGGGAGCCGCACGTGCGCCAGTTGGCTTACGACCGCTGCCCGATCTGGACGCGGACATTGCCGACTGTGTCTCAGACGCGGCGGTCAAGTTTGACCGTGAAGACCCGACAGACTGATTCGTCTCGCGCCTGGAAGGGAGCGAGCGTTCGGGGCCTTGAGCAGGCCGCGGTGGACTCGAGTATCGTACGTTGAGCGGACTGGTGGTGACTCGAGGAGGCGGCGTATATTCACTGTCATCTGATGCCGTATCTTCGTCTGTGTTGCTAGTACCAACAGGCAGCGGGGGATGGCGTTGATACGGTAGTGGTTTCTTTGGCGACTCGTCCTGCATGTGTTGCATGTAATACAACGCTCCAGCTGCAAATGATATGTCGTCCGAGTCTACGGACTTCGATTGCGGAGGCTGGACCGGGGGACTAGGCGAAGTAGGAATGGATTTTGACGATGATGGTCGTGCACTGTCCCTTTGTGTAGATGACGTGGCCGATGTTGCGGAGAAGGATGGCCTGGGAGACTTTGGAGAAAGTGGTCGAGGAGAGGCTTTGCCGTTATGACCAAGATCATTTACAGCAGTAGCAGTGGGAGACGAAGTTCGTTGTGAGAATTGGGGACTTGCTACGCGCGCGTCACGCTCCACAGACGTGGGAGGCTTTGCTGGTACATCAGGGGCTTGAGCGACAACAGTGTTCGCCATGGTCGACTTCGACGATGCGCGAACCAGTTCAGAACGGCTCAGTCTTGAATCTGGGCGGGAAAAATATGAGTCCTCACTGCGACGGCCGTGGCTGTTGGCATCCGCTGAGGTCGCAGCTGTAGGACTGGAAACCAGGGGATCGCCTAGTACCGAGGATGCCTGTTGTGAAGACTCCACGACCGACACGATCGTAGGCGGCGAAATTTGCTGTGCCGACGTTTTCAAGGGCGAGTTCTCCCCAGATAGCGACCGACTCGGGTCCCGAGTTACGCTGCGCTCAGTGATAGGCGTAAGAGAGCGTTTGTCAGGGACTGCGGGAGGCTCCATGTCGGAGGGCCGATCTTCAAAGTCCATACGAGGTAGCTGCAACGAAATTTGCCCAGCAGATGCTTGCTTTTCCTGTGGCTTTGGTCCAGTAGGGGCTTCGACTTTCGCATGAAGATCAGTGGAGTTGACGCTTGACAGTGGAGGCAAGATGGGTGGTCGATCCTCCGAGGCCGAAGACGGGGTGCTATCCGTCACAACATCGCGCATTCGTTCTGCCATGATGAGCAAAAGAGACTTTCTAATGGCCGACGTTCGCTCATCCCTGATATTTAAACTTTCTGCGTGTTCACGGTCCAAGAACAGCATCTGTGGCAATGATGAGCCCAATTGTGTAGTGATAACACGCACGAAAGAATTTAACATACATCTTTCTGCGGTCCAACTGGATAACCAAACATCATACTGCGTGGATCCCTAGGATCCCAGCTGTACATTTCAGGTCGCCCATACAGCTCGAAGGCGTCGTGTATGGCTATACAAATAAAAGGTTAGCAGGTGTACGTGCTCAACAACTTTGTGTTCTCACCAATGAGCCATTTTAACATTTCTGATACGTTGATATTGGGCCCCTCGAGCTCGGGCAAAACCATGAGCCAACTTTCACGCATTTTCATGCTCCCAGCAGCCTCCTGATGTCCTAAAAGACCTTCCAGTTTCATCAATGTGCTGCAGTTGATCAGGTCCGGTCGCTCTGGGTATACGGCAAATGCTTGAGAAACGGATTGTACTGTCAAGAGCGGGTTTTTCCTGTCTTTTGCCTTCGGAGAGGCGAACAGATTGATGATCGGCTTCGAGGGACGAAGCGACCGCGGGGGACTACGATCGCGTGAGAATAGATTGGATACGCGCTTTTTCCGTAGGACATTCTGGGAGGACGGAGATTCTGGCCGGTTGTTCTGGTCGGTGGACGAGACGGATGAACCGTCATAAGTTTGCCCACCTGCTGAAATGACCATCCACATCCGCTTCCAATCCACTTGTCCCGCGACACGAACTTTCACCCACCCTTCCATCTTGCCACTGACCAGTGTAGTAGGTGTATCTCTTCCTGGGGAGACGTCAGCTACGAATGGTACCACAGGCGATATATGCCCACCGTCATTGAGGGTAATCCTAATAAGATGGGCAGTATAAATCTCCTCTAGTCTAGATTTTTCCCAAGCAGACAGCCTCAGAGCAGCTAACCAAGCCACTAGCACTGCCGGAGAAAGACCTGGGGCTGCAAAGAGGATCCTGTTCGATCCGGCCGTATTAAGGGTGAGGACATTGTTATATGTCCTCTCAGGAGAGCCCGCTCTTGCGGGTATTGTGACGGCGCCTTGAAAGCTTACAAACTGTAGAGGGCGATGAGACAAGAGAATGGAATGACATATGCAGACATGCTTCACTTACCGCGTCTGTTACATTGATATAACTTGGAGGAACCTGTTTTCCCTGCTTGCTTGCCTCGTCGATCGTCTTCATATCCCATATGCTCAAGGTCGTACCACCGAGCTGCGCCCACACGTCTCGCCAGCCCTCGTCCCTAGTAGGCTTGCTGCCATCCGGTTGCAGCTCTACACACTTGTCGAGAGGTCCAGAAAAATAGATTTTGTGTGTATGTGCCAATGTAAGCTGGACGATAGAGCGGATCTCGGGGTGCAATGGTGACACACCCCGTGAAGACAGCCCCCGATTGAGCACAACAATATCGCCACTGGGACGACCTTGCGCTGTGTCCTCCGAAGGTGACTCCTTATCATGATCTATGGGCATTCTCTGAGAACTCGTCGGTTGTCTCGCCGATCCATTTTGCTGCGTAGCTACTCGGGGCTGAGGCTTGTCTGTTGAGCTGCTTGAAGCCACCGTAATATCATCTTGAGTCGCCTTCGTTCTGAACAGGGAGAATGCGGAGAGTGTCCTCGAGTGTCCACCAAACGATGGACTCAAGGGCAACGAAGCTCTCTTGCTCGCTGCTGGCCGCGTATCCTGTGGTGGGGGCAGTTCTGGCGGCGGGGAAGGTGGGAACTCGTGATTATTGGCGCGCTGAGCCTGTTTCCACTGTTGAAGTCGAGCAGGAGAGATGAATCCCTGGTTGCGACTATCCCAGCGAGGACTAGTGCTGCCACCTTGAGAGACGGAAGTCATTGACAGCGCGGTCGTGATGGTAAGGGGTTACTGCAACGACGAAAAGGCATGGGATGATAGAACCCGAAACAATGCAGGACTAGTGCATGGATCACTCCAGCACCTGATCGAGTATTCGGTGATGAGATCATAGTCTAGCATACTAGTCGAAATTGAAGCATTCAAATATTCCATTCCTTCGATTCTAAGCAATCGTCAAAAATGATTTGTAACCTTCCTCACATCAACCATGTTAACTAGTATAGAGACATTTACATCTTGTTCCAGTGCCTAAGCTGTCGAACTAGGATGATGCTTGAAGCTGAAGCTTGTCTCTCACAACTGCACCACTGAGCCTGGACAGTTCCCCACTAAACATCAGACACCCATATTGTAACATCATCCTGCGGGACAGGACCATGCGTATCGAAGTTCATAGATATGCTTCTGCGACCTCCCTCGAGATTACAGCCGAGCTTCCCTGACACCATTCACTTTGACCACTCTGCCAAAACGTGAACCAATTCAACATTCTACGACAGCGCAGATTACGAGACACTCTTACAGTTTACCAGTATTGCCCCCATTGAAAAGCATAGTCAGCGCCTGTGGGGCCTCTTCCAAGCCCTTGACGACGTGAAACTTCCGCTTCAAGCTCCCATCCTTCAGCATTGCAGCCAGATATTCTACACCTGCAGGGAAGCGGTCCACATAATCGAACCTGCACATAGAGTTTATCCTAATGAATAAGTTACAGGGAGATTCTGTGGAGACTTACACAATGAAACCCTCAATTTTGGCTCGTTGTGATATGAGATTGAGATAGCCGGTAAGACCTCTGGGCTGAGAGGAATCTAAAGATAAAAACAACTGTTGGCTCTCTATGACTCGACCGTGATCACGACTGACTATAATCCGAAATAGCGCCTGAAAACGTATACCGTGAACCCAAGAAGAGGAGTAAAGCAGTAATGTAACTCACCGCATAGCACAATGCGGGCGTTTTTGTTCATCCGTGTCAGTAAGAAATCTAGAATCTCTCCGCCGACGTTGTCAAAGAAGACGTCAAAATATCCCACTGATGTCTTGAAGTCACTAAAGAACGTCGGACTCTTGTAGTTGAAAGCCTTGTCAACGCCCGCTTCCTTCTCCAGCCAATCGCATTTTTCATTGGAACCTGCGATAGCATATACTTGTGCGCCCTGACGCTTGCCAATTTGACATGCTATCGACCCTGTTGCGCCTGCCGCTCCTGATACGACAAGTTTATCACCCGGCTGAAGCTTTCCGACCTCAAGCAATCCCTTGTGGCCATTTATGAGCTGATGATTGAATGACAAAAATATCTGGACGCACCACAAACGCTGTGAAGCCTTACGCAAATCATGAAGCACGCTGTACTATGAGCATGGGATCGAGACTTGCTCACCAGTCCAGCCCAAAGCCCCTAGGAAGTCAAGGGGCTCCGCTCCCTCTGGGACCCTGTGACAACATTAGGGGAAAGTGTGGGCACGATGCCAGGGGGGGGGCGCACACAAGTTTCTGGACATGCTTCTCATCAAGAACAACATAGTCCCTCCACCCTGAGACAATTATGAGTAAATGAACGTCATGCTCATGTTACTGTGATCGCGCACCCAAGGTTCCGCTGACGAGATCGCCTCGAGCTAGAGTGCTGCCCTCGCCAACATCCACTACAACACCGAGACCGCTGGCCCTCATAGTCTCTCCAATTTGTACTGGAGGTACGTAACTCCTTCTATCATTTAACCAGCCCCGCATGGCGGGGTCGAGGGATAGATAGTGGATCTGGATGAGCACTTGGCCATTGCCGGGTTTGAGGTCGAATGGGACGGTCTCGCGACGGAATGTGGTGGGAGTAATTTCTGCCTTCGGACGCTCTGCTAGGACAATGCGGGTGTACTGTGAGGGTGACATTGCTGTAGGGGTGGGAGATGTGCACATCTCCAGACGCCGTGGTGCTGGACATGATGGGCGCTCTTGAGTGTAGCCGATTCGCAGCATTCACGCGCAATTCACGCGCGCCACATTTAATGTTAAGTACCCATTCCGCGGTTTAACTTTACGGTCTAGCGCGCACACGGTCACGTATGGTTATAAGCGCCCGTGCGCTCGCCTGCGACCATCGGATGACCTTCCGCGGAAGTGCCAGTACTACAGGCGTTCGTCTTCGATTTCTTGCTGGGCAATCCCTCTGCGCCGAAATTGGTTCCAGGCATCATACGTAGGTCGGATTAAGGCTGATAGTGAGTACATGCTGAGGGATGAGCGCTTGCTGAGGACTGACGCTGACGAGTACTCTCGCATGTGAATCTGGATTCACCGAATCGTTCGGTCTCGGGCCAGGTGAGGTCGGACCCGCTCGGCCCTCTGGTTCAAGGTCGTACACCTCCCAGTCTCTCTGTCTGCCACCTTTCTTCACAACCATGGGCAAGCTAATCGAGACGACCACCTCAGAAAGCCTGACAGTACGCGACAATCGCACTGGTAAAACACATACCATCCCGTACGTCGCACCAGCTAACATGTCCTGAAGTCTTGCGCAACGTTCACGTCTAACCCGTAGGATTGTGGATAATGCCATTTCTGCGACAGCATTCAAACAGTTCTCTTCCCCGAGAAAACCCGGGGAACGCGAGGAGAACGAGACCGAGAAGGGCTTGCGCGTACATGACAAGGGCTTCCTAAACACAGCTGTCATTCACAGTGAAATCACATACATCGACGGCGAAGCTGGAGGTATGTCTAGCCGAACCCTCTCCCATTGTGCGTTTTATGTTCACCGGGCGTGTGTCATGTTCGGCAGTTCTGCGTTACAGGTCGGTGCGCGTGCTACGGAGTCCACAACTAAAGAGCTAAATCATCTGTAGAGGCTATCCCATCGAGCAACTAGCCCTGAAATCTACCCATCTTGAGACAGCGTATCTACTTATATACGGATCTCTTCCAACTAGAGATCAGTATAACCTATTCGAAACCGAAGTCATGCGGCATAGTGTAATGCATGCCGATACGGAAGGATTCTTTCAATCTTTCCGGTGAGTCTCAATATCAAATCAGAGCCATGATCATCAAATAAAATACTGTCTGCTTCAGATATGACGCACATCCCATGAGTATGCTAACAAGCGCATTTGCCATGCTTGGCTCATACTACAGCGAGGCGAATCCCTCCCTTCAGGGCGAGTTTTTCTAACGTCCTGTCGCTATCCGTCCATGCTTATGACAAGATCACTAGGACAGCGACTGTATACCCAAGGGGATCAGGCCTCACTTGCCACCATGGACAGACAGATTTATAGGCTAATTGGCAAGGCGACAACATTAGCAGCGTAAGTATCACCTATTTGAGCTACAGCATCTGAACCTGTACTCTAGCATGGCATACCGCGTTCGACAAGGCCGAGACTTCGTCACGCCTCCTGTAGGCCTGAGTTACACTGGGTCGTCAGTGTTATATTTCTCCACCGTCTTCAGTGTTAAGACAAGACCTCTTCGTTCAGATTCTTGTACCAGATGGACCATCTAGGCGAAGAAAACTACGTACCCAATCCAGTGCTCGAGAAAGCCCTGGACGTGCTGTTCTTGATCCATGCGGACCATGAGCTGAATGCATCGTGCACTACGGTGCTTCAGACGGGAAGCTCTCTCGTAGACCCTTACTCGGCCATTGCGTATGTATCTCCCAGAGGACATGAATCTCGAGTTCTGACTCCCTAGTGTACAGAGCTGGCTGTGCGTCACTCTAGTAAGTCCTTATACCGAACATAGAACAGGCTTCTCCGCAGCTCACGTACGTATGCTTTTAGCGGACCTTTGCACGGTATGTAACGCTCAGATGAACTTATTGGATGCTAAAGCATGTTATGACCTACAGGCGGTGCAAATGAGGCCGTCATTCGCATGCTCGTTTCCATAGGAAGGTGAGGAAATGGATTCCAGGCCCATTTCGACAGCTTGTATGACGAATGGCAACCTCCGCAGCCCAAAGAATGTTCCCGCATTTATTGAGGCCGTGAAGAGACGGGAAAAGACATTGTCTGGATTCGGCCATCGGTATGTATGTTTAGGTGGTGTAAGGTGTGAGAGTTCTTGCTCATCACGTTGATACTTCCCCATTGGCAGTGTATATAAAACTGTGTGCACTCAATCATGTCTTCATTTGTGAAGTCCGCTGATCCATTTCCGGGAGCAGTCAGATCCGCGTTCATTTATTGTTCGCAAGACGGCTGATGAAGTATTTAAAGTGTTAGTCATAATACCTACTCCCACAATCTTGTTGCGAGCATGCTGATGTTGGCCATGAAGCACAGGAAAGGATGCGCTTCTGGAAACCGCGATGGCTCTACATGATGCGGCCATGAAGGACGAGTATTTCATCAAGCGGAAACTTGCTCCGAATGTTGACTTCTGGTGCGTCATTGTCGGACGCAGTACAATAAAATAGGTAACTAAATCTCACGTATACCAATCTACTTTCAGGAGGTAAGCGGAAGTTTGTACGTTTGCACGCGCCGACGCTCACCATTCCCAGCGGCTTGATATACCGCGCGATGGGTGAGTCGATAGATTCACGCGGCAGCATAATGATTCCAGGAATCTAACGGTCTTGGCTGCCCGCGCAGGATTCCCGATGGACTTCTTCCCGGTCTTGTTCGCCGTACCGCGAGTCGTCGGGTGGCTCGCCCACTGGCGGCAAATGATGCTGCAAGAAGGCGGTGTGAAGATCTGGCGCCCCCGGCAGGTGCATCCTCCACGTTTTCGCCACGTCGTTTAAATATGCTGAGGCGGCATGCACGCAGGTTTACGTTGGCGCAGGTCAACGGGACTATGTGCCCGTCGACAAACGCGTGTCCAGAGACGGCATCGCACAGACACCGTCGGCTGTTGAACACGGAGGGTGAGCCCAATTATACATCACGCTTGCGGAACGATCCGTATTGAGGCCGTTTCTCGGCAGTATTACGAAGAGGACAATGCTTGCGAGCTTTAAGGGAAAGAGTAAGCTATGACAGGGTAGGATTGCTGGCGTCCATAATGGGCATGTTGCAAATTTGTGATCTTGATGATCCATTCTGGAAACAAGCATGACTTTGTCAAATGTTAGAGCGGTAGCCTGAGGCTACATCCAACGAAAAGCTTGAAATCCGCAACAATGCTATTCTGAGCACCGACACAACCAACGTCTTCAAAGCATATCAAGACTTGAAGGCATCATCATATGAGCATATTATTGAATACACACTCGAATAGACAACGTTCGTTCAGTCAGATCGCAGACTGACTGAAAGTACATCACCCTTCATCACAATGGCTGTCAAGTGCGTTGACTTCATTCGGTCAGTGGCATCATCTTCAGTCAGTGGCACAGTATATGTCGTTGCGCAACGATTGGCCGGCGTCATTCACTACTCGGCGGGGACAACTAGGGCGGGGAAACCATGACGGCCCGTACAGCCTGGAAGGGCGTACACACAGGTGAACACACAGCACAATCAGCGCTCACAACGCACTTGGCTTGGATATGGCAGCGGCGGTGACGACAGTTGCGTCAATGACGGTCACCATCCTCCTGACATCTTCGTAGGCACCGGTTACATCCTGAAGACGTACGCAGCAACGACGTAGGTGGATCGACAGGCGCAGGAGAGTTATGAAACCGAGATTATTCTAGGATGTGATGAGCATGAGCAGACCGGTTCAACTAGCGCAGAGATGGGCCATCGTGAGGAGAGACAGGACTCTGTCGTATGCATGGTTGATCGCGGCAAGAAAGCCTGAAAGCTGAAGCTACTGCCGATCGGAACGAGGGCATCCGAAGTTCAAACCCCCCTTGCGGGCATCACGTGTACTTTTAGCCTGATGCGAACCATACGGTGCCTGTTTGGTCATATTTGCTCACGGTAAATGGTCGCGAGGCGTCCAAGACAACGCGCCTTTCTTTTACCCTCTTCGCCGTCTACAAATCACCTCTGCTTGAGCTCCCTGCTCCCCTCATTCTCCGTACATTACCACGATGTTCCCCACACTCATTTCAGTCGCTCTCTTGACCAGTCTTGCCATTAAGGGAGCTCGCGCCGATTTTAACGTCACCACCCCGACATTGGTCCAGGTGGGTAGACTCCGCCACATCGTCTCATTTGTGGTCTGACACTATACAGTGCCAACCCGCCACCCTTACCTGGTCAGGCAACTATATTGCACCAGTGAACGTCATTATCGTGCCTAGTGACGATGAATGTGGAGACGAGCTGTTCGTGCTTTAGCTTTTGTTATGATTTCATGCCTAACTTTTTCTAGTGCCGACCTCGGTGATTTCAATGCGTCGTCCGCTACGTGGACTGTCAATATCCCCGCTGGCCAGTCGGTCACTTTCTCCTTGCAAGATGCCAAGGGGGATGAAGCTTGGAGTGCCCCCGTGTGTGGTTCTCCCGATCTTTTGTTGTTCACCGGCTAACATTTTTTGCGACAGATCACTATCCAGGGTAGCAGCGCCGATTCTTGCCTGAATTCGACTTCGGCTGCTAACTCTACGTCGGGCTTGCCCACTTCAGCATCCGGTGGTGCTAACACTACCGGCAGGTGGGTTGCATCTTGTTTCATCATGATATGTGCGGTATTGATATTTTATCCCAGTGCGGAAGCTCCTGAGTCTCCCGTCGCCTCTCCTCCTGTTGTCAACGACGCCCCTGCAACCACCAGCAATGCTGCCGTCCCTGTCGGTGCTGCCAACACTGGTGACAACCCGACCTCGGCCGGGTTCACTATCCACCAGCTTAGCATCCCCGTCATGATTTTCAGTATGCTCGCCGCGTTCACGCTTTTCTAAGCCCCGGCTATATACCCTACGTTCCCCAGTCACTCGCATGTGGACGCCAGATAGCATAATGGTTATTGGCGTTGTCTTTGGATAATTTCTGTTTTGATTTGTGGTCGTTGAGTTCGAGCACGCAGGTCAATATCTGTCATCGCTGTCAACAGGTGCTGGTGTCGCCTCGTAAAGGATCAGGAGTCGGTGCGTGCGGGCAGACCGTTACAGCGTTGTCAAGCTGGATGTACTCCGTATATATTCCTTACTTTTATTGTCTGTATCTATTCCTTTGGTATCCATTGAGTCTTCAAACTTGCGTTAGAATCGGTTACGCGTCCAGAACACGTCGATTGACGACCTCGCAAGCTAATGTCATCGAACGTAGTAATTATGAGAACATAAAATGAACGCGTCCAAAGCTATAACAAGGTCATGGTACAAATCACAGGTAAAGCCCTTCCGGTGTGCCCTCATTCTTTCTGTATAGTACCTAGAAAACGACAATTATTTTCCAGCTTTTTAACAGTATAAGTCGAACTAGTAACATACCTTCTCTCTCGCGGATGTAAAGTCGGCCTTGGTCACTCTCATCCGGCGCTCCCGGAGCGCTAACAAGCCGGCCTCGGTGCATACGGCCTTGATATCGGCGCCAGATAGGTCGTCCTTGGCGGTGATGTAGTCTTCCAGATCGACGTCCTCGGAGAGACTCATCCGCGACGTGTGCAACCTGCGGGCGAGATCAGTTACAAGAATCATATCTCGCATTGTAACGTAACGCACTTGAAGATATGCCGTTTCGTCTTGATGTCGGGCAGCGGGAACTCAATCTTGCGGTCGATGCGACCTGGTCGGATGAGCGCCGGATCGAGCGACTCAATCTTGTTCGTAGCCATGATTACTTTCACGTCTCCACGAGTGTCGAAACCGTCTAGTTGGTTCAGCAACTCCAACATCGTTCGCTGGATCTCCCGTTCACCGCCGGATGTGGAGTCATACCTACGGTTAGCATTAATATATGCTGCGATGTGCGAGGTAACTGAGATATACTCGCCGCTTCGTTCCGATAGCATCGATCTCGTCAATGAAAACGATACTGGGTGCATGTTCCTCTGCTACTCGGAACATTTCTCGCACAAGTTTAGGACCGTCTCCGAGGTATTTCTGGATAAGCTCGGAGCCCACCACACGCAGGAAGGTAGCTGACGTTTGATTTGCCACAGCCTTAGCAAGAAGTGTCTTGCCCGTTCCTGGCACGCCGTATAGGATCACACCCTTAGGTGGTTTGATGCCCATCTCCTCATACAGCTCTGGGTGTGTCAATGGCAACTCAACAGATTCCTACGATATATTCAATACGGGATTAGCACTGAGGTTCGTCGACAAGCTCACCTTAATCTCCTGTATTTGATTCTCAAGACCACCAATATCCGCATAACTCTCTGTTGGGGCCTTGTCTAACTTCATAACACTAACCATAGGGTCGGCATCGTCTTGCAGTACACCAATAACTGCTTGAGTCTTGTGATGGAGAAGAACTTGACACCCAGGCTCGAGGAGATCCTTGTCAACGAAGCTCATAATAGAGACATAGTACTCCGGACCCGACGCTGTGCTGATGATGGCATGTTCGTCGTCAATGATTTCTTCCAAAGTACCTACTGCCATCGGGCTACCACGCAAGTCGTCCACCTTTGTTCTGTCCTCCTCATTCTTCTCCTCCCGGGTTGCTTCAGGCTTCAAGCGTTCCTGGTTCTGAATGAATTCCTCCTCTAAGAGCAGATAATCTTTGATGCGCTCCATCTTGAGCAGCCTCAGCCGACAGCGGGTAGTCGGGTGAACTGCAGGGAGTTTGGAGGCGGAGTCGGGACCTTTCTTCTTTTTCTTCTTTCCAACCCGGGTGGGGAGAGGCGGCTCCCACTTCTTCTTCTGCTCCTGGGGATTCTTCTTGTCGCCATCCTCCTGCTGTTGCCCTTTCCCCTGCCCGGCTGGTCCCAATCCAGAAGGAGCGTTTCCCTATATGTGACATGAGCACCTGATTGCTTTGAGACTGTCGTGGCGATACACACCATGGCTTTCCACTAAGTGTCGTTTGTGTGGGAAGAAGGAGAGATGACTGAAGACTAGAAAACACAGCTGCAGTGGTCTGAACGCGACGCGTCAGTGCTGCACTATGCTAAGCGCGTGGGATGTGTCACGTGCGTGCCTACAATTCGCTAGGCGCCCTCTTAGCGCAGTGCCACCTCGAGGGTTCGTCGCGTCCGCGCATTCAGGTTAGCAGCAATAGACGTATCATGGACACCACAGGAATTGCGACACCTCTCACATCAACATCCCAATTCATCCAAGCAGGTGCGCTTCAAATTTTCTCATTTGGTGCATGTCTTACTTGGTAACTGTCCAGACGATGACGATGACCTCGATGAAGAATCTATCCCGGGATTCACGCATCCTTCACTGGCTACTCCGCTGTCTCCGCACATTAATAAAGGAAAAGGTCGGGCTCCAGAACAACCAAGATCTGCCTCTGCTGCCAACTTCCCCACTAGCCCTGTCTCTGGGAACATAGGGAGTGCGCCGAATGTTGGACCAAGGCCAGCCCGAAGCACAGTCGGCGGCGTTCAGGTCGAGATGCGGTTGGTGTAAATTGTATTTATGTATCCTTCGCCTCGCTTATTCGATGCGCTTTTCAGCTATACAGGAGTCGATACTCTCGATGAACCTGTGTCAACCACCATTGTTAGTATCTGTTCCCTAGTTAACCAGCGTACCTAAGGGACTAAGGCTGCTCTTTAGGGGAGAGATCTACTTTCTATTTATACAAAGACAGTACATGTACTATACCCCCCAAAAGCAGGAAGTCGAGAGGTCCTTCGGTTAGTGTCCATACGTCAATTTCATGCTGTGTCACCCTGACAGTCTTAACAGGGATTGGGATCTTTGGGGTCCACTAGTAATCGGCTTGACGCTAGGCATTTTGCTCACCATTAGGGTCAGTGATGTCCGTCGAATTTCTCTTATGTTGTCCTCACTATCATCTATGTGTTTGAAGGCCTCGCCATCGCAGTCTCTCCCTATTTTCTCCAGTGTCGTGTGCATCATGACATTTGGCTCACTAGTAGTAACTGTTCAAGCCAAAGTAAGCGCAGTGTCGCAGTGTCTGTTGGTATGGAATGCCGCTGAGACACTTTAAATAGCTTTTAGGCGGTCGAGTGTAAGCGGTTAGACTTTGCGAATATCCTGGAATATCTTATTCTTTGTTCTAGCTCTTTCTTCCAAGGCCTCTGCGCGTTTGGCTACTGTGTTGCGCCTTTGAATGTGGCTGCGCTAGTAGCAGTGTTTGTGCATTTGATCTACGTCCGGGCCCCTATCACATTGGCAGCTTGGGCGTGGTGTATATGGGGTGCGTTTGGGCTGTTTCGTCCTCCTGTGTTTATTCTCAGCCTCTTCACTATTGCTAGCATCGAGAAATTTCCTGGAAGGTACGAAGCTGGAGAAACAGCGGACGATGCTCGCCGTCTATCCTCTTTTGTAAGTCACGGCGGTCAGGACTCCTTCGTTCCTCCGACTGAACAGGTTTTCTGTTAGACTATTCTACTCTATACTAGCTTGGATGATCGTCATTCAATAATGGGTCGGGCTTGACTTCCTTCGTGTATTTGTCTCGACTCAACCTGCTTCTTTGTTTTCCATGCTCTACACCATGGCTTGTTGCGGATTACTGTAAGGTCTCCAAAATCGTGTGTTTCGTCCAACTGCGCATCTGCGAATGAGTTCTCCGTTCGGCCGCTGTAGCTGAAAGACCGAACGGTGAATCGATGACGTCTCCTCGTGATTAGATTAGATCGTTCCAGCCGATCTTGCTGCATTCCGACTGCGTGAATCTGCGGGTCGCGCTGAGCAAGCTCTTCGGAGCAGTCCTCTCTTCCGCACCACTCCCATCTCGCCGCGACGCTCAAGATGCCTCTGAGAATTGGGTATGGTGCGTAGGTCTGGAGAGCTCGTGTATCGACGAGAGGATCCGTTCTGACATGGGGTAGTCCGCGAGCACTTCTCGTCGCCCCTTCTACAGTACGCAGAAGCCGATGGAGGAAAGACGCTCACGTTGGTGGAGTGCCCGAGTGAGTATGTAAACGTACCCTACGTCGACCATGTACTGATAAGCTGGACTGGTGCTTGTAGGTGGTACAGGCCAGTTGATTAATCGACTGACAAACAACGAGATCGATGTCGCGGTGTAAGTCTGACCTCATTTCTGAGCGGCAGCTCGGACCTGATGTAGCGTGAACATCATTACAGAGCCCTGACGGATCCTCTGATCTCTGGCATTGCTAAGGGCTCGGAGCACTACAGGCTCGTCGGCAGCTATGTTACGACTCCGCTGAACTGGTGCGTATTTCCCGATATCGAGCTCCTTCGGGCCTTCTTAACCGAGTTGCTTCTGGTTCAGGGCAGTTATCACCGGCAAGGAGACAAAGTATAACGAGATCGCGGATTTGCAGGGAACGGCCATCGGCATCTCGCGATATGGAAGGTTCGTTTCGTACCTCTGAAATCAAAATCAAAGTGTGACTGACTGGGATGTATGCGCTTCAGTGGGAGTCAGACGATGGCATATGTGATGGCGCTCCAGCAGAGTTGGCCTACGGATAAGCTGCAGTTCAGAGGTAGGTCTGACCATTATGGTTCGTACTGAGCTCACCATCCCTGGACTTGACTCAAGTGAATAATGATATCCGTGGACTCATCGACTCGGTGAACGACGGGTCAACCAGCGCTTTCATGTGGGAGTGGTTTACCACTAAGCCCTTCGTCGATGCCGGTGAAGCTCGTTTCGTACGTCCATTTCCCCTCCTCCTCCACCTGCTCTGCTTAAATTTCATCACCCTCACGGACAGATCGGCTCCGTGCCCACCCCTTGGCCCTCGTGGCTCATCGCAGCGCATCCAACGCGCGCAGCAGACGTGGAACTACGCACGTTCCTCACCACACTCACAACGTATGTGCGCACGTTCGATTCGCCGGAGAAGCGAGAGCAGGACGATGTCGACTTCATCAAAGCGAAGTTCGGCTATCCCGAAGAGGACATCAGAGTACGTTCCATGACGTTGTGCCCTGTGAGATGGCGTCTGACCGAGCTCCCAGGCTTGGCTGAAGACGGTTGCGTGGTCTCAAGATTGTGCAGCGATTCCTACTCAGGTAATCACAGATACGCTGGGGTGAGTACCTGTGGAGTCGGAAAATGGATCATGCTGAGCAGTGTATGCCCCACAGTGTGCTGGAGCAGGCTGGATTCATCAACAGCCCCGCCGGTGGCTTCGACGCCTCGTACTTCGTCAACACTGACATCGCACGCCTCGTCTAACAATAAGCCCTCACCTCGACTACTGTATATGATGCCCTGCCCCAGAGAGAAGAGAATGCATTAAAGTTGCAGTAGTCCACAACACATGTACAGTACTTGTTGTACCCGTAACTAGCTACAAACAAAGTAAAGCCCATAGATCCATATGAATGTGGTGGAGACAGTGGAGCGATTACATGCTAAACGACCACACGTCAGTTAGCAGTCCAAATTGTACAGCAAACAGTCCGACGAGCATTCCGTAATACACAGCAGCAACACGCAGACGAGGCGATTAACCATGTGATGCGTAGGGAAATATTCAAGAGGGGATGTGATACGTATAAATCATGATGCCGGACAGATGAAGCGTAGATGGTTAGTAGCAGTGATGCAAAAGTGAAGCTAGTTAGGTAGATGGTATATACGGTGCACAAAAATAACGGTCTCTACCAAGCCGTCCAGCGTCCAGTAAAGCGTCCCATGTCAGTGTCCAGCCGAAGTTTTAGATGGAGGTAAATTAATGATGTCTTCCGTGAGGTTGTGGTGATCGATGTTAGGAACGAGCAGCCTGACGCGCGTCGCGTAAATCAACCGTTCATGAAACAAAACAGCGGAAACAACTTACTTCATCCACAGCCGTCCGCTTCCGGACTTGTCGCGCACGACCTCCCATTTGCCCCTGCGGGTGAGACCCGAGCCATCGCTCAGGGCGTCCAGGAGGCTCTGCCGGCCCTCCCGCGTACCCTCCCCCTCGAGCATCCACTCGCCCTGCCAGCCCTTGCCGAGCCCCGCAGCGGCGCCCGATCCCGGGCCGACGTAGGGCAACCGCGCAATCCACACGTATTTGCGCACAAGGGCATGTCCAGATGGCGAGTGGGGGCTCCGCACCCGGGATGGCACGTGAGAGAGGGTGAGCTGCAGGTGGGGATTGTGCCCGCGCTCGTACCCGTTAGATGAGATGCCTTGTGGGAGAGCAGGTAGCGAGAGGATGTACACCGGGTTGCTGAACGGTGGCAGGATGTGAGAATAATACAGCGGAGAGGGCAGTGAGAGTGGATCCTCTACAGGCGGCGGGTTCGGAGGGGCGTACGGGACAAGACATGAGCCTTCATACAGAAGCCACACCTGTTTTCCCGCTCCTGACGAGCCACGACGCTCCTCTTCAACGGGCGGGACGTATCCAAAGTTGCAAATGATGTCACCGACGGAGAGATGCTCCCAAAGACCCGCGTCGACAAGCTGCTCTTCGCATGCGGCGATGGCCGTATCATTCAACTCCGTGCATGGCACGAACGTGCGCAACACGGGCGCACGGGCGCGAGAAGTTGCCAAATAGAGGTCGTGAGCGGATGTCCCGCGAGGTACAGAAGGCGTAGCGGGAAGAGGAGGTGGTGCAGGCAGATCTTTGGGAGAACTTCGGCGGCCTGGCGACCAGCTCCTGTCCGTATGCTCGGTGTTGCTCCTCGACGACGGGGGGCTGAGCAGTGATGACTCGCTGGAGGCTGTCGCTGTCGTGAAGCGCCGTTTCGGAGCCTTAAGATCATCCTCCGACACTGACGTTACGTTCTGGGCCAGACGAACACTGCCATTCGGCGGCATTACCAGCACCTTTGATGACCGTTGCCAACCACTGGCATACCGAATTGCAGCAGGCTGGGACGATGGCGGAGGTGGTGGGACCTTGGGTGCCCCAAAGACGGACATCCGCCGACCTTTGCCCTTTCGCGGGTCCGAGTGACCGAGTAAGGCTTGAAAATCACTGGACGCACGCGTAGGGCTAAGTGAGAGCGCCCGAGGCACGACAGTGTTGACACTGTCAGCGGTTGGACGGCGCAGCTTGCTTCTAACTCCACCTGGGCGTGCGACATTGAGTTGTGCGACATCAGGCGAGTTGCCAGCTCCAAAATACGACAAGGGTGCAGGGAAGACCAACTCGCGTACACCTTGCGACGGTGGGGCTCTGGTGTCTGGGGACGCCAAGGAACCGAAGCTGTCCTCGGGGTCGTCGATGTAATGAGCCATGGGAGCACTGTGGACAAGAGATTGCAGAAGGAGGACGAAGCGAGAGTGGGCTTGCGTGAGGGCAATATACTTTGCGGTGGCCTCGTAGAGCTCGAACTGGTTCGAGGACTGTGCGGCGAGGTTGTTGAGCACGGACAGCGCATGCATGGGGTATTTGTGCAGAGAAACAAACTGGGACATCACTTTGTGTGCTCTTGCGTCAGTCGGAGGATTGGAAGGAGTAGAAGAAACTCACCCAGCAAAGTCAGATCATGGAAATTAACCGTGACTTCCTGCCGGTCGCCATCGTGGATGGCATCGCTGTACCCAGGAACATAGCGGGCAAGAATCACATCTCTGCAGTCTGAAGAGTCGATCATGCCGTGCCTAAAATCCTTGCAACTGCTTGCAAGAGCATGGAAGTCGCCCCAAGTCAAATGATCGAGTAGATTGGCGAGCACACCGTGCTGCTTCAGTAGGCGACCTAGTGCGCGACGAGAGCCAAAGGTCGGATGTAGCAGTGTGCGGGATTTTGAGGGTCCCGCCTCAAGCATAGACCTCCTTTTGAACGAGGATATGCTGATTTTCGGAGAGGGTGGGAGGGAATGGTGTGCCATACTTTTTGGCGTGCGTGGGATGGCCGGAAGGGGCCGGTCTGCATGGTTGGGAGACATGGGGGAAGGGGTGTCCAGCATTGACTGTAGGGAGCGACCCAGAAAAGGAGATATGGGCGCGACAATCTCTGTGGCCATGGGGGGAGGAAGAAAGATGGGAGACAGCTCAGCTGACGAGAGGGAAATGTCGAGGATGCATACTTAATAATTGACGGAAGATGCGAGTGTCGCAGCCCCGCGCGGCTGCTCTGACGCTCACCTATTCTTGGCTCCAACACTCACACCACCTCGGCCCGGGCTTATGTCAGTCTTTTCTCCTCTCTCCTCGCCGTCCTCGCCATTGCCAGAGCGGTGGCTGCGTGCACCGCGTCGCGGACGCGGGATTCGATCGACCACAGAAGTCTGTTCATATCAGCCAGGTACGCTTCTCTCCGCTTCCATACGCCTTTGACAATGTAAAGACCGCGTCTCACACACGCTCGAGCTCGCGTCCGGTAAGTTTTGGCACAATTTACAAATACAAATCCACTAATATTGACTGTGGCCATACACTCTCGTCATTTCGGCACGGTCCCAAGATGAAACGTCTCTCGTCCGAAAATGAAGCTATTGCAAAAGCCATGCAAAAGCTTAACGGCATCGCCTTCCTGTGGTCTCGGGACGGCTACAGGGGGGTAACGAGCTTCTAGTTGCACCCAAAAGGAATACCGTCTGAAAGTGAGGCTATTGCAAAAGCCATGCAAAAGTTTAACGGCATCGCCTTCCTGTGGTTTCGGGACGGCTACAGGGGGTTAACGAGCTACTAGTTGCACCCAAAAGGAATATCGTCTGAAAGTGAGGCTATTGCAAAAGCCATGCAAAAGCTTAACGGCATCGCCTTCCTGTGGTCTCGGGCGGCTACAGGGGGGTAAAGAGCTACTAGTTACACCCAAAAGGAATTACCTTCTCGTCATAGACTACGGCGCAGCGCGAGCATATCTTGGTGAACGCCAAACAGCCTTCGCAGCCTTCATGAGGCCGAAAAATCTCGCCAGTGGCTCCACTTTGTTCCACCACAAACTCAAACCCTAATGATACAGTTACGCATCGGGCTTTTGTGGAAACTAGAACACCGCACTGTTGGATGCGCGAGCGCTTGGCATCTAGGTGATGTGCCGTATGAGAATCCACTCCTAGCACGCCGTTCCAGCATGTTCGTAGTGTTACACATACAGCTGCGCAAATGAGACGCCCTACCTTACTACGTCTGACAAGTTGTAAGATTTTCATAATGTATGTTTTCTTTCAGCAAGTACGTGTAACTTCACATACCCGTTGCGAGCTGCTAAGGAGTAAATTATCGAGTGTCGTGTGCATCATGCTAGGATGCAGAAATGAGAACAATACGTCTCCGAGGACCAAAGCCGCGTACACGAAGTGAGGGCTCGGAGAAACTGCTGAACTAGCGGATACTGGCCTCAAGTTCAGGCTATGCATGAACCATGCATAGACACCGTAAATCTGACGTAGCCCACAAGGCTGAGAACTAAATAAATAACCACTCTTCATTCACGCGCAAAATATCAGTCGCTTACATTACGCGCCATTCATAGGGATGTGAGTGTCTAGATTCTGGAGAAAGTTAAACTTGAATCTCGAGCTTACAAGTTTCTATAAGAGTCGAAGGGGTGGTCACACGCTGAGTGAGTGTGACACATTAGGGTTGATTGTCACACGGTGACTGTTTCCCCTCGACCGCATTTACCTCTGTGAAATCCGGATCCTAGGGCCAGGAGCTATGGAGGTATGATTTTTCGCTTTTGATATGTCCTGAAACCAATGTTCTCGTTAGCGAGACAAGGGCCATCTTGACCTCGAGGAGCAAATCTTCGGACGTGATTCAGACGACGAGCTCTCTTCACCCGAGGAGGACGGTAAGCCATTACGCTCTTTTCTTTTGGATTCTATAACCATTGTGCTCTTTTGCAGAGCCCCCGCCGCGCCGCAATGTGCGGGCCTCATCTGGTATACCTGACGATGCCGAGTCGTCGGGGGATTCTGGGGATGAGTACGTACAAGAGAAAGCTGCCGCGAAGGTGAAGCAGAGCAGGCGGCGAAGTCGGCGTGTGGCGGAGGAGGGGGAGCGACAGCCGAAGCAGAGGAAGCGGAAACGCAAGCAGCTGGACGAGATAGATCTCAGCCAGCTTCCCCCAGAGCAAGGTGTGTATTTATATTGCACATGCACGACCGGGCTCACAGCGTCCTTTAGCCAGCAAATTGAGATTGGACATGCAAATTGAGGCCATATTGAAACCCAAAAAATCTTCAAAGTCTAGGAGAAAGAAAAAGGATGACGAGGATGTGCTTGACAGATACGCTGACGAGGAAGTGTCCCGCCTCCGAGAAGCAATGTTGTCTGCTGCTCAGGATGACGATCAGTCTAATCGAGAAAAGCTTCCCGCCACCGCTAAGTTGCGGATGCTTTCCCAGGTAATGGAAGTGCTGCGAAAGTACGTGCTACTGGTGCCAAATTGTTTTCGTGTTGCAGGCTCACAAAATTGTTAGGAATTCTCTCTCACAGTCGATAACTGACAATAACCTCCTGGAGGGAGTACGAAGATGGCTGGAACCTCTTCCTGACAGGTCCCTTCCTGCACTGGACATTCAGAAAGAGTTCTTCCCTATCCTAAAGAAGATGGAATACATTGATAGCAGTGCCCTAAAGGAATCAGGGCTGGGGCGCGTGGTCATCTTCTACACCAAATCCAAACGGGTAACTGCTGACATCGCACGCCACGCCAATGATCTCATCTCTGCGTGGTCCCGGCCAATCATTAAGCGCAGTGCTTCCTACAGGGACCGCATTGTCCCCACCGCACAAACAGGAGACGGCGAAGGTGCCCGTGGTGGTGAGCGACTGAATACCATCCTTGCGCGCGCCAGGGAAACCGACAAGAACCGCGTGCGGAAGAACGCGGTTATGATCCCCCAGCGGGAGCTGGGCAGCTACACGGTCGCTCCGAAACCGAATGCTGGCTTTGGCAAGGGAAGCATGAGCGTGGATGTCGACATCGAACGGCGAAAGAGGGGTGCAGAGAGGCTGAGGAGCCTTACGAGGAAGATGGCAACGAAGAGCTGAGTTGCCGACCTGTTCCCTTTGTTGTGTATTTCCAACCCTGCGCTCGTTGCATACTCCCTGGCTCACGTTTGTATATATGTGTTGTGTTCTTGTAATTGTTTTGTTCTCTTTCAGATGCATGGAAGCGAGCGCCCGCGCTCATGTCCTTCGAAGCTGCGGACATACCATAGCTATGGGAGTTATCGAAGATGAAAGAAACCCGTAGTGCTCTGCGACCTTCATTGAACGGTACGATGGGTGGATTTCTCAGGACATGCAAGCCATAGTGTGGTGAGTTCGGATCTAGGTATTGCACACGATGGTAACTTGGCCGAATCTCACGGTAGGTCGCTCCCTGTTGGTTCACAGACTTTTCATCTTTTACGAGATGGTTCTTCCACCGGGAGTGATAGCGGGTACCTTGTACTAGTGTTCCGACCTTCCATTCATCGATATGAGTTTGCGCCGAACCTGACAAGTTCCGCGCAGGCGAAGTACTCGAGCAACGGTCGTGGTAGGTGTACATGCTACAAGCCATTTAGAAGAAATACCTACCGCTGGGAGTAATTCAGAAATATGGAGGTGGCGACTTTTGCATCGCGGTACCGAACTCCCGCCCGGCTTCTCTTCCCTGACTTGTCTTCCACAGGCCGAGTGAAATGTAATAGGACTGGGTTCATGTGGTACTCCTCCCCAATAGCACCTTGCGTCTGATCTCTCTCACAGCTACAATTGAGGGATGACGTAGAGCATGGGGGAAGGAAGGCGGCCGGTAAACAGATGTCTCAATTATTTGACACTGTCGGTTTCTAAGCCATCACGGTAAGCACACTCATTGAATTTGTACAGTATCTGCCGAAATCCTACTGGCACTCCGCAACCGGTGACCCAGGTATTCCTTGTTGTCGCATGATCACCGACGGCGCTTAGGCTTTTCTACGATTCCCTAAACCTGTCCCACTAATTTCACTGATCTGTTGCGACAGAACTCTACGGGACCATGGCGTAATCCGAATGATACCAGCGCAATCGGCCAATGGCGACACTCGCCCTCATGCTTTTCCCAGTGGCCCGCCAGATTCCGACTTCATGAAAACCACGACTCCGCTGAGTTATCAGTCTTGCTTTCTATCATCGCTGATTCTGGTCAGCGGTTCCTCTTCTGTGCTTGTTTTGACAGTGGGCATCATATGCTATTCTCCATGCGGGAATTCCGACGAATCTCCGCGGCGAGGTTGAGGCGAAATGCAGTCTAATCGGCGTTCTGAACGTCGAGCTACGGGTCCGCTTATACAGAGAAGTTGCTTTGTCGGTTGCTCATTTACAAGGGAGGGGAAGATGCTAGGACAATGAATACACCACATCCTAGAAACAGGGTGTGAATTGGGATTTGTATTTGACTGTCGTGATGTGGCGCCTTGTTGTTTGACGTTCACAACGGGCTGCTTTCTCGGGTTACTGTAGATAGACAGTAAAGTTCTGCCGACATGAGGGCCCTGTGGAAGCCCGAGCTGAACCGCATGTCGGTTGCGGTACCAAAATTGACCCTTGCATGGACAAGATGACATGCTCATGCCCCGATATCTGATTGTGACGACTCGAGTGTGAACGAGCACTTTGATGGTGGCGCATGAATTTCTTTTGCCATCGACCCCATAACCACCGCTTTCGTCCTTGCTTCACACTTTCATCGCTGCACGACTCGCCCTGTCCGTCCCCAGCGATGTCTCAGGACCGTTGTTTCCCAGACTAGGCTGAATCGTATGTCTGCTACACTGGGTGACTTAGATTCGACCAACCGGGTTGTCCCCCCTGGCTCCTTCTGTCTGAAACTGGTGCCCACGACACATTTGGCGAGTCTGACTCACTCGAGACACGCTAGGATCCAACTCGGACGCAGTGCTTGCGTGCTGCGACATATCACGACTGGCTCTCGTTGGCGCTGTGTGGGCCGCAGCTCCCGTGCCGCCCTCTTCACGTAAAATATCTTGGGATTCTGATGTGCCGGTTGCCAATGGTCTCAGGCCCATCGACGTCATTTGTGCAAGACAAAAGCGTGTTTTGTGATCGGCAAGGCGAGTTTTCTTCACATTTTTGTGCTCGTGCAGAGTGCGCTGGCTGGCGCCTAAGAAAGTTCAACATGGTCGACGCGCTGGTGGCGTGATCGGAAATGGCCGAAACGCGACTTTGCCGGCCCTAAACTGGAACGTGGCATTGGGGGTGGTTCGGACTACTGACTAAGCGCCCGTTTATCACTCCCATTGTTTCCGTACTCTATCCCTCCTGCCCATTTTCCGTGATTTTCTCTCCTTTTAACTAGGACAGTATGCAACGACGGCCGCCTGCTGCCGTACCGCCGCTCGCTCTCCCGGTCTCTCAACGTGCGACCCGCAGACAAACCGCCCTTCCTCGAGGCGGGTCTCCGCACACACCTCCCAACAGTCGTTCTCCCTTGCCGTTGTTAGCTTCTGGCGCGAACAGAAACAGTAGCGACAGTTGGAACAGCTCCAACTATGATGGCGCAGATGATATGGAGGTAGAATGGAGCGTAGAGCAGACGCGGCTTCTCTCAAGGGTACGTGTCTTATTCGCGTTGAGTAGCGCGTTTCAGACCCACTGATCATGATCAATTCCCCCGTTTCCTACATAATGCTCATACAGACTTTGGATGCCCTTCCTGCACACTTACTTACCCCATTCAATGGCCCGGTACCCCCATCAAATTTGCTCGACAAGATTGCGCGGGGTGTATCTCAGGCGAAGGGGTCCGTTGGTTGGCCACACTCACTCCGTGCAACACGTGCCAAAATAGTCGAACTCGCACGAATGCGCGCAAAGGAGGCCGCCAGCGACGGAGCCAGTGACACGATTGCTGAGGAAGATGCCAGTGATCCTGATGCGCAACAGCAGTCAACAAGCAGCGGTCCGAAAAGACCTCTGTACAGGCAGTCAAGTATGGACTTTATGCAAATGGCACCACCTAATTTGATGGACAATGACAAAATCACTCGGTGAGTTTTCTTTTGGCCTCTTCAGTGGGTTTTGGGATTGACCCCTCTCACCAGCCTCTCCCGTCGCCTGCAAAGCTCTGACCGCACCATTCCTAACCCTTCTTATCGTTCCCATCCATCTATATCTTCCCGCCCCTCATCTCCTTCGTTCGGCATGGCCCGCCGAAGAGGAATCTTCCCCTCAACTCCGAGCTCAACTACGCTCAATTCTAGCAATTCTGATTCTAGAAACGCGCACATGCGGAGATCTATGTCGGATATGTCTAATTCATCCGATTCTTTCATCCTCCCCGTTCTCGATCCCCGAGTGCAGCGTGTCAAGCGCGCCGATTCGTTTGCTGGATCTAGAGTATATGGTCCTGGACAGTCCCTCAAGCGTGCACCGTCCTTTGGTACCATTCCAAAACGTAGTTCGGGAGCCATGAGCCAGAGTGGTAGGGACTCAGAAGCGACATCATCTGATGAGGAAGAGAAGATGCGGAGTATGAAAGCAAAGAAGGCCCGCGTGAAGGCGGCATCCCCGACTCCTCTTCCAACCTCTTCGCCCAGCGTTTCTCCGGAAAAGCCAAAGTCTCGCCGAAAATCTCATCAGGAGACGGTAAATAAGTCCCCCAGGGCTAATAAAGAGACATCCGCTCGACGAACTACTAAGCCCAGGACTAACCTCAAGCGAAACCCCATCATTCTGGGCGGTGAGCTACCTCATCCCCAGCCCGATCGTAATCCTCCCACAACAAGAGACTCTCTTCGTACTGACAATTTCAATCTGCTGCACACCTCAAGAATTGGTGATTTACTGACTGCTCGAGGACCTCACGCTCTTGAAGTACCGATGACGCCTGGGACCCCATCTACACCCCAAGTTCCTCGAGGCAAGTCTCTCCGCCGAACCGGTGGGGCCAAACTCCCTTCGCGCACTATCGCGCGCAAGATCTCGTTCGGGAGTATGATCGCGCCTGCGCCCGAGGCATACGGCGAGCCCGGCTCCGGCTTCGGTCTTGGACTTGACAGCGCATTCCAGCTGCAGTGAACCTCATCGGCGCGGTCCCCAACTGTATCCATACGCTCCCCGTCCTCACTAATCAGCTCTGCTTTGCTCAACAAGAATGTACATTCACCGTCTGCACATCGCACATCTAATCTAACGGTATATCACTACACACGGGTCTTCACCTGTGGATGTCATCTCACTGCTTTCATCATTCTCGCGCTGCTGTAAGCGGCACCACATTCGCTATTCTTGCTTGGATTTCGGATTGTCGACGGTTCACCCGTTATCCACCTTCGCTTATATCTGTCGGTATCGTCTCATTATCCGCACGCGCGGCCGTTGCGTAGTGCCAGCACTTTCTTTTGCATTTTCTGTACAATGATTTCCCGCTCCTTCCAATTCCCTTCCACCCCTTTGTTCCCACCGCAATTTGGCTGTTCGCTCGTCGATGTTGGGAACCGCCCTGGCGGCGATAGTGCTTTGTCGCCTGCCTCTTCCATGTACATGTAGTATGCCATTAGGGCTTGTACGATATGTTGCTCTTCGGAAACCCTCTGCTTACGGGGGTGCTTCTCCCTTTTCGTTTCACCCAGTCACACCAGGTTACCTTCGCCGTTCTCGTTCTCACCCGCGGAAAAATTAAATTTATCCTTCTCGGTTATCCGTCCGTCCGTCTGTTTGTGCTTGACGTCGTGCCTCGCGTGTTTGGTCTTCGTAGAATTTTTTGTGGGCCATTTGTTGTGCTATATCTGTCGGTGGGCTGGTACGATAGCTGTACGTGTCGAAGCGATACATCCCGAAATATATGTGCTTGCGTCATCTGTGCAGTTGGAGAGCGCGGGGGCACAACGTGCGGCAAGTGCTGCGACGGTCAGAATACCACGGCACTCGCGCATATCGTCGCCACCAAGGTCTGTCAGAAACGGTCTACACGTTTGTGCGTGCCAGTGAGTGACCTTATTTTATTCGTCGCTCTGCTAACATATACAGCGGGCACGACAGCACTCCGGGCGTCGGCAGGGCTCCCTGGGCGAGCCACGTCTCTCATCAGCGTGCGGCAGGGCTGGCGAGGGGGGCGACGGCGGGACTGCGCCTATGGCGAACGACGGC